ATACAAGGCAGCCATAATCAAAGTTGGGAAGAATAATAGAGGAAACTAGAAGCTGATGGATTTTTAGAGGGATGGAATCTCAGGAACTGTTTAAGATTAGCTTTATTTTTTCTGAGAATTTGAGTAACACTGTGATTCCAGAACAGGTGTTGATCAAATATTATCCCAAGGTTTCTAACAAACGAATAGGTTGGCCATTAAGGAGGGGATAATAGAAAAAGGGATTAAGAAGATGTTTAGAGTCAATGAGAATAGCTTTGTTCTTCTCAATGTTCAGCCTCAAATCATTGCTAGCTATGATAGCTATTCATTGATATTGTCTATATCTTCTTGAAGCCTTTCGGTCGCCTCAAGCATCTCTGAAGGATAAAAGCATTGGTCGATTTGGAGGTCATAAGCATATAGGTGACATTATGAATGATGGATGGAATCAGAGAGGTCGTAGATATATATGGAGAAAAGGGTTAATAAGAGGGATGAGGAAGGAGCTTTATTGGGAATGTCAACTGTTTGGGATGAACTTAAAAATAGATAAATATATATTTTTACTTTGACTTGCCTGTATAAGTAATATATAGTAAGGGAAAGTATTGCGATCGTGAAAAGTTTCGAATCTGAGTTCTCGGAAATAACGAAAATACACTTTTTGACGTCCTCTGAGTATATATAACCAAGTCCCGCAAAATGGTCTGTTTGTTTGAGTGATCAGCCTAGTCAAAAACTGATCGAGAAACAGTCGCAAAATGTGCCGACTGTCAAGGACGACGTTCTGCTAACTACAGATGTTGCTAAACTTTGAAACAGCTTAGAAAGAACCGCACAAGAAACCATAGTCTGCAGAGGCCTCCTAGAGTTCGGCCCCCACCACCAGAACTACATGAATTCCTGCCACTGCACCAGCCTCAGCACTCTCATCCTATTCACTCAAGACCAGAACTGCTGTAGCAGAGACAGCAACGAAAACCAGCACCGTCAACAAACCAACATCAGAGACCTACAGGTATGAGTAGGAGCATTGCCCAAACGGTCCCTACTATTGAAACCGCCTCAGGTGATATACATTTGATTAGCGGTCTCAATAACATCATACAGCCCCTCTTCACTCTTCTACAACAGCTATCTCAGGCTACTCTCGCCCTTACCCAAAAATATGCCTCGTAATCAGCCGACTGTGGTCCATGTCTATTATACTATGGAACGCAAACAGACTGAATCAAGATAAAACCGAACTAGACATACACTTATAAGAGAAACCCATCTGGCACCACATTCTAAATTTTACATCTGTGGTTACAAAATCTACATAACTGACCCCCCGGACGGAATTTCACATGGAGGCACTGTACTTATTAAAATAACTATAGAACAATCCATTACAATTACCCATAACACCAGATATTCAAGCTACAGCCATTACACTATCAACAACAACGAAACATTACTCATGATGCGGTTTATTGCCCTTCGAGGTATATCCTGACAACCATGATGTTTAGTAATTTCTTTATACGGTTTGGTAGATGCTTTGTTGCAGGAGGCGACTACAATGCCAAAGATCAGTTCTGTGGATCGAGACTATCTACTACAAGAGGAAGGAATCTTAAGTTTTTTCTTCATAAGCTTTCATTAGATACAATATCACCTAATTCATCTACATTCTGGCCAACTTCTAGACGGAAAGAACTACCAAACTTGCTCGATTTATTCATAACTAAAGGACTCCTATCAGCACATCACACCATAAAAACAAGTTCATTTCTTTGCTCTGATCATTCCCTTTTGCATTTGGTATTGTTTGAAGGCCCTTGTGAAGCTACAAAAAATCTGTCCCTGATCAATGGCTTGACGGATTGGGACAGGTATAAGAGTCAATTGAACGCGTCTCTCTCTCTCATGATCAGAGAGAAGAGCTCGCAAGATTTGGCAGACTGACAAACTCACGTCAGATAAACTAACTTACAACAGACCGAATAATGAACTCACTTGTTGATATACTAACAAACACACAAATAATACCTGACCATCAATTTGAATTTGGACTACATCACTAAACTATACACCAACTACATAGAGTTACGGGCTACATATCTACAACAATAGAGCAGAAAGTATATGGAAATGGCGTTTTTCTGGATGTTGCTCAAGCGTTTGACAGAGTTTGGCACCAGGGTCTTCTCTTTAAACGCAAGACAATACTCTCTCCTACCTACTATCTAATTCTACAACCCTTCCTTTCCGAAAGATTTTTCTCCGTTCGACACGGGTCAGAACTATCTTCCACCGGGTCAATTTCAGCAGGAGTACCCCAAGGTTCAGTACTCGCTCCACTACTCTAAATCACATACACCCATGATATACCCTGTAGTTCCAAAATTTTTACATCGACATATGCAGACGATACAGCAATTTTTTCAAGACAGAAATATCCAACAAGCGCCTCACAGACTCTACAACAGTATTTAACAAGATTACATGACTGGTACAAAATTTGGAAAATCTGACTAAGTCAAGAAAAATCACAGTATATCATATTTATCCGTCGACATTAAACCTGCCCTCCATTTTTCGTTGACAATACACAGATTCCACAGACAGACACCGTTCACTACCTTGGCCTGACATTTGACCGAAAAATGACGTGGGTCCACATATAACTAAGAAGATAAAAACACTAAATCAAAGTTTAAGAATTCTGAATTCGTTTTTTTCGAAACATTCAAAACTAAAACTTAGACAGAAATTGAACACATACAGTCACTTACTAAAACCTATTTGGACTTACGCATCACAGAGATTTGGAAAAGCTAAAAAGACTCACATAAACAAACTCCAAATCTTTCAAGCAAAAATATTCAGGACAATTATAAAAGCACCTTGGTACATTAGCAACATAACCTTACATACTGACATCCATATTCCGGCTTATTACTCACGATTTGTTATAAGATTCTTAAAGCATTGCGAAAAAGATCAATAAAAAAACTGCTTACAATAACTGATGGCCTAATATCTCATAACGTACACATACGAACTTGTTACAAACGATTTCACGATAACTTACAAGGACATCCTAATACACTCATAAATGACATGGTCACTATGGGTATGCCAGGTCTGTAGGAGATTGAGGAGGAGCTGGATGAGCCTAATGTAGACATCACGCCAGGAGGAGGTGCCGCTGGGCACTGCTCCCCCTCTTACCTTTCATGACATTGTATATTGCAATCGATCATCTCATTCACTGGTTATCATTATCATTATGACAGGTCTGAATAAAAAAATAAAAAAATGGAAAAATGTCGTCGGTTTATTCCAAAAAATCATGTAACATTATATAAAATTAAGTTAGTGAATAATTTGACGAATTTTCCCTCTTTGAAATCTCAACATTATCCACTTACAATCAGTGTGACAACTTTTTACTTATGATGGTATTCAATGAAAATCTCATAACGCTATTTTAATAAACTTTACAATTGAAAAATAAGAGTTTAATAACTAATACTAGTACAATCCATAATCATTTATAGATATAAATATACAAATATACTTTTAATCTCCTTATGCATATTGATAAATGAAGATGAAATGATTGATGTATATGGTAATGAATCGAAAAATCTATCTCAACAATAGAATCTGAGTAGACAGAAAACCGTTTCCAATTGTAGACAGATGTCCCACAATAACTTGAATAATTGACAAATTACCAGAGGGAGACCAGCATGTAACAAACACAAACAGATCATTCTTAGCTACTGAAATCTAGAAAAATCTCAAATTAAGGGTTAAAATAACGTGATAAAGGAAGGTTTGATATTCTTCTTCAAAACCTGGTTCTAATCGACACTTTAAAAAGCAAGATCAGACTTCAAAGGAAAGTATTATTCACGATTTGTTTTAAGATTCTTAAAGCATTGTGAAAAAGATCAATAAAAAAACTGCTTACAATAACTGAAGGCCCAATATCTCATAATATGGAGGCAAAGAGGATAAAAAAAGCGAAGGATGAAGCTCGAAGAATTTCATCAGGTATCCAAAAAAAGAAAGAGGTTGATATAATCAACATGTGGCACGATTATCAATCAACATGACCTTGTACTTTTTTTTTTTTTTTTAATTTATAATTTTATTGAAATTTACAACTGTATTACATTAAAAATACAACAGGTAAATGTGACATTGGTAACATGACATGTAAAATATGAAGAGAAACTACCCATTGGTAGAACTCAAATTAAAGTTCTATATTAGAAGATCCCGAGGCCATCTTCTTTTCAGACGCCTCGGAGGGGACCATGTACTAAACTGAAAATCAGTAGCCAATGATAGTTTATTGAGTCCTTTTTTAAAAAAATTCTTTATTGTGACATATTACAGTCTTTCACATCTATGAACAATAGTAATAGTGTTAAAGAGTAGCTCATTCACACTATGTACAATAAATAAACAGCAAAATAATACTACTAAAAGTAAATGTATATAAACTAAAAGAAACTTAACTAAAAAAAAAAAAAAAAAAAAAAAAGAAGAAACTAATTTAAAATAACTACTTAAATATATACAAGCATATTGACTAAGAGACGGGTTAGCTGGTTAACACAAACTGACGGAGTTACGAGGTTTTTATTGTCTGATGTCGATATGATAAATAGGGATTATGTTAGTTTAATGCTCTTATTGAGTTTTTACAGGTTAGTTTTAAGATTTAGCTCCGTAAAAAATTTACTTCAAAAACTTTGTGATGACAACATTGCCAGAAAATAATTCCTATTCAAAGAAGAGCGGTAAGTAAAAGTGGTGTGATACGCGCACCACATTTTTTAAATATTTTTTTAGCCGGTAAATCTGCCTATTCTAAAGTTCATCTGTGCTCCTATTCATTACCTTTCATTCATACTTTTAGAACAACTTGATCTTCTTTACGAAAAAGTATTGGAGACATAAACCGACCTCCTTGAACTTATTTTGAACTGTCCACTTCTGAACAACAATGTTATCTTTCTTATTATTAAAGGCTGTTGCTTAAACAAGTATTTGAATTTTGAGTTCAAGTTATTGTTTTTTCAAATTATTTTTTAAATCAGTCAGTGGATTATTTAGTAATTAGTTAAGTACGTTAATAAACAAAGTTATGCCTGGGAGAAAATGTATCATCTGTGGACAAAGTAGTTTGGTGACAAATAAAGAGGGAACTAATAAATCTTACTTTTCGTTCCCAAGAGATGAAAATTTGAGGTATTATAAATCGTATATAGATATGTTTAAGTTTAATCAGATTTTCTTTGGTATATAAATGTTTTTTTTTGTTTTCAGAAAAAAGTGGGTTAATGTTTGTCAAAACAAAATAGATAACATTATCACTGCAAGAATTTGTTCTGATCATTTCAAGGTACATTTTAATAAAATTACTTTATGTTAAAACCATCCAAATCTTCTAATTAAATGATAAATATTGATTGTCTCTTATTCAAAATCAATAATATGTGCCCTTAGTTTTCTTAATTTATCTCTTCGGCCTTGCATATGTATTATAAAACTCTTAACGATCATAACATGTATTTTGTACTAATATTTTACTAGCATGAGAAAAAATAATCTATCATTTCATCATCTACCATTCCCTTCTTGCAATCAATATTATGCATAATCCATTTAAAAGTATATACTATTACTTGTAAGCTTTAAACCCCTTCAGCTTTTTCCACTCTTGACTATGGCTGTGTTATCATACACTTCTCCATGGGAGTTGATGACACATTAAATAGAATTATGATTAGCTTTGTAAGTGCTAACCTGAAATGTTACCATGAGTTAGTCCTTTCCTCTTTTCATTAATAATGTTTCATAGGAATATATCTTTTCAAATTAGGAACAGCTTTTGTGATATAGGCTCTTCTATAGTTTCCTGACCTAAGTCTTACCTATATGAATTTGAAAAAATACTTTATATCACTCTTTGTTTATCTTTGATTATTCTATATTGTTTATTGTTTCTGTACAGTACAAGCATCCTTTTTCTTTTTTTTTTTTATATTAATTTGTTCTTTTTATTGCGCTTACAATTTTATTATTTTTGCTCTACTGTATTTTTTATTTACCATAAAATCACTTATATTTATATAAATATATGCTTTTTAACTTATGGAAATAATAATGATAAATTTAAAAATAATAGAAATTTTTTCTAGTCGGTTTAGGACTTAAGAGCTGACAAGTAGTTTTATTTGTTTGAAAGGCGGGAATATAGCCAAACCTATAAAAAACAAATACAAGTCAAGGCAGCTCTGTCACTAGATCTAAATAATTTTGTCAGCACTCAGTTACTTTTGGAATTCCTCTGGAATTTGGGAATAACGTGCTCTGGGTGATCTTGAAACCAGGCTCTTTCTTGAAGTTGTGAAATGTAACTAGTTCCGTGATTTTTAATGAAAAAGTTTTTCTTAATAGTTAATTTCATTTATTTTTTTTATATGGGCTTAAACAGGGCTTGAAATTAAACTATTACTTTAATTTTTATAAGTTACGGTATGACTCAAATTTTTATTTCAATTTTTTATATTTTATTTTGGAACTAGAACTTTTTCTCTTGCAATCTTCCAAATGAAGGTTTTACAGATCTTTTATTTAAAAAAAAAAATATTTTAAAGTTCTGTTGATTTATAGTGATACAGGCATCACTGTACAGTGCTGAAACTCAGACTGAATATCTGAGAGGGATGTACAAACCTGTCTAGGCAAGTAGAACTACAGAATTGCCACATCACTTGCAGTACTACCAGTCCTATTATTTTTATTACGCATCTTGTATTATCAACATAGAGAAATTTCATTATAAAAAGTTTGGTTGATATTAGTGACCTACTGGCTTTGATTTCCTCATGTAAGATGAATTCAATCTATTTTTCATGATACTTATTTATTTATTTTTTTTAGTATAAATGGTGCAGTATGCTATGAGGGCCACACAGTGATATATGAGAGTTAACAAAAAAAAAACTAAACAAAAATTACATTTTGTGTCATAAATTAAGAGAAATAGTTGTTTTCCTTCCAATTTGCAAAGTTTCTCATTCTTCATTACTCTTCTTAGTCAACTTTCTGCAATCACTCTCTCATTTCTTCATATTATAATGAAATAATCTATGAAGAGTATTGGGTTTATTACTCTGTAAGGAAATATTTTTTCTTAGCCAATGCTTGTGCAAGGGCTATCTAGGGCAGCTCTTACCTAGGCTACCTACCTAGGTGGCGCTACAACCCTGAGTGGGTCTTGGCTCCCTCAATGAGCCGCCATTAAGCCCGCTTTTGTGTTGTCGCTCTCCAGCTTCTGATCTGTAGCAGGCTCCATGCATCTGTTGTCACTCCATCAACCCATCGAAGCCTTGGCCTACCAGTCTGTCGTGTACCATGAAGGGCGTTGTCCACTACTTTTCTAGGAACTTCTTCTACTTCCATTCTTGCGACATGGCCAACCCAATTGAGCCTCTCCATTTTTATAAACTTTACAGCATCCATATCTCCGTAAAGGTCATAAAGCTCCCTGTTCCTCCTAATCCTCCATCCATCTCCATCTTTCACTGGGCCAACTATTCCCTGTAAGATTTTTCTTTAAAAAATGAAGAGACTATTTTCATTATTTCTTGAGATGGTCCAGGTTTGGAAATCATAGGTAAGAACTTGACGTATAAGACTCTTGTATATGACCAGTTTAGTGCCTCTAGTAATGGATCTACTACAGAGAGTTTTCAGTAAGGCAAAATATGCCCTATTTGCCACCACCAGCCTTTTCCATGGCCATCAACCATCTCTACCGCGACCTGTGCGATGAAGACTTTTCCAAGAAATTTGGATATAAATAAGAAATGACCAAATTGTGTGGTCCTCACAGGTTTCGCAGATGACCAGATTGTGTCGGCAAGAGACAAGGGGGCTGCAGAAAGAGTGATTGACAGCGTACAGAGGACATTTCAAGAATTTGGTTTGGCTATAAATCCTCAAAAAAGCATGGGCATTGTTTTAAATAAAGGAGAGCTCGAAACTGCGGTGCTCTCTCTTGAGAATGGAGAGTACATCCAAACATTGAAGAATGGAGATACCATTAAGTATTTAGAATGTACGTTCTCGGGAGAGCTACAATTCAATGAAAATTCGGTGACTAAATTGAATGATAATCTTAACAAGCTGGTAACCTCTTGCTTACTTAAATCTGAGCAGAAACTCAACATTGTCAATCAATATCTGTTCCTGGGTCTTACTTACCCTCTCCAAACTGCGCCCTTCACAAAGCTGCGTCCTACCATACTGGACGGCATCGACACCATGATTAATGGCCATTATTGGACTCTCTGCGAATACTTTCATGGCGATATTATATGCCCTCAGAAGATACCGAGGATTGGGTTTAATCCGCTGCCAATGGGAGGCTCCTCTTCAACATTGGTCCATTGCTCAGCGACTGTCCAATGTACCAGATGCCCTTTTCCTATCTACCTTTGATTATTTATTCGGCTGAAGTTGCGGAATGTGCCGAGAGATTGAGGGTTGATCAGGGTCATCGAAACGTGAGAGCTCTACGGTAGTCGCTATGAGAAAATTCGTTTGAGGAATGGGCCAACTGCAGGTAGCAGGTCATTGGTGTTCGCCATTTTAAAGATATCCCGAAAGCGAATAAATACATCTATGAAAAGCAGATACTTTCTGGGTCTGAATGGTGTAATCGAATGGTGTCGAATGTCTTGGGAAATGCGACAATTTCCGCATATCTCGTAGAACTTTCACTATCGATGCAGTAGACCTCATCAAAGCAGGTAAATTTCCTGTCCCTAAGGAGCCTCATTAAGTCGAACTTGACCCTATGGTGATGACGTGTTATGAGAAGGGAGTTGTTAGGGCATTTTCCCAATGGATCCAACTTCTCTGACCTGTCCACTAATACCTGGGAGTCCACGCAGGGGTGCATAATTAATGTTTAGTTTTAGAGTAGGTGTTTAATGGTGAAGTCGATTACGAGGTAATGGTCGGAGTTCACATATGCTTCCCTATAAGTCCTACTACTAAGGAGATTGGATTTGTGACGTGCACTGATTAAGATGTGGTCAAGCTAGTTATGGGTAACGACAGTAGGTGATTTTCATGTAACCTTGTAAATCTATCGTCCCGGGTACAGAATACTCTCAACTGCTAGATTTCTCTATGCTGCGAAATCAATGACCCTCTTGCCATTTTCATTGCTTCTCTCATGCAAACTTAATGAACCAATCTTGGATTTTTATATGCATCTTCTCTTCCAATCTTTGCATTCAAATCTCCCAGTAGGATATCATATAAGGCATCTTTCTCATCATCGCTTAAGGCCTCTGTGGGTGCCTAATATAATATAAGAGGTGTTTCCCGGCTGCGGCACGGGAAGCCACCTGAACAACCCTTGTTGTCGCCTTTGCTTCCTGTCCCTAGGGTGCTGAGAAGGGGTCTCTGGCTAGTTGCAACCATCAGCAGGCCTATGGCATTACCACTTCACATAATAATATTGGTTTAAAGTAGTTTTATCTACAATCGGTTTTGTGGGGTTTTTAACATGTGTTATTGATCTAATACACTGCTTGCTTTCATAATTCTTTACTGCAAATTAAAAGGCTGCCTGAATAATGCCGAGCAGGGCATATATACCACTTTAGTCCATGGCATACCAGTTCGAGCTGGTGAGACTACTGGTGACAAGTATAGAGGTAGGCATAGTCTCATCTCTCATTTTCCTCCACCTCAACTATGACTGTGTGGTATATGGTCTCTCAGCAGATCACATGATAGACTAAAGACAATCATGAGTAGCTTTGTACAAATCATTAATGGGATCTTAAGACATTTCTATGTTTATCACTATTATGAAATGAAAATATATATTATTATTCTGAGACTGTTGTCCCTTTAGGACAAATTATAAATACTGAATACATGTATATGTGGTCATAAATAGAGGAAATATTTACAATATTGGTTATTTAAAAGTAAAAATACAGACGGAGAGAGAGAAAAAGATATATATATATATATATATACACACACATTATGAATGAATGAATGAATGAAAATAATTTTATTATTCTGGGACTAGTGTCCTTTTAGAACAAGTCACAAATACAGAATATATATTAATATTTTGGTGTGTCCATGAAATACAATTTAATATTTACAGGTTGATTCGGAGTACAATAAAGTTATAAATGATAAAAAGATATAAATATGTCTAAACATAAAATATACAGAGAAAGTAATTAAATGAACAAAAAATCGATGAATTACAAAATAATCAGAGTATCTGGGTGTACTTTTAGGTTTTTACAGCTTAGGTTTTTAAGTGCATCGGATTGGGAATGGAGTAGGTGTTCGAAGAGGAGAGATTTGAAAGAGGATATCAATTTTGCGTGTCGAATATCTGAAGGTATAGAGTTCCAGAGAGAGACAACTTGTATTAAAAAGGATTTATCAAATGCAGCAGTTCGGTGAGGAGGAGGATAGAGGTCGGACGCACAGGATCTGGTAGGACGGGATTGAAAGGAGCGTTTGAATTGTAGGATCTGTAGAATACAGGCAGGTCGCCATGTTGTAATGACTCGGTATAGGAAGGTAGCCAGAAAATATTAACGGTGGTAGGACGGATAAAGCCACTTCAAGTTGGTGTAGAACTGGGTAATATGTACATCCCTTGAGATCCTGAAGATAAAGCGGATTGAGCAATTTATTAAACGTTTAAGTTTGGCTTCGAGTTCTCCCGAGAGTCCACCATACACCATTCAGCCATAGTCGAAGTGGGGGAAAACAAGAGAGGAGACCAGGAGTTGACAGGTTTTGAATGGAAGATGATAACGTAGATGGTTAAACTGTTTCAGGGTGGATATAGTACGGCGGGAAATTTGGGAGATGTGTGGTTTCCAGGAGAGGCTTTGATCGAGATTAATACCTAGGTTTTTAACGGTGGTATGGAAGGAGATAGGTGAGTTGTTCAGAAGAAGATTAGGAGGTGTTGAAATGGATTTGAGGAGTGGGGGGGATCCGATCAGGATGGCTTTTGTCTTCTCCGTATTCAATGTCAGCTTATTAAGATTTGCCCATGCGCATATTCTATTGATGTCTTGTTGCAGTTTCAGGGTAGCATTAGAGGAATCTGTCGGGTTGAAGGAAAGATAAATTTGGACTTCATCGGCGTATAGGTGATATTGACAGTGTATGATAGAGGAAGTGAGGTCATTAATGTAGATGGAAAAGATGGTGGGAGATAATGAGGAACCTTGTGGGACGCCTCTGGACAGAGGTAGAGACATTGATTGAGGGTCATTAGGAACTACAACGTACTGGGAGCGATCGGTGAGAAAGGATTGTAACCACTTAAGGGTACTGGGTGATAAGGATATATTTTTATGTTTGGATAGGAGGATATTATGGTCAACTGAGTCGAATGCTTTAGAGAAATCAATAAGGATCAGGATGGTGAGTTTCTGTTGATCTATGGCTGTGTGGAGATCTTGGGAAATTTTAATGAGGGCGGAATGAGTGGAGTAGTCTGGTCTAAAACCAGACTGGAAGCAGGTCAAATGTTTATTTTGTTCAAGATATTGGGATAGTTGAGATTGTACTATTTGCTCCAAAGGTTTGGAAAGGTTAGACAAGAGGGAAATTGGACGGAAATCATTAGGGGTTGTGGGGTTAAAGATTTTGTTCAGATGACGAAGAAGAGCGGTTTTGCTCTTTGCTGGGAAAAGTGGAACTTTTGTAGTGAGAAATTATAGATATGATAAAGGACTGGGAAAATGGATGGAAATGAGGATTTAATTAATTTAACTGGGATATTATCTGGTCCGAAATCTTTGGTTTGGGATTTACAGATGGATTTAAGGAGGTCGTCAGGGGTAATATGCGAAATTATGCTGAGTAAAGATGACTCTTCGCCTCTTTCAGAAGTCAATACTTCCTTGGCACATTCTTTTACCAAATAATTAACTACAGTTCACCTTTCTAGGCCTTTGATCTCCTTTAATTCAAGCCCTCTATCCATTCCCTATCCACAAGATCCCAACCTTCTGGTCTTTATACCACTTTTCATATATCTACCTAATTTCAAAACTCCTGTATTGCCCTCTTAACCACTTTAAAAAATTTCATCTTTTAAAACTCTTCTATTCCAATTCCTCTTTGGTGTTTAAAAGTTAAAACATTCGCATTCCAGCTTGTAATTTAAATATTTAGTTTATGCTTCAGTGCAAGTTTTATTTATATGTTAACATTATTTTTTTTTTTTTTTTTTTTTTTTTTAGGAAGAAGATTTCCTTCATAACAAAAATGGACCTGAGGAAGTAAGAAAAAAACGTCTCAAATGTAATGTAGTGCCTTCTATAAATTTAGAAGCAACAAATGGAAAACAATCTCGAAATAATGTCAACTTCAAAAATAACAGTACAGAAAATTCAAAAGACTGTTTGAAAAAAAGGGATTCTTCAAAAGAAACTGAAAGTATAAAAGACCAAAATTCTATTTTACATTCTAAAAGGAAGAGCACTTCAGTAAACAAAAATAGCAAGAGCATAAGGGATCAAATTAAAAGAAAGAGTATTTCAGAAAACAACAAACATCCTAGTATGTTACCTAAACAAACCAATGTTAAAGGATTAAATAACAAAGAAAATACCAAAGGATTGACAAAAAGAAAAAATCGTTTAGAAAATATCTCACTTGGAATCAAGGAAATATCCAAGAATAAAATGGATAAAGACTCATTAAAGAATAAAAGTAAATCACTAAATAATATTTCTATTAAAAAAGATCTGCCTAGACATAAGGTTGCTGAAAAATCTATTAGTAAAGAAAATAAAAAGGAAATTTCTGTAGAGAAATTTAATAATCTAGCCAATGATACATTAAAAAACATCTCCAAAGAACAAAAGCTCACTAAGCCAATGATAACTAAATCAAGTAAAAAGGGGATAAATAAGAAAAAAAGTTATCCAGAAATACACTTAGAAGACCAAAATGAAAGCATAATCGGAAAAGAATCTGAGTTTCCAAATGAAAAATCATCTGAAAATAACAAGGATGAAACAAAAGATACATTAGAAAGCAATTCAGAAAATGTTGATGCTAATAAAAAAACAAAAAAGAGGAAAAGTTTACTGAGCAATGAAATGCCTAGAAAAGTTCATAAAAAAAGAATCAGATTAGGAAAGGATGATTCAGAAGATTCTGAAGATTCTTCTTCTGAATGTACGAGTACAATTTGTGTGTCTAGGAATAAAATTACCTATAAATCCCCTTCTGAAATGGCTGAAAATGAAGATCTGCTCAAGTACTTAAACTATTTGAAAGAAAAATCAAAATCTACTGATCAACCTATATTATTTTGGGTTGATGATTAGACTTCAAACATTATTGTTACCAGAAGAATATTTTTGGTTGTTATACTGAAATCTGTTGTATGTAAGCGTTGTAAATGAATATTGCAGAGTTAACTTAGTTATTTTCATACTGTTAGTTAACTAGATCATGAATTATTGCTTAGTTCTAAACCGTAAAGTACTTTAGGAATAATGTTAGTAATTTATTATTATTATTTTTTTAGAATTTTTTTATGATAACTTTTTTAAAGTAAACTTTAACCCTCCGTCAGCCATGCCTCTACCAACCTAATTGTATACTGTCTAAATGCCTTTGATTGATCCTTCCTGAGTTTTCCAATCTTTGGTCTTATCTGTGTATTTGAATTTAAATCTATATCAATACTTCACAGAAATCAATCTAATTTGTTTTTTATATATTATGGTACAGAAACTTGATTTTATATAAGTATTTGAATTTTTAAAATTCAAAGCTTACTATTTTGAAGATATTTATAAAATTTAAACATTTCAGTTTTATCGAATTTATCAGGTGTTGCCAACGGATGGTTAAATGTTTTTTTAATTGTCTGTTTTATTGTTGATCTCACACTATTATGATTTAAATTATGGATGTACATAATTTTATGAATTTAAGTTTTTGATAAACAATCTCTCTTTTGTGTATATCACTGCCACATATACAGTTCAACAGTATAGCATCTAAAGGCTAATTTTTAGATGTACATATATTCTTATCAACAGGGCAAAATCACTGCAGTTAGCTAAAAAGTCTGTAATATCTCTAAATAAGTTTTCATGTTGATTTTTTACCATTTTACTTAGATATTACTGTAAATGAATCTTATTGGTATTGCCAATAACAAATGCACGATTGAGTTCAAGATTGCAACATCTCAAAAAAGTTGAATTTTAAGATGTTACACTGTTGAAATGAAACAGAAATATTTTTTTTAGTTAATAAAGACTAATTATGTGCAACATACTTCTCAATGTAAAATTATTTATGATGGACATTATTAAAGTATTTTTTTAAATATTATCTACTTGTACATAAATGGTTAACATTAATATTTATATTACTAATGGAGTTTGGATAATATTTGATTTTTAGAAGGAATATCATATTTATTCTTTTAACAAAAATCAATATTGCTTCTATTTTTCAATCACTTATTCAATAAAATAAAAGAACATCATTTATCTATGTAATTATTTTTTTGTTTTGAATAAGTACAAATAAATACTTATTGTTAATATTATCAGATGAATATAATAAGTAATTTTTAATTATTTTACTTAAAAATTATACTTCATGTTGTAAATGTACTTATGTTTGGCAAAATATATGTAATTATAAACATGTTAAAAACATTATAGCAGATGTTAACTAATTATGTAATAAATTCACCAGCTACTTTCTTCTATAATTCTTTATAATCCTATTTTCTTGTACATTTTAATATGTCTTCTTCCTAATTTTAATTTATTATATTTTAATGCAGTTTAGAAAATATCTGTAGTTTCAGTAGTTACCTCTTATTGTAGTTTAGTGATTTTTAAATATGAAAAACATGGAATAAGATATTGACTTATAATAAATAAGTTAGCTACCAGCATAGACATGATTGTACATGTATACTCCTATATGAGGGGAAGACTTTTGTACCTCTGTTTATGATTGCTTAGTGATGAACATCCTTTCGAAGAGGATCATAACTGCGCGGATTTATTCCATATTTTGTAACTGTTGCAGACAGTGATGGTAGCCACAAGATATGAATTCAATATTGCCAAATGTTTCTCCTAGAACAACATTTACAGAAAAAAATGTTACTTTCTAATTTTTTAGATGTAAAAAAAATGGAAATACAACTTAATAAAAGTAAAATTCAACTTAACAAAAGTAAGATTAAAAATTAAAATTGATTTTAATTTTATATTGAAATTTTATTTGAATTAATCATCGTTTCATACTTGTATGACTGTTTTAATTATAAAATCCTAATTAATCACTTTTTTTTTTATTCTTTTATTAACTTTTGGTCAATAGTCACACTCACTCTTTGCAAAAATGGTGCATACTAACTTTCATTTATTTTTTTTTTCCCCCTACAAAAACAATGAAAAACAAAAGTTACGAATGAAATTGATCGGTGGGGCAGACCTATTCTTTTAATTGTCTAATTTGAAATTTATTATTACTATTAGCATTATTGTATTATTTTTTAAAAATAAAATCACCAAGGGAATTGTGTTAAAGAAAAAATATTATTATCCCAGTTTCTCAAATGATTGTCCAACTTTCTTCTTCCTTAGTACTCATGAATGGCATAGTTATAGTGCTATAATAACGTTTTTGGTATAACTTTTGTTCCTTTGTCTAATAATATGTGTAGACACATTAAATCCAGTTATTAAATAAAGTAGGAAAAAAAATCAATCAACACGATTTTTTATTATTTTAACTTTTTTTTCTTTCTTTATTAACTAGATTTAAAGTGTGTATACATATTATTAGAGAAACGAACAAAAGTCATATCAAAACGTTATTATATTATATTGGCTTTACCAGTGTTTTTATTGCCTAAACCAATTATTTTTAAAAATATTTTTTCATTTTTTATTATTTTCAGACTATTCAGCTTTAATAAAATGCCAACTAAGGCGAAGTTAAAACAAATGCTGAATTTTAGTGACCGAAAAACTATGTCAATCCGCCATGTTGGATGCCATTTTAAAACAATGCGTCCATTTCTTTTTGTGGGACCATTGGCTTTTTTTTAATAAATAGTTGCAAAGAACACAACGATACAAAATTTATAGAGAAGTGGGAGAATGTACCGTATTTTTGGGGGCTTGGCCACCCATGTTAGTGATGGGGCCATATGGCCAGAGCTGTGATTCTGTCACTGTGAGTGGGCCGGAGCTGGTGATCACAGTGACAGGCGCACCGAAATCACAGTGACAGTCACTGTAGGCGCTGTGAAATCACTGTACGCCAACAGTGACGATCACGGTGCTCCAACAGTGATGATCACTGTGCTCCAACAGTGATGATCACTGTGCTCCAACAGTGATGATCACTGTGCTCCAACAGTGATGATCACTGTGCTCCAACAGTGACGGTCACTGTAGGCGCTGTGAAATCGCAGCTCTGACCACTCCGCTCTATCACTTCTTTTTCGTTCTAGCAATCTGGGCATTGTTGACTTCATTAATTTAATAAATGAATTAAAGAAATAATCATGAAATAATTATTTCTAAAATAATAGTTATTCGTCATATTTTATTAAAAATACTTTTTGAACTTCAGATGAATTGAGCATTCATTGCCATATATTTCTGAATGAGTTATGTCTGAAATAATTTACAGGAAGTTTTTCATTTAACTGTTGAAATATAAATAAAAATTAAATAAATTCAAATATTCTCTGCAGGGCTGTACACAGAAACCAAAGGATCCCAGAGATATTTTCCCCCATCAAATATAAAATTTATCACAGGAAACAAAAAAATTATTTTATTGTAAGTTTAAACGGGGTCGGGGTAGCCGAATAGGCTAAAGCGTGTGCACAGCACCGCGAGTTGCCTGGCAACCGGATTACATATTTGAGAAGATTGCCAAGAAGATACGGGAAAATCCCGTATAGCCTAAAAGGCGAGGTAGGGAACAAAAAACAAAAAAAAATATATATATATAAGTTTAAACATGTAAACTATAATTTCACAGTGACGCTTTCGCCAAGGAGCCATTGTATATTTGACACCGGAAAAAAATCACTGTAGTGACAAATCACTGTGGTTTGTCACAGTGATTTTCTCGGAGCTGGCACTGTCGGAGCTGAGACAGAAAATCTCTGTCACACCCCATCACTAACCCATATACCACTTTTCAGGGTGAAGATGCTATGGATGAACAACTTTAGCCAACATCCGCACGTCCAAAGTGAATGAAAACGTGAATCCATGTATAAAGATGTGTGTAATATTGAGAACAGTGATAACAATGGCGTTTGTGATAACAATTGTATATACTTAATTTAACAAAATAGAATAAAATTATCATGTGACTTTTATTATCTGTAAAATTACATTACATTTTTCAATTAACATTATTTTTTATACTTTATTTAATAATTGGATTTAAAATATAACCATACATTATTAGATAGGTGAACAAAAGTTTTGTGTCAAGAATATGATACAAACAAATTTTTTTGAAAATGACAACATTCTACAAAAATTTTTAAAATATCTGTAACTGTAGACTGATCTGAGATTAATTTCCATATGTATATATATATATATATATATATTCTAATAGGAAATCTAAGTCTCTGAAACTTATATTAAATGAATTTCTTTCTCTGATGAATATCTTAGACGATATGAAGGAATGTTTGATGAAAAATGTGAGGCAAAATATTTGTTTTCGAAAATGTCATCTTTCTCCTAGCGTGTAGCTCGAAAATGGTTTAGATTTCGTCTAAAACCTATAGAATATAATTTTTAGAAAATTTTATAAACTTTAATTTGCTATACGAAAAATTTCTTCTTCGGTGCACCGTTTTAGAGATATAAGCGAAAATCCAAAAATTGTGACATTTTCTTCCTCCCACCAGAGGTGTCCATCCCCACCAAGGTCAATGGCGCAAGAACCTATCCCCCTCTCTCCTCCCAAGATATTGTATTGCTCACCTTTCTTAAAAACAGAGCAACCTAAAGTAGAATTTAAAAAAATCGTAGATCAATTATAAATACACTTGCTGCGGTCAGTTCCATGTGTTACCCTTGTCCATTAATCCGAAAATTCCATTAACTGTCGAAATTTGCTTTCCTCAAAAACTTAATAACCCATCAAAATAAGAGCCCCTCAAAAATTTTGATGGCACAACTTGCTCCATGAAATTCCCTTTTGGTCACTCCTGGCTCATCACCTAGACGTCAGTACCTTTGATATGTTCATACCCTAAGCACCCTGAACAAGTTTATGAAGGAATGTTTAGGTCCCTGCTCACACATTCTACACCCCCTTTTGAGCCAATCATCGATTGGACTACTACTCAGTGACGGCGCCTTAGACATGATTTCGCTCCCTAAATCTCCCATTCGCCCCCAAGGTCGATGACGCATGTACTTCCCCCTTCCTCCCAAGAAATGTTTTTGGCCCTCTCTTACTAAAAACAGTACAAGAGAAAGTAGAATTGAAAAATCGTAGATGATATACAACTACACTTGTCTGGTCCTTGTTTTCCCCTTGCTCCCTGGATTGAAACTTTTTCATTTCGAAAAATCATATAACTGTCGAAATTTTTCCTCCCTCAAAAATTCAAAATCCAGCAAAAATGTGTCTCCCTCAAAAATTTTGATGATGCAACTTGTGCCATGAAACTCCCTTCTGGACACCCCTGTCTAAGCTGTTTTATATTACGTAATATTTGAATTTTATTTCCTTCAGCATTTCTCCAATACAGTTACTTTATTAATTGGTCAAAATTAATGATTTTCATACTTTTTTTTTTTATTTCTAACAAGTAGAGAGCGTCCCTGAAGATCGGGCGGCGCCCCATCAGGTGCTCCGGGACTGTTGCCCCCGCTGTTCCACTAGGCTGGCACTGTATCTACTAAATGTAAGTATATGCCAAGAAAAAATTTAAGAAATTTTATCTCCTATCTACCCTACAGTAATAATTTTGCTCTTTTCTTATTTACGTACTTGAATTTTAAATTAATTTATTTGAGCTAATTACTATTAATTATTGATTGCATACCTTATGAATTGCTAATTTATTAATTATCTGTAACTACCACTTATAAAATGTATAAATAATACATACCATTCTAGAAAATTAAAAAAAAAAATCTTTGAAAATGACTCATATAACCGTCTTAATTGATGGGGTGAAACTCATTTGAAAAAATACTTTGTAAATTGAATTTAAAACTGTGGGCTTATTATGGTATCTGTATCTAATAACAATTTAAATATTTGACTAAGTTAAACAACCAGTGTCAGGTGTTTTTCTACCTTTCAATCAAGTTTTTTAAATTACATTTTTATATTGTAAATGATTAATTATGAGAATTGGTATTTTGCCATAGATACGCAGATCTTTAACCGCCAAATCAGTACGTTAGGGAATGGCGTTGGTCTTGGTTATGGGAAAAGTTTGTTAGGTCTCGTGATTTTATTAAATTACGCCGCCTTCAATTATTTTATATCTGCCTTTAGTGCATTTCGTGATGGTAAACCAGTCTGATATTTTTCTGGTTTATTGTTTTTTACAACAATGACGCTTCATATTGTACTCATCAAGAGTTTGTTTACATTTTGAAGCGCCACTTTTGTTCCTTTCAAAACGTTTAAAGGTGAAGCATTTGTTGTTATAATTCAGAAGAAGCTTGCAGTGACATGCTTTTGACGTACTAATGATCTAATTTCAGATAAATGTAGTGAAATGCTTGGAAAACTGATTGCACTAACGAAGAATGGAGAAGAGAAGGAGTCATTGCCAGTGGTTAATTTACATTTTTTTATTGGAAGTGACTTGTTTTGTGACCTAAGGATCAACCACAAAGATATAGCTGCCCAACATTGTTTGATAACTTCACAGAAAAATAAACCGGTATTTGAAGTATTTTTTTATTGTGTTTGTGTATGCATGGATTATTTATATAGGTTCTTAAATTCTGAGATGTTATATTCATGTCGTCCTTACATTTGTTTTTTTTAGTGCTTTCATTATATTTAATTAATATTAACACAATATAGATAAATAAGCTGAATAAATTAATGGTTTGGGTGTTATGGACAGTAGGTGTGATTTGAGAAGTTGGTCAGTGGATTCAAAACAATAAGTGGGACAATTTTAATCATTGTGTGCCTTCAGTTTGACTTTATATGTTTTCATCAGTGGTGTTCAAAGATGTCAAAAAACAAGAGATTAGTGAGACATGAATGACACGGAAGTTCTTTACTTCAAAATTTCCATTACATATCAAATTAGTTCTTGATACAAGAAGAGGAGTGAGTTGCCCCAGTCTATTCTAACTAGACTATATATGCTTTGGTAGAAGTGATAAAATAAAAAATCTTGTTCTTTACTACATATTTCCCACTTCTTTTATAAAAATAGTATTTAGTGTAAAGGTATTAGTGATGATCATTGCTCTAGTTATAGATAGTTAGAACTTTAAACCACGAAAATAAAACTAGTCTAATCTATTGTCTGCCAATGACAACTGATCGATAGCCTGATATATCTAATAATATTTTTGTGGAACAATGATGTAATTTCTTGTATAATCATGCGATGTGTGTAATGCATAAAAGGAAAATTCTCCAAAAGTGTGGTTAATATTTTGGGAATGGCCTACAAATCCATGTCAACATCTTCAAGTAGATTATCTGATACCATCTGAGGGAGGTTTCTTCTTGGTTATCATGGATGGTAACTCTAAGTGGAGTGTAACTTTCCTTACACATTCCATTTCCACAAAAACTACAGTGAGGATCTTGATACATTTTTTTGCTTGATTCAGGCTACCAAAGAGCATTGTTTCAGACAATTATTCCGGTTTCAATAGCCAAACATTCAAATACTTTTTTGCAAAATTTCATTGATCTTGGACATCATCCTTTTCCTCTAAGATTTATGGCACAGAAAAGAATGCTGTGAGAGCTATCAAACGTTGCTTAAAGACAGCTCTCGCGGAGTCATCTGTTGCAAACTTATATTTAGCTCTAAACAGATTCTTATTGAACTATCGAAATGCACTTCTCATAATTACTGGAGGTTCACTATCTCTGGCAGCTTAGGACAAGAATTGAACTCTCACGACCTATGGCAGACACCTAAATTGCAAAAGCTCCAAGAGAAACAAGTAGACATATCATGAAATACCTACATCTGCTGAACCTTTTAAAGTGAGGTACTGAACTAGAGACCTAGATCCAGTACCTCAACCTTCTGTAGCAATAGTGAACCTACCAACTTGCTCAGATTCTGAGGAATATTCCTCAACGGCTTGGGATTTGTGATGATATATTGGAACTGCTGAATGAGACTCCTCAAAGTGACAAGCAGCATGAGCAATCCTGTGACTCCGAGCTGCACAGTCTCAATGTACAAGAAAGCTAAATTAAGACTTAAGAAATATTTAAAAACATATCTTTTTTTTTGTTGGATAAGTTTATATATTTGTACTGCCCCTTCCCCCTTAAGTTTAGGGAAGAGATTGTGGGATATTGATATAATGTAAATATAAACGACATATCAATTGCTTCTGTGATAAAGTTTTACTTAATGTTAGCTGTTATTATTAAAACTAATTACAGATTATGTTTCTTGCAACAATAAATTTTTTTTGTGAAGTTTATGATCATATTTTTATTTATAGTTGTAGTTCCAAATATTAAGTCATCTCATTTTGTTACAACTATAAGATACTCATTGTATGTAGTGTCAAAGTAACAATAGCAACAGTGGTTTCTTTGTTTGCAAAAAGGCCTTAATACAGTATCGTTTTGCTTAAGGCAAAATATAATAAAACTGTTTTTTTTTTTTTAATGTTTAATTAAGTTATATTTATATATTTTTATCATTTGTTATTAAAGTATGTTTAGGGATTGCAGTTGCAACGAGAACACACAAATAAAAAAATTAAATTAATTTGATCAATCTAATCATAATATTAATTATGATTTGATAAAACAATAAAAACTTTTTCCACATGGTTTATTTAATTACTCAGTCGTGTACTCAAGTTGAAAACATTAATTAATAGCAAGGAACATTCTATAAGGATATATTATAATTTTTATTTTCCAAAACCCAATTAGATATCGAATAAACCAGAAAGCTGTAATTAGGTGATAGCATGACATCCCAATTTCTTTTCATCAGTCAGACCAGCCCCTGCAATTTACAGGATAGGCTATCTACACAACAGTTTGACATGAACAGTATGATTTAAAGTAGATCTGGGGCTGTTTTTCAAATGAAGTGCTATAAAATACATTTTTTGTATTTTATATTTTAAGAAGTCAAGTATAAAATACATTGTTGATAACTGTATTTTATAATATATAAAATGTTCAAAATAAATCACCAGATTGAGTACATTTCTTTAAAAGTTATATTCTCTATAACAATATAATAGTAGAAGTCATCTCAATTTGAAATGATTGTTTGTGTAGAAAATTTATATACTTAAATTATTTAAATATATTCAAAAAATATTTTATGAAAATAAAGTTCTTTTAATATTAATTTTATAATATTCCTGTAGAAAAACAAAATATTTTAATCTCAGATAATCTTTTTATTCTTTAAAAGTTATTAACAAAAATTGAACTATGTGCTTTATATAGCTATTGAATCATAACTTGATTACCCAATAAAGGACCAATTCTGATCCAATAAAACAATAACTACTGATTAAAAGCATGAAATGATCACTGTTATAATTGGTGTATATGTTAAATATTGGCTGAACTGGAGAAAAGGCAAAACCTCATAAATAAATTCAAGTTTACTGAATATAATGACACTATTCTGGATTTAAGTATAAGTTATAGTTGATTGATTTACCCACCAGAAATAACAGTTATTTTATCATTAATTATGGAAGGAAGAAACTTGCTTGTAACAGAAAAACTTGTTCAATATTGCATAAAACTTTACAGCTAGAATAATTTCTTTGAATTATGTAAATCATAATTCATAGATTTATGATGAAGTTTTCAATCTTTTTTTGGGATAGGAGATAGTTAATTTTTTTTTAAAGTTTAATGTACTTAGTATAAACACATTAAAAGTACTTGAAATTTAAGTAAGTATTAGTTGTTTTTATATAATTAATAGAGTGGGAAGATATGTATTTATAAAATTGACACATGGAACTCTGTGCATGTAAATGCACTCTCTTTTCTCATTAAATGGTTTAATTTTTAATTAAATGGTTTAATTAAAAGTTTCCATATTTGTAATTTTTTCTCATATAAAATATTTATCCTTTTTTTTTTTTCTGTTTAGGCTCTTATTAGGAACTTATCGCGGACTGTCCCTACATTGGTTAATAGCACTGAAATTGGATCTTCTGATGTGGAACTTAAAGACAGTGATATTATAGCTATTAGACATAAAAACTATAAATGGTGCTATGACAGGTAATATACATGTTTATATTTTTTTCTATTCCATTTTTTGTTTCTTTATCCTTACTTTAAAACATTTTAATAGTTAAACATTTATTAGATTACCATTTTCCTAATTTGTAAGTTAGCCTGGTAGTTGATTTATGAAAGCTTGGACTATTTTTTGGTTTAGAATTCTAAAATAATATTTTTTTTTTATATTGTTACGTGTATTTTATATTCATTGATAAATGGAAATAAGCTGATTCGACTAGCAAGGGGAGGCTATGGAAGGGAAGTCACCAATTTCAATGAAACATTTTTTGGTAATACCAGGTCAAAAATTTTTAGACCCGTATCGGATGGTTCTTGCCAATGCGGCCTAGGAACAGAGAAAAAAATTATATAAAATTATTTAACAAAGTTTATGTTATTTACTTTTGCCTTTGCTTTGCATAGATTTTTATATTGTTTTATACCAATCGATTATTTATTTTGTTCAGAATAAGAAAAAATATTGCTTATGGCATTAAATGAGTCATTATGTATTTTAAATTACAAAAAAACTAAAAGGGGCATCCAGTAAAGTAGCCTATATAAATTTTTGTAACAAGGAAGTTATATTTGTTTTTAGTGTTCTTCAAAACTCATAAATATGAATATTTATAGATTTCAAAAATTGTTAATTTTTGTACTGGATGTTATAGGAGGCTTGTTTTCCCGGCCGTCTAAAGCATGCATAACTTCTCAAGATTTTATTCAATTTCAATATTAGTACAGCTGTTGGAAAGCTGAATTGCTGCTCTTTCAGATTATATCAATAGTTTTTGGAATTCATTCCTTTTTTTAAGCCAAAAAATTAACTTCTCAAGAATTTTATTTTACATTTTTAGTTCTGATTTGTTTACGGAAATAGCATTTATACCATTCTGTGTAGCATACAGAGCCCGAAGTCCCTAACAATGTTCATGTGATTCAGTAGAGTATTCTGAAGTTATCCCAATTTTTTTGGTTGGGTACAAAATTTTGAAGGATCCAGACTAGGCAAAAACCTTCGATGTTTCAATTGCTATGAAAATTAGTATTTTAGAGTTTTTTGGGGTGGGAAAAATGAATATAAACATTATCACTACATAGTCACGTCAGTAGGACAAATTCATTCACATTCAATAGCTATCTGCCAAATATCATATTTTTTCTAAATCAGCCGAGTAAGTTGGTATTTGTTTTTTGCATTCCAAAAAGCTCTAAAATACTAGTTTTACTATCGAAATATAAAGATTTTTTGCATGAAATTTTTATCTAGACTGGACCCTTTGAAATTTTGTTGCCAACTGAAAAAATTGGGATAACTTCAGAACAACCACTGAAAATCACATGACATGGCCTACTTTACTGAAAGCTCCTTTTAGTTCTTGTTATTTAAGATAATTAATGACTCATTTAATGCAATAATAATAATTTTTCTATTCTGCACAAAAAAATTAATCGGTTGGTATATAATATATTAACAATCCGGACAAAAATTAGTAACATAAATTTTGTTCAAAATTATATAACGTTTTTTTTTCTCTGTTCCTAGGACACATTGCCATGAGCCCTGAGACATGGTTCTAATATTTTTCGACCTAGTATCACAAAAAAAATTTTCATTGTAATCAGTGTTCTTTTGTATAATCTGTTCCTGATTTTTTTTTTTCCTCTTCTTTAAATTTTTTTTTTTTATTAAACTATTAGAGTCTCCAATTATTGTTTACACTCGTTCCTTTTGAATACATATGTCTTTAAATTTGTTTCTTGCATTAGTAAGACTTAAGAGTAATCAATCCAGTATTGACATCACATACAAATATCATAAACATGATACTATTTTAATATTTTATTGTTATCATTATTTGGTAAGAATTTTCTGAAACTAAGTATTTTGCATTTGTCCTTTCTAGGTTTATATATTTAATTAATTGAAATCTTTCAATAGATTTGATTAAGGACTAACACTAGGCTGATTACCATTTTTTAAATTATTATTTTATTAAAATTTTAATATTGAGTGAGATTTAATTTAATTTGATTTTATATTAGGACATATTGGTCTGTATTTATTTGGATCTATGTGTTATCTCTAGAATCATTAGTTTTATCTATAGATATATTTTATTAAAAAGAAGTTATGGGAAAATCTGTACACATGGAAATAGGTTAATCAATATGTAATGTTAATAAAATAAAATGTATTTTATTTTTTTAATTGAAACTTTTTTGTTATTTTTTAATGCAATTTTGTTTTTCTCCATTAGTCCATCTAAACCATCTACCTCTTCTCAGACAAGTTTTGTTGTTACTTCAAAAAACAGAAAATCTTGGCCTTTGTTCAAAAATAAGCTTGTTGCAGTTGTTACACCACAAAGGAGGGATGAGGTGAGTTTGATTTGTTGCTAAATCTTGTTTTTAGTATTAATTATCTTATGCCAGTACATTTGTATTTCTAAATTATAACAACTTTAAATTTTAGTCTAGTTTTTTCTAACATTAACTTTGGCGATGCTTCTCTGTTTTCTATTTGATATTATAAAAGAAAATTTTTATTTGAAGAAATAATATGTTAGCTTACTAATCGTAGTACTGATAATACTGTCTTGCTTACTAATTCGAAAACATCTAAATCTATATCATGGAATGCAAAATCAGGTTAGTGGTTTTAATTGAGTTGAACTGATTTTTCTAAATTGAGTAAAATTATAATAATAAAAGCCAATACCTATGTATGTCTTCAAGCAGGACTTTTGGTTTAATGAAGTTACGAAAAAGTAAATTAAAAATAAAACTAATTTTATTTAACCATGTTATCTATATTGTGAGGTTCAACTTTCCAAAATTGTATTATTGCTCACAAACTCTAATTTGTCTTCCCAAGTATTATGTGCATTTCATTGAATTCAGTGTTTATTATTATTTTCTTAATATTATCTTTGTCATGATAATAGGTGGTTTAATTCTTCCTAAACTGATTATTAATTGTAGTCTTATTTGTGAATAATTAAAATAATTATTTTTTTAAATTAAGATTTTACAGTTTTTATTGACTTAGACACCCATTATTAATCAGGTTTTTCATAATTTTTGTGTGGATAAGTAGAGCCATGTTGGAGTTATCACAACTTTTGTAATTTAAAAAAAAAAATCCAAGGCCTCCCTTGATAAAAATTTGAAGTAAAAAATTTTTATTTTTTTATTCTAATGCAAATTTGTATTTGAGGTTTTATCGTGATCCAAAAGAAGAAAATTAGCTTCTTTTTTCATTTCAGAGATAATTCTTTTCGATTTTGATGTTTTTTTTTGTTTTTTTTTCGATCAAATCAAATAAATAATCGAACATTTACATTTTTATTTATATAGATTACTGGGTCAGTTACTATTGTTATGTAACTTTCTTTATATTTTAGTTCATATTTCTGTCAGTTTTTATGTTAGCTATTTTATACCCCCTACAATGATTTTACTTTCTTTGTTGTCCTGTTGAAGACCTGCAATATGGTTCAAAACATTGGCTTTCAATAAATTGTTCCTATCATTTTGAAGGTTTCCTTGATTGTCACCCATTAAGTAAAATAAATCTGTCAATGTATCATCAATACAGTAAACTATTAAATTTATTACAATAAATATTTTTATTTGAAATGTCTTTTATTAAAACAAGTAGTCTCAGTAGCATTGCAATATATTAAAAATTGTGTAAATATTAAATTATTTTGCATAAATTAGTACATAACCTGCGGATATATGGAAACATTTAAATGTTTCAGGATGTACCGCTGACAGAAAGTATTCAGTTAGGAATATTGGTGAGACAATTTTCTGTTGTAGAGTAGTTTTGGTAATTTAATGTTGATATTTGTTTCATTTTTTAAATATTTTATTTGTAGCATTTTGGTAAAAATTTATATTCTACTGTTAAACTACTAATTTTCCTATTTTCGTAGTATGGTGACTATGAAGTTTTTAATTTTTATGTTTTTAGTTTGCCTTTTTTCTATTTATTTATACCTATCAGGCATGATAAGAATTATAAAATTTAATTAAAAGTAGTGTGATCCAGTGACATTTGAATAAATCTGTTGCAGCAAAATGAGGTACTACCTAAAAAAAGAAGAGGAACTATTGCAGAGGAAAATATATCGAAAAGTAAATCAACTCCAAAGGTTTTGGCTATTAAAAGTGGATTAAGAGCAACCAATAAACAAACATTTGGAAAGCGAAAATCAAGTTTGAAGTTAGTATTGATTGAGGTTTTTAAAATCTTTTATCTGTATTAAAAATTATCCTGATATTTGTTTACACTAAGTATACTATCAGTGTAATTTTTCTGACAAACTAAATAAAATCTAAAAATAGTATAGTTATAAAAACATTTTTAAAATAAATACATCCTTCTAATGCAGACGGTTAGTAATACGATAAACTCCCTTATCTTCATACATGGCAGGAAAAAGGCTTTGCCAGCTCAATGAGGGAGCTGATTTATTTAAAGTGCCTAAAAACTCACATATTGCTTTTAACTATAGATTAGGCTAAAGTTAGTTTAGTACAAAAAAATATCTTGCTACTGTTAGTGCACGAGGTCTTATGTAAAAATTGAGTTTTTTTTACAAAACTGATATGGAACAATTTCATATTTTATTTTCCTCTTCTATTTTCCTATTTTGCAGATTACTTAATAGCAGTTGCAAACTAAAAAATGTCATATTTGTCGCAAAGAGAATAAACATGTAACATTGTTACATACAATCTCTAACGGTAGCGATCTGTTGTGTTCACTTTCTTGACTCTTCTTACCCGTTTGTCGTGAAGTTCAATACAAAAAGTTGTTTGCTACATATGTTTTCAAATATACCAATACTGAAAATATCATAACTAATATATTGGTATTCTTTTTGTGATTGGCAATGTGTGAATATTTGTTGCTAATTTAAGCTCTTATAAATCTATGGCTTCAATTCACTGTTCATCCTGGCCCCATTCTTTCAAAGATTAAAAATATCAATATTTTTCAATGATGTTTCAATATATTAGATAATTATTAATACTACATGTATCAATATTATTGTTCGATATATATTTAGATTTTGATTTGTTTGATATATTGAATTAATATTTTGATATATTTAAAAAAAACAAAAATTGATACATTATATATCGACTTTTTTTTAAATATTTAGCGAATGGTGAAGCAGTTCAATCTTGCTCTATTGCAGTTACCAGGATGTACTGTAATGATAACAGTGTAGGAGGGATACCTTATATCCACTTCCTTTGTAAATATTTACACTAAAGGCTAGGGTTTAAGTTAGAAGGTTCTGTTGGTCTGCCAATGAATCTGGGTGAAAATAGCAGAGTGCCCTAGCAAAAGAAAGATTTAATTGAATAGAACTGGTGATGGATGAAAACACTGAAAGAGAGGAGTTACTTTAAAATTAAGATAGTACTTTCTTCCGGTCTGTCACATTCCGAAACAAAATTGATCCTTCCATACTATTGGATTTAAAAATTCCAACACTTGCAATGTTTGTGTTTTCTTTACCAATAAAGTATAAATAATGACTTTTGTCATCAACAATTTTGTTTGAGGTTTCTTTATCTTTTGAAGTAGGTTAGTAGAAAGCTATAGCTTTATTTTTTAAAAACTCATTGTTAAAAGCAGTTTTTGGAATTATAATCTTAGTTCACATTTTTATTATTTTAACTATCAACTTTTGTTGCTATTAATAAATAAATTACCATTCCTCCAAGGAATGGAATATATTGTTATCCTGAATGTTTTGATGTACAATTCTTAAAATATGGATTTGAGAAAGTTTAATTAAATAGCTATCTTTTAATTTCAATTGATCTGTTTCAAGCAATAATAAAATGATATTTATGTTTTTCTTGTCTAGAAATGCTCAAAAAAGATCCTCCGTTGAAAGAACTCCTAAGGTATTGCCATCGCTTAATAGAAAATCAGTTAAGTTTCTGGATACATCTGCACCTCGTTCAAGGTTAGGAACCAGAGGAAGAAAGAGCTCCTCATATGCTACTCCATACAAATGCACACCTGCAAAGCAAAAGGTATATACTTAAGCATGTAATATATATTTGTACTTTGTTACTTTCCTACCTACACTAGTTAAGGAAAGTATTGCGATCGGGTCAAATTTCTGACGTTTTTTTTAAATCTTTATATAAAAACCCCTATTCACCGATGTTCAATCTATACAATAGAATTAAGAATAATATTTTTAAACAAAACTATAACAAGATGTCTTACATTTATGACAAATGGTTAAGATGATTTGGTGGGATTCAATAGAATTAATTTAATCTTCTAGTTTTGACTCCATTCTTTTGGGTTTATGGTAAATTATTAAAGAGTTTAGGATTCTATAAGTGAATGATTCATTAGGGGCGGGGTGGCCGAGCAGGCTAACGCATGTGTGCACAGCACCATACATTGACCGGCAACCTGGTAACCAAAGTTATAAGTGATAAAATAATTGCGAGTTCATGTCGCGGTTCCAAGGGGGTCTTTTAACTTGGCATTAATCTCCCGCCTTCACCCTCTGGTCCGGGAAAACCCCGTATAGCTTAAAAGGCTAGGAAGGGAAGAAAAATAGAACAAAAAAAAAAAGAAAAGTGGATTATTCATTGGCTGTGTAAACCGTATATAGCAGGGAGGTAGGTATATAGTTGATTCTTGAAATTGTACGGATGAAAACTGGTCATTATGTGTAGTTAAAAAGTTTGACGATGTTTTCGACCCTAACATGCGGGTCATCATCAAGACAATGATTTGAAGGCTGAACAAGAACTCTCACCAACTCAACATTTGAAGAAACTCTTGCAAAGAAAACATCGGCAAACTCAATGAACATAAGTTTTGACTGACCATTTTTCATCCTTTCATATATAGGAGGGTTCACTAACAATGTCCAATGGTTTCATCTATTGTACCAATGTAGATTGTAGTAGTTTTATTGTAAAATTTATAATGTAAGTAAATCATATAAAGTAAAGAATTAATAATAATATAAGGAAATTGGAATGGCGTATAACGACTATATTAAGTATCACTAGAAAACAGATTAATAGATTAAATTGATTTATTTTGAGTATATTTGGAATAATAACAGACTATGGAAAAATGTAAACAGGAAAGGATTTATTAACGTAATTTGTAAAGCAGTACTAGGTGCCAGCGCCATATTTTTCTATTTTCTATTATAGATATTCTATTTCTATGTGTGATAGTTATTTTAATTTTTTGTTCCCTTTTGTTTTGGATGTGCAACATCATGGTAAGTTATTGTATGCATTATCCTTATATTTATTCTTTGTAAAATAAAAATTTATTATTTTTTTTCAGCTTTCAGTTTATTCAACCCCTCCCTCCTCATTGAAATACGATAAAAAGAAACCAATAAAAAGTATCTTGAAGACACCTAGCAGTTCGTCTACAACTCCTACAAAGGAAGAAAAAGATGAAATACACTTAACTAGTACTTCTGGTATATTAACAACTCCTCTGTCTAATACTCCTGAAGTCAACCTACATGGTTCTTCATTGTAAGTTTCTAAGTTTTTTTATTATTTTATTGTTTATTTTTCTATGCTTTAAGATAAGTAGTAAAATCAAGAAAATCAGTAAAAAAAAAAAAACTGTATCAGTTAAAGAATTCAATTGGCATGAAAACCAGCAATGAACTTCGAGGAACCTGTTTATAAAAACATATATATCTGCTTGTATCAACACGGAAAGATGGTTGTATCATGTTACTGATCACATGATGAACAAAGATAGGCTATTTCCTAAAACAGTTGAAATAAGGATGTCACCCACTGTTGGCAGGAAAATTAGGTGGCCTTAGTCCACTAGAAATGGTGTATATGATTGAGTAAAACTTTAAAGGATAGAGGATTGGTTTAAGTTAACCACTGTTGAGCAGGCCTAGGTCTTTTGTGAACCATAACATCACCATAGTTTTAGTTATTTCCCTGAAGTTAATAATACAATCCACTGTTTTAGCTAATAAAATTTTCACAATTTTTTTTAAACAGTTCCTACAGATATCAATTGTCCATTAAGAGTTCCTGTAGATGCTAATAGAGGAGACAACATTGTGTCCCTCATTTAGACTTCTTTTTTGGATTGTGGAATATTTTAACTCTATACACACTTGGAGCACCAAACAGCGATTTAATGAAATAGACTGTCAAAGAATTGACATCACTACTCTCCAATCTGATAGACTGGGCAAAACTCAACCGAGAAGAAAGGTCACAATAGAACACACCACTTTAAAAGGTTGTAGGTGAGAGGTTCTGTCAACTCGTTGACTTCAAGCCTGTAAGCTCCAAATTAAATCTTTCCAGAGTAGATGGCCAATCCTTCAACTATTCGTACACTCGTTTCAGCTGTCATGCTCTGACTGAAACACCAGATGAATAACCATAGAAGAATACTATAATTTGCTAGAAGAAAATAATAAAGCACGTCCTCATTCACCCATAATTCATAATAGTGCTTGCCATTAATTTTAATGCAAAAGTTGGTAAGAAAATAATATATATCCCAACTATTGGTAAATATTATTAGTATGCATGATGTCTATGACAAAAGTGACGGTAAACATATTAAATAAATCGTTGGTAGCAAGTATTCTCACATAAAAATCCGTCTTGGCACGTGGCAATCCCCCACAGTTAACCAGATAAATCACTTTTTGGTAAGTGATAAGTTTTAAATAATTACTTCTGTAATTACATTACATATTTTAAATTTTTTGAATAATTTTTGTCTTAAAGAAAATTTATTTTTAATTGATTTTAAAAATGTTCTCTTATTCAGATTAGAAAATGATTTGTTACAAACACCTGTAAAGGAGATACAACCAGAAATAGTTATGAGATCTTCCAAAAGAAAAGCTGCCATTATCAGATCTCCTCCATCCACTCCCAAGTCTGTAATAAAAAAAAGAAAGTCACCGGAGGAAAAATCAATTGAAGCATCTGAGCGAGCAGCTAAGAAATTAAAAAAAGGTCCTCCACATGCAATAGGTACATCATCATTTTTTTGCTTTGATATTAAAATTAATGATTGTGGGTTTATGGTTGACTGTAGTGAATAATTGAAAAGAAGAATGGTTGGGGCTGATTAGTCTAATTGAAATGGTAAAAAATAATATATTTTTTACCATTTCAATTTGACTGATCACTTCAAACATCCTTTTCTTCAATTAAAATTAATGAATTGAAGCTTCTAATGTTTTCATTTCTACACACCAAGTTATTGTTTACTTAAATATCAATATTTAAAAAAAAAAAGTACTCTTAGGCTTGTTTAATTTTATCAGTGGATTCCTCCAAGATTCTTATTTTACCAAGTAGTCTAGTCAATGAATGCTCAAGAAGGTGGTACAGAAGGAAATTGCGGCGACACTATTTTTGACTTAAAGACATTGTTTGGACTAATAAGGAGGTAAACATACTAAAAGTCCCACTCCTAGGTGGTAAGCCAGATGTGAGGGGGTGCCTGGTAGGTCCCATTTTTTAGGATTTTTGCTTATATCAGGAAAACTATCCATCGCATCGACGAAGGCGTTCTATACAAAATAAGAGCTGATAAAATTTGCAATATAAATGATTCGCTAATATAGAAAAAAAAAACATTTTTTACTGTATCTAATTAGCTAACTTTTGATTGCTTCGTTTTACGATTAAGACATTGTGAAGAAAGTTTTTAGTAATTAAATTTTCTTGAAGAATATATATATATATAAAATATATGTTATTATTATATTGCTCTAACTCTGTCTATATATATATCTAAATCTCTATGTATATATATATATATATATATATATATAATATATATATATATATATATATTATATATATATATATATATATATATATATATATATATATATATATATATATATTTACATACATACAATAACCTTTATTATAAAAATTATTTTTTTCTGTATATTCTCGGAATCAACATATAAAGTTCTAACTGTTCTAACTCTTGAATCGTTAGAAATAAACTATCAAATCTAAAGTTTGCTTGTTAGATACAGTAAAAAACATGAGGTAAACATTTTTTTTTTTCCTCATTAGTGATAGCTGAAGAAGAATATCTCGGAAACTAAGCGAGATAGAGAATAAAGGTATATAATCAATCGTATAGCAAATTTTATCAGCTTTAATTTTGTATTGAACGTTTTTGTCGATGTGATGTATAGTTTTTCTGATATAAGCAAAAACTCGAAAAACAGCAATTAACACGAAACAAAATTTTTTTTTTTCAAAATAGCCATAGTAGACGGATATCTCGAAACTAAGCAAGATAACAAAAAAAAAAAGATATATAATAAATCATATTGCAAATTTTATCAGCTTTAATTTTGTCAATGTGATGGATTGTTTTCCTGATGTAAGAATAAGTGACCTAGGCGTCGCCCATCAAATCTGGCTTACCACCTAGGAGTAGGGACTTTTAGTATGCTTACCTCCTTACTAGTCCAAACAATGTCCCAAAGTCAAAAATTGTGTAGCCGCCATTTCCTTTTATAATCATTCGTTGACTGGACTAATAGTTACATAAATAAAATTTAAGTTTATTAAATAATGCTTCAATTTATTATAACTGTAGAGGATAATCATATTTTATTAAAGGCGGAAAATTTGATCAATTCTATTTAAATTACTGTCTACTGTATTTTCTTCAGATAAGAAAAAAAGAGCTGCTTTACTACAATGTCATCGAAAAAGTTTAACACCTCATCCAGTGGCAAGGAGTAGTGGAAAATTTATAACAAGCTTTCCATCATCTTTCAGTAGTCGACTAGAAACTAATTCACCTACTAGAATTATAGTTTCACCTAAATTTAATAATTCCGGGAAATCAGAAAGCTTGAAATCGTCTACGGTAAGTATAGATCTCAAAAGTTACCATATTTTTTGTGTTTATATAAAGAAAAGCTTTCATGTAATTTTTGTTTCAGGATCTGCTGACACCAACTGTTATTAAATACAGTTCATTGGGAAAACGTACTGATTCAAAATTGATTCAGCCCAGTACCACTGCATCACAGGAAAAAATAAAGCCAAGGGGTAGGAAGAGCTCACATAAATCTATCTCGAAAACATCTCCCATTGTGAGGAAGTTCACAAGAGCTTCTAGGGCTGCACAAATCTCCAATAATTTGCCTCAGAAGATGGAAGCTACTGATGTGTTGAGTGCTCTTGATCTCTCTCGTCGATGGCCTTCCCCATCACAGGGAGATAGCTCATCTCATGATGTGTCAAACTTGAGTGGATTCAAAAAACTTTTTTCTGTTGATAAAACTCTAGATGTGCGTGAGCTATTTCTGGAAACAAATTCCGAATTGGACAATACTACTGAGAAATCCTTTCAAAGCCCATCTGAATCCCACTTGGGAAGGGTATCGCGGCGTTCTGCTCTGTTGAAAGGAAAGCAGTCTGCTGATGAAGAAGAGCTGATGCATTCATTTCAATCAGAAGGAGCTCAAGATTTACCCTGCTCTGTGAGTTTACTGAGTGGAAGTTTATCTTCTTTTCCAAGTTATTCATCGACTTCTAGAAGATCTCTATCACTCAAACAAGGGCGTAAGTCCACTCTATCTCCCAAAGACATTAACTCATCATCGGTAGATCAGACGACAGAAGCACAGTCCACTGGAAAGAGAACTACTCAATCCAGTGATATTGTTGAAAATGTTAAGGCTAACTCATTTTCATTTTCTCGTAAAGGAAGACGATCTCTTAGTATACCAAATGGTAGTTCCTTTGAAAAAAATCATTTGATGCAGTCATCAGAATCAGGTTCCAGTGATTTATTGAATATTACCAATGAAAAACACAATAGAAGTGTTGATACAAATCATTTCTCATCTCCCTTAAATGACACTTTATCTAGAAGTAACTTTGTTGATTGTAATATTAGTCAGAAAGGCTTAAATGGTTCATCTTCAGATGTGTCAGTTTTTTCTCTGGGTTCTTTTAATTCTTCTTATCATAAAAGTAAAAGTGATGGTGATAGTTTATCTTTATCACAAGCCTCTGATGTAAATTTTGTTAATGAAGATAATTTTTTGGAAGATTCTGTGGAAAGTGAAATAAGTGGAAGTGCTAAAGGTGTTCGTGTTATTACACCAATAACTGGTAAAGGACATTCAAAGGGACGCATCTCACTTAGGAGGACTGTTTTACTGGCTTCTACTCCTAAGCCAGGAAAAGTACTTAGCAATAATGAATCACTTTTGTCTTTAGACACAGAAGTTGATACAAAAGAAACAAGCCTTCATGAAATTAGTTTGAATAAATTACAAAGGAATCGATCTCGTAATTTATCTACTGATGTTGCTTCCGGAAAATTAAAAAAGACAATGAAGAAAGGAAAAGGGTTTATTGCTAAAACCTCTACCCGGTTTGCTAGCTTACCTTTAACAACTGATTCTTCCGTTTTGAAGAATTTGTCTGCTATCTCTGCAAGTGTAGGAGATTTGAGAACCAGCAGGCGCAATAAAATAAGCTTGAACGAATCGCAACCAAATTTACTCAAAAGTAGCGAAAATTTAATAAATAATAATGAGGATAGTTCTACCACTGCCTTAAGTACAATTCAATCAACTAGCCTTTCTAAAAGTAAAATTACTGATCATTCTTATGTAGTACAACAATCTGAGCAAGTTTTGACATCAAATATTTCTATTAGCTCTACAAGGAGTAGCAGAAAAACAGAAGATAGTACAATATTTAACAGAACACAGATGGATAAATTTTCTTCATCACCACGTATTTCATCTGATAAAAATAATACTATTAACAATATTAATACTATCTCCAAGGATATTACATCTTCATCAGTCGATACCAGCCTAGGAAGAAGGACCAGATCATCCAAACGTAATTTAGAAACCTCTCAATTAGCAGTATCAACAAGCTTCAAAAAACGTTCACGAAGTGTACCATCTTTAACTGATGATCTGAACACTCAGGCACATAGACAAAGTACCAGAAGTAGAGGTAATAGTATAATATTAAATAAGACTGATAAAGATTCTTCAGCACCATCAACATTGCCTGATAAAACAGTTTCTGATGATCAAGATATTGTTTCACCAATTATCGAAGCATCCTCTAATGTAGGAAGGAGGAGAAGAACATCTAAACTCAGTGTAGGGCCTGATAATTCTCAGTTAGAGAAATCTATCGGTGTGAAAAAGCGCTCCCGAAGTTTACCATCATTAGGTGATCAGGTTACCCCAAAACAGGCCTCGAGTATTTTAGAAGATATTGCTTTGCCTAAACGAAGTGGCAGGAAGGGATTTGATAGTATACTATTAAACAAGACCCCTGAGAATTCATCGTCAACAACATCAACAATGCTTGATAAAACACATTCTGTTAATCAAAATAATACTACACCAATTACTGAAGTATCCTCCAATACTAGTGTAAGAAGGAGCAGACCATCAAAAGTTAGTGTAAGTCCTGATCATTCTTCATTGAGAAAATCTACAGCTAAACTCTCCCAAAGTTTACCGCCATCATCAAGTGATCAAATAACACCTAAACAGACCTCAAATGTTGTGGAAGATATTGGTCGCTCTACACGAAGTAGCAGAAAAGTAGATCATAATACTAGTATAGGAAGGAGGGGCAGACTGTCAAAACTCAGTATTAGGTCTGACGATTCTCAGTTTGAAAAATCTATCATTGAGAAAAAACGCTCTCGAAGTTTACCATCGTCATCTCATGATCAGATTACACCTAAACAGACCTCGAGTATTGTTGAAGATATTGGTCGCCCTAGACGAAGTAGTAGAAAAGGAGATGATAGAATGTTGAACCTAACAAATGTAGATATATTATCCACATCACCATCAAAACTTTCTGGAAATAAAACTGTTTCTGATAAACCAGATAATGCTACTCCAATTATTAAAATTTCCTCCCTTAACGTTACTGGCAGGAGAGGCAGACCATCAAACCTCAGTGTAGATCCTGGTAATACTGAATTGCAGAAATCTACTATTGCGGAAAAAAGCTCACTAAGTTTAACATCATCATCCATTGATCAAATTACACCTAAACAGACCTCGAGTATTGTAGAAGATATTGTTCGCTCTACACGAACTAGCAAAAAAGGAGATTCTAGTATAAATATAAATAAGAATCCTAAACATTCTTCATCAACTCCAACATTGCCTGATAAAGCTGTTATGGATATTCAAGATGCTGTTACTCCAATTATTAAAACATCTCTTAACAAAACAGGAAGGAGGGGCAGATCATCCAAACTCAGTATAGGTTCTGATAATTCTCAGTTGGAGGAATCCACTTACAAGAAAAAACGCTCAAGAAGCTTACCTTGTTCATCCAATGATCAGATTACACCTAAACAGACCTTGAGTATTGTTGAAGATGGTCGCTCTACACGAAGTGGCAAAAAAGGAGATTCTAGTATAATTTTAAATAAGACTCCTAAACATTCTTCATCAACTCCAGCATTGCCTGATAAGGCTGTTTCTGATGTACAAGATGATGTTACTCCAATGATTAAAACATCTCTTAACAATACAGGAAGGAGGGGCAGATCATCCAAACTCAGTATAGGTTCTGATAATTCTCAGTTGGAGGAATCAACTTACAAGAAAAAACGCTCAAGAAGCTTACCTTCGTCATCCAATGATCAGATTACACCTAAACAGACCTTGAGTATTGTTGAAGACGGTCGCTATACACGAAGTGGCAAAAAAGGAGATTCTAGTATAATTTTAAGTAAGACTCCTAAACATTCTTCAACTCCAGCATTGCCTGATAAAGCTGTTTCTGATGTACAAGATGATGTTACTCCAATGATTAAAACATCTCTTAACAATACAGGAAGGAGAGGCAGATCATCCAAACTCAGTATAGGTTCTGATATTTCTACATTGGAGGAATCCACTTACAAGAAAAAACGCTCTAGAAGCTTACCTTCGTCATCTAAGGATCAGATTACACCAAAACAGACATCAATTATTGTTGGTGATATTGGTCACTCTACACGTAGTTTCAGAAAAGGAGACGATAGTATAATATTAAGCAATACAAATAAAGATCCTTTATGTACAACACAATCAACATTTCCTATTACAATTCATGATCAACAAAATGGTGCTACTCCGTTTATTGAATCATCTTCCAGTACCACTATAGGAAGGAGAGGAAGGCCATCCAAACTCAATGTAGGTCTCGATAATTCTCAATTAGAAAAATCTACCACTGTGAAAAAGCGCTCACAAAGTTTAACATCATCAGGTGATCAGATTACTCCAAAACAGATCTCAAATACTATAGAAGTTATTGGTCGCTTTACTCGAAGTAGCAAAACAGGAGATACTAGTACAGTTTTAAATAAAACACTAGCTGATACTTCATCTGCAACACCATCAAGATTATCTCATACAACATTTTCTGGTAAACAAGAGAGTACTACACCAATTATTGAAGTATCCTCCAATACTAGTGTAAGAAGGGGCAGACCGTCAAAACTCAGTGTAAGTTCTGATCATTCTTCATTGGAAAAATCTACGGCTATGAAAAAACTCTCACAAAGTTTACCGTCATCATCCGATGATCAAATGACACTTAAAAAGACATCGAGTCAACCTAGACAAAGTAGCAGAATAGGTGATGATAGTAAAATACTAAACAAAATAAATGCAAATACTTCAATTTCATCACCTTTATCATTAATTGACAGAACACCTTCTGATGAGGAAGTTTATGGTACCCCTGATATAAGTACGTTGTCAGCAATTAAAACTAGCGTAGGAAAACGGGGCAGGCCATCTAAGCTCAGTGGAGGCCTAGATAATTCTGAATTGAAATCTACCTCTGTTAAAAAACTTTCACAAAGTTTATCATACTTATCAGTCAAAACTAGCGTAGGGAGACAAAGTATAATATCAAAATCGTGTGTAGGTCCTGACAATTCTCAATTAGAGAAATCTATCATGAAAAAACGCTCCCGAAGTTTACCATCCTCAATCGAGAATCAGACTACTCCTAAGCAGACTTCTAGTATTCTAGAAAGTTTTGGTCGTCTGAGGCGAAGCAGCAGAAAGGGAGATGATGGCAAGATATTAAACAAGACACTTGCTGATACTCCATCCTCTTCACCATCAACATTGCCTGATAAAGCTGTTTCTAGAAAAGAAGATGGTGCTACTCCAAATATTACAACATCTTCCCTTAACAATAAAGCAAGGCGGGGTAGACCAGCTAAGCTCGCTGTTAGCACTAAAGTCAAAAATGAAAAATTACCTTTGATAGAATCTAATGCTTCACAGAATTTAACTTCTAGAACTTCTTTGCAAATTATTTCTGGAGAACCTTCAGCTACTCTATCAACTTATACTCCTTCATTAGATCATATTGAAGACATACCAGCCATTAGTCGTAGAAAATCTAGAAAACGTAATGTTGAAGAAGTTTCCCCTGAATCAGGTCCATTGAATCCTATATCATTTCATGGCTCTAGTGATGATAACATTTCTTCTCTAGCTAAGAAAAGGGTAAAAATTAGCAATTCTGATTCTTTTCCTGTATTTTCTGATAGCATTCTTAACAACAAAGGAACTAACTTCCTAGATACTAATGAAGGGAATTCTAAAACATTTGGTGCATTTAGTTCAACCCCTATTGTCACAAAAAATCCTTATATAATTGACAGCTGTGGAGAAAAATATCGAAGCAGATGCAAGTTTAGGAACATGCAATCACCAATGGGACTTTCTCCTATAACTGGTGAAGCAGATTCTTCTGTGAGTAATGAAAGTTCCCAAATAAGTATGATTTGTTTGCGTCATTCGAAATGTCCTAGTGATATAGGGGGAAAAAGTTCAAGTTCAAACATGCTGTCTATTAATAATCGATCTCATAATTATACTGATTTAGATGCCAGCAAAAGTTCAAATTGTGGTACAAATAGTGCAAAAGTAACATTAAGTAAGAAAAGATCTACAAGCTTATCTACCCAAAATCAGTTACCATTTAAACATCAAACTCCTGTTACTTCACAACTTCCTGCTGTAAAGGAAGATAAATCACCACAATTACTACCTCAAGTTAGAAAATCAGATTATAGTATACATTCTCTTCATGAATCTAAAAAGAAGAAGTGATAAATGTTACCTCTGATATGAGAAGTAAGACTCCGATTATTAAACTTTCTCCTGGTAAAAATAGAACTAGGTCAAGAAAAACAAGTAAGAACATGGAATCTGTTAAAGAAATAGTTGCTCAACCTAAACCTGTGTCAGATAGCTATTTAAATAAAAGAGAAGCTGAAAATTCAGAAACTAGCTTTCAAATTGAGTTATCATCTAATTCTGGAAGACCATCCACGGACAAAAAACCTACTTACAAATCAATCATATCTTCATCGAAAACCTCTGAACAGAACACTTCATTGACTAAATCACCTGTACTTCAGAGGAGAGGAAGACCTACATTAAAGGGTGTTTCAGAAATTAAAAACTCAACAAATAAAGTTTTACCAGTTTCACAAAGACGAGGAAGATCAGCAAAAAATATTAATTTGAGTCCTCCACTGAAAAATGCTAAAGTAACCTCCCAAAAAATGTCAAAAAAGAAAAAAGGAAGGAAAACCATAACAGATAAGGAATCCTCTTCTTCAAAGGAGCATGAAGTTGAAATTATCAGAAGTGAGTCTGATCAAACAATATCAGAAAATGTTGAACAAAAATCTCTAATTTCTATTCCAAAAACACGATCAAAGGTTGCTGTATTAGCTTTGAAAACACCAAGAAAATCAGTTATTATTAGTTCACCTATCGTAAAATCTCCATCTTTGAATAGGCGAAGAGTTGGAAAAATAAAGTCAGAAAATATCTCTTTGCAATCACATGCTCAGAGACAAGGTCAATCATCTAAAGAGGTTACGATTAATGCAGATACAGAAGATCAAAATGTTATACTCCATAGCTGCATTTCTAATAAGGAAGTTAAAAGAGGAAAAAATAAAGTTAATAATTCGAATCCTCTGCAAAAAAAGATGTTAACATTGAAAAACAAAATATTATTTTATTATCTCCGGTTAAAAGAAGAGGGAGGTCTGCTGTCAATAATTCTTCAAGCAAAAGAGAAAATCTGGTTACTACAGTATCGAAACAGGAAATTGTTGCCGCTTCACCAATTTTACCAAAAAGAGGGCGTCCTGCTAAAACCCAGGAAAAAGTCAATAATATTTCTACCAAGGGAAAAGACCTCCATGAAGTTACCGTGTCGCCAAATACACTGTTATTACAGAAGGAAGGAATGTCTGTTAAAAGTTCTGATTCATCTCATAATAAAAGGGGGAGACCCAAAAAGCATCCAGTAATTAGCAATGAAACAATTTCTTCCCCATCTTTACCAAAAAAAGGAAGGCCTGCTAAGATTCTGAAAAGTAACTTACCTGTTTCTGGTAAGAGAACAGCTGGAAAGATCTCTGAAAGTGTGGAAGCTGAAAATACTTCTTTGCTCAGAGGAAGATCTGTTGTTAAAGATTCTGATTCTTCTCCTAATAAAAAGGGAAAGTCTAGAAAGAATTCAGTTAATAACACTGAAACAATTGCTTCACCTTCTCTAACTTTACCAAAGAGAGGGAGGCGTGCTAAGATACAGGAGAGTGTCACTACTGTATCTGTTGAGAAAACAGCCAGGAAGACTTCAGCAAATGTGGCAGATGAAAACACTTATTTGCGCAGAGGAAGATCGGTTGTTAAAAATTCTGATTCTTCTAATCAAAAGTCAGAACCTAAAAAGGATCCAGTAAATAGCAATCAAACGATTGCTTCAACATCTTCACCAAAGAGGGGGAGGTCATCTAATAAGGTTCAAGCCAAAGTTACTACTGATTCAAGAAAAAACCCAAACAAGAAGGGTTCAGAAGAAATTGAAGAGGTTCAAACAAATGTGAGAAGAAGAGGAAGATCAGCAGTGAAAGAACAGTCATCCGTACCAGATAAACGAAAAAGAACGAACACTGAATCTGAAAGTAATACAAATTTTAATCTAGATTCCACTTTACCTAAGAAAGGCAGGTCTGCTAAGAGAAAAGATAGAAATGATTCTGAAAGTAAAGAAAATATAACTTCTCTTCCATTGCAGAAGAGACAAAGTTCAGTTGTCGAAAATTCTAATTTATCTCCTGTTAAAAGAGGAAAGTCTAAAAAGAACCCATCTACGAAAAATGTAGCCATTACTTCACCATCTTCCCCAAATAAAGGAAAGTCTGCTAAGATTCAAGAAGCTGTTACTGCTTCTGTGAAAGGAGCTAACAATAAAGTCTCAAAAAGTATTGATGATCAAAATATGTTATCATCGCAGAGAAGAGGAAGATCAGCTGCTGTAAAAGAGGATTCTCTAGATAGAAAAGGAAAGCCAAAAGAGGCAATAGAAAAAAATAATGTAGCTCAAATCTCATCATTGTCTAAAAAAGGAAGACCTGCAATATTGGAAAATGTTTCTCCAAGAAGTAGGGGACGATCAGTAGCATCAAAACAGACCTCAACACAATTATCCTCACAAGCTACTGCTGAGAAAACTTCAAAGTTACCAGGCCGGAGAGGTAATCTAGCCTCTTCTCCCAAACCTGAAATACGTAAAGTTTCTGATCGATCAAAAGTAATTAAAAAAAACAGCAAAGTTAAAGAAACTAAGCCTTTGAAAAGTGCAATAAAAAAAACCTTAAGTAAAAGACTTTCAAGGAAATCCAGTTTACTGGGATACATTAAACCTGGAAGAAGGAAAGTGCATTTTAACAAGTAAGTAACATTACTTCAACTAATCTGATCAATTATATTTAAATCAAAATAGTTTTTGTGTAATCTACAAACATAAAATATGTTTTTGTACCACTGAAAGTAAAATTTCGATAAGTTGTTATAGAAATGTCATCTAAAAAAAGAAATGCTAAAAAAAATCTATGGGTTGGGAAAACATAACTGTTTTTATTTATTCATTTTGATAGATTTACTTCTATCTATTGGTAATGATACAAAAGATAATTTTAGTATATTAACATCTTTTTTAAAACAGTCTGTGACTAGCTTCCCTTTTCTTTTTTTTTCTTTTTTACATGATAAAGTCCTATACTAATTGCTTTAAATGTATGGGGATCAGTAAAGGTATAATATTAAATAACTGGAAAGGACTAATGGTGGAGAAAACAGTACAAATTACTAAGGATCTCTTCATTTAAAACACAGGTTATCAAGTTATGAGATATTAATAATTTCAATATTAACTTTAAAGTAATAATTTTAAAATCCATTATTTAGGTGAAAATTAGGAATTGTTATATAATTGCTTTATTACTAAGCGAATATTGATATTAAAATATTCAGTAATGGGTAGATTAAATCCTTTCCATATATAACAGAAAATGGCTCAGGATCACTCTTTTATAGATTGCTCAGTGCTTTCACCAATAAACTATTATAAAGGCATCAAACCCAATAAATAAAACATCATGTGTGTTTTCTATAGTAATCCAATCCACATTGGTGGAAGACGATTTGACACTTTGAAAAATGACTTGTCCATTGGGTTGGGGCAGTGTTACGCAAACTTTAAAAAAGCCTTCATCATCAACCACTAAAAAAAATTATCATAATATTTTATAAACAAAGTGATTTTAATTAAACATACTGTGTTTTATATTACTATTTAAACATAGGATTTACTCGCAGGCCAAAATAAAACAGGATTATTCTATTCTTAATCAAAACAATTAATCATCTCAGAAGAATGGTATAAAAATTATATAAAAACATTAAAAGGCAAAGGCCTTTCAATCCAAAATTTATATAAAACCTATTTTCACATTTACGTTTTTTTGTGATTGATAATTGTTTCACATCAATCTCTGTATGATATGACATAATGTTGAATAGTTATGCAGGTATTATAATTTTTACTGTTATATTTTTATCCTACTCAAGTAAAAAGGTTATATGCATGATATAGATGAGGTTTTATTTATCATGTTTGATGCCTTAATATACTCAAACTGAGAATGAGAAGGTTGAGGTTGGTTCTGTAGAAATCTATCATGAAATTAGGTTATATTAGTTAAACTTCATATTAAACTGATCACTAGGATGATTTTAGTGCTATGACAACATGCTCAACCATATACAGTGAAAAAGATTTTATTTTTTTAAATTTTCTCTAATTAGTTTCATTTGTTTAAATTTTAATTAGACTTTAGTACTATAAATTTCCTTTTTAGGGATATCATTGTCATGAATTCCAGCTAGCAGTTGCTAAAGAAAGATAATTGATTAAAGTAAGCTCACTTTTTACAGCTCGGATTTGTAATACCAAAGGTTATTTTGTGTTTAACCATTTTTTTAACAATTTATTTGTTTGGTTGTGTATTCTTATAAACTACTTTCTAATGGAGTAAAATAATACATGTGATACTTAATTTAGTAACAAAAATAATTTATATTTGTTATGGTGATTGGGAGAAAACAATTGTTTTACCTGCAATTCAATGAGGCATGATTAAAATAAATGAATTCTTTTTTTAATGTTGTAATAATAACATTTTATTTAATGATATAAAGAGATATCGATTTATATGTAATAAAAAAAAACCTAAATATATACACTATAAAACCTTACATTTTGTAGCAAAAATTGTTAAAATGTATGTTATGAAAATCTGAAAAGACGTTAATTTTATATCTGTTGTAAATATATTATTAAAAATTACTTAACAAATAAAATAATTTTTTTTTTTTTTTTTCAAAATTATAACAATGTAGCATTTTGAAAGTATCAACATATTAAAGTAAGAAGGATAAATTTATCCAGTTAAGGGCTAAAAAAAAAAATAATTCTGGAGTAATAACACTTTCCATATTCACATTTGAATGTGATCCCTCTTGCGGCTGTAATATTATTTAGTATACAAAACACCTTTTTTTTTTTTTTTTTACATAATTATTATTTCTATGATATAAAAAATATGTAGACTTATCTTTGTGGCATGAAGTCTGTCAAATTTAGAAATACACAATCCTCTCATAGGAATATCATGAAAGGGGAAAAAATAAAATTACAAATATCTATGTTTTGTTTAAAAATGAGAATAAATTAGGTTGAATGACTAATTATTCATCATTTGTTACTCATTGGAACTGTGTTATTATTTATTTTTCAATATTTTTAATTGTTTTTAAATTTATTAATGTTTTATTTTATTTTAGGAATGTTGGAAGGAATGCTAATTCTAAAAAGAAGTGAAGGGATTTAGTGAACCTCGTGCTGCTAGCAATTTGTGTTTTTAATTTCAATACTAGCCTTTGTTTATATTTTTAAAAGTTGATGAATTGGTTGTCATATGGCAATGAGGTGCTGACTGTATGGTTTATATTTATTTATTTTATTATTATTATTTTTTTTTGTAATTTAGTGCTTTAAATTTAGTTTGTAGTTATTTTATGTATGTAGTGTAGTATATAATTTCTCATAATGGAAAGGACAACTTCGTACAAAATTTTATTATAATTAGTTGTTATATTGCTATGTACAAAGTAAAGAAGTAATTTTTGTTTTATTGAAAGTTGACTTTTTTTGAAGGTTTATGTAATTTTATCTATTTATTTGAACTCCACATTTGTACAAATTGTTGAATAATAAAAAATATTTTTATTTATCTATCTTGTTGAGATAATGACTCCTGTGATCCTTCATTTTATTTTGACCTCTTGATAACATTTCCAATCTAAGATGTTTAAATATGCTCTAATATGCTTGGTGTTTGTGTTAATAAATGTGGCATTGTGTGTTTATTTTGTTATTCATCTTTCTTTGGTCAATTTAATCAGACTGAATGACAACGATTAATAGTGTAAAAAAGGATTCAATTGACACGATGTGTAAAAAAAATTGTTCAGAAAATCAAGTTTATTCTCCTCAAAGATATTCCTTATTGGCAATTCAGGTAGGTAGCTTTGATTTATTTAATATTTTTTTACAACCAGTTAATAAGGTGGGTCTTAAAAATTGTTATAGGCCTCTCAGTTTTATATCAAATATCTGAGATATAGTCATTTATTCATATATGCTTTTAACTTGATTGTAATTTTGCAACAGCATACATTTATTTGAAGAAGTATCTCAAAAAAATTATTCTTGTATCTAAATAATGATTTATATCTCTGTAGTTTTATCTATACAATCTTTGTATACTGATATTAGTGAAGTCTTAATTATTTTTAGTAATGAGAATCAGAAAAAATATAGAGCAACATAGAGTATAAAATTTAAACCATACCAGGGTGCGAGTGCCATAACAAGTGTAGCTATGCATTTTGCAAAATTAGGGTAGTTACACAGAAAGGTTTCATTAGGTCTTAACATATTACAATTAGTAACTAGATAAATATAGATGAAACTTCTATCAAAAAAAGTTTTATAAAATGAATAATTGTATCATCAATAAAAATTCTATCTATGACCTAGGTTCGGTAAGGGAACCCCAACACTGCAACAGTGGTAGGTGGTAGCTTGATTAAGAAGATAGAAATTCAATTCTATAACTATGCAAGTTCACTTATATGATGCAGAATAAAAATACCAATTACATAAATTTTGAAATGGTTGTAAAATAAGTTATTAAAATCTTTACATTTTCTTAAAATCAAGAAGAAAATATTAAAATGTGTTTTCTTCAAAAAAACTGAATTTGATTTGACATTATTGAGTAAGATTGGGGATGAACAACAATTAGTTGGGTTTTTTTTTTGCTGTTTGCAAACAAATGTTTAGAATAATTTTTATAGTAATTTTGAAGTTCTTTAATTAAATTAGAATTGAAAACATTCCAACTCCCTGTATATATGTATTAATATACAGGAATAATGTGCCTAACTACATGTTTTTTATTATAATTGGAATGAATTGAAATGATTTAATTATACTTAATTTTGTAATGGCAAGATTATAATTTAATGTAAGAAGATTTATTTAGGAAGGACACTATATTGCCACCTATACGAACATTTTTATTCCACCTATTTCAGATAGTGGGATAGTATTAAATATATTTCTCTAGCCTAACTACCATGTACTAGGTTCCAATAAAATTGTTTGTAAAATTTTAATTGAGGTATTGGTCTGTGATACAGTATTTATGCCAGTGACCTATAGAGGGTTAAAAATATGTAACTATTGATGAATAAATTGTGTAAATTTTGATTTTCAATGTTACTGTTGGTTGGTACACAGTAATTTTTATCATGACTAGAAACTGGATTTTCATGTTATTGCACATTTTGTTCGATCAGTTGTAAAAACTTCAAACCCAACAATCTATCCGTTTCACGATCTGTACAATAACATGTTGAAATTTCATATTGCACGTCTTAGACTTTTTGGGCTAAATTGCTCGTTTTTGGTTTTAATTTGTTTTTTTTTGGATATTGCAATGTAAGCGGTTTAATTTCAATTTTAATTGCATTTAGTAAAATAATTGAACCAAAATTTCTTTGTAACATGGAAATAGGTATGTATGAAAATATTTATTTACTTTTATTATTTATTATATTAGATTTATAGTTGCAGACAGACGTTTTCAACAAATGGACGCCATAAGAACAGACATAGTTTTTAAATCTTTTAACATAATCATGTTTTTAAATTATCTTTCTGGGATGTAATGATATTTTAGACTCAACTTGTTTGATATAGGTAACAAATTACTATACAAATACACATTTTATTGTATAAATAATAGTATCATTGTGAGTAACATATTTAATAACTTAATTGAATGCAAGTGTATATATCCTATTACAAACTCCTTATCCACATGGTTGTGTTATTTGCGATTCCAAAACGTGTATATTTATTTTCCAGTTTTCAAACAAACAAGAATGAAAGTATTTGTAAACATACGTTTTATTATCGCTTGGTTGAATGTTCTTTGACAAAACACCGCCAGTATACTCGAGGGAATATGAATTTTAATAAAAGATAAGGAGTTTAACTCAAAATAGACTTTTTTAATATTTTAAATTGATCTACAGTTAAAAAATATAAAAAATATTAAATTTTAAAAATGCACAGTTTTTAAAAAACATATATGATTTTGATTTTAAAATATACTATCATACTGAACTAAGTTAATCATTATATCTTAATTAGAATTAGATTCTTCTCTCGTTACTAAACATTATACCTAACTTCAATTTAGAGGCTATAACTCCTAACATAGTATAACAAGAATTAATATTATAAATTAAAGAAAACACTATGACTTTTGTATGCAATTTTACACTTTTTGCTTTTTACTGCATAATTTTGCACATTTCAAATTTTTTACTGCACGAAAATCCGGTCTCTGATCATGACAATATAAATCGCTACTGTTAGTGCAAAAGGTTGTATGTAAAAATTGAGTTTTTTTTACAGAATAGCATTATTATATAAACCTATTATTTCTTTATGATTTATTAGTATGATTTCATATTTTATTTCCCTCTGTTTGTTTCCTATTTAGCAGATTACTTGTAGCAGTTGTAGACTTCAAAATTTCACTTTCAGTGCAAAGAGAATAAACAAACGTGTAAAATTCGTTACATACGACCTTTTGCACTACCAGTAGCGAAATCCGTAAAAAACATTGATTAATACAAATTACAGGATTATCTAATATCTAAGCTTAAAGGAAAAATAAAAATCTAAATCTGGAATTGGTTATTATTATGTTTAATGTAATGGTGTTATACATGACAGAATAGCCTTTAATTGTGGTTAATACATATCAGCTGTTTTGATTATATTTTTGCTGTTCAGCGATGTGTACTGCCAACTTTCAGTTTCAATTATGTATTACTTTCTTATAAAATTCAATTGATGGTTTAAATTTTAACAATTTTTAACCTAATGCCTTTTATTATAAATGAAAATATTTTCATTACTTTATTTGTTGAACAATAAAATTTTTCTGATATTTGTTTTTTCTATGTTCAGTAACTCTCCTATTATTTTTGCAAATTGAATACGTGATGTTTGGTCATAGTAAAATATTGAGGAAAAGGGTGTTCAAGGATATGGCGGTCATAAAAATTTAAATTGTGAAAAACTATTTTATTTTAAGCTAACATTTCGACCCAGCTATGCAGGTCTTCAACAGGGCTAGAACTAACAAGAAACAAAAGGGCACAGAAAATTGTAGGAGTTAAAACTATTTAGATAAAAATTATTAACAGTGTAAATAGAAAGTATATAAATCTATTTATAATCATTAAATAATAAATTAATAATTTAAATATATTTTATCAGTTAAAGGTTTTGCCACAAGAAAGCAGCACTCTCTTATTTAGGAGAGTTTTAATTTAGGAGTCCAGCTTGTAAGTTCTCTTACTTTCCTATTAAAATATAAAATTGTCCTGCCAGATTTGCCTTGAAAATCTCTGATTGGCTGGCACTCTTCAGGTGGCCACTAGAAGTATTATTTTATAGCTTCCTTGATTTGTGCTGCTACCTGTAAGGTGTTAACGACTATTACATTAACAATCCTTAATTTTATCTATTTTCAAGTGATCAGCATTATATTTTGTCTTATTAATCGAAGTTGAAATTATGTACAATATTTAATCCAATTATATATTAGCGTGCTTAATTATTGATTAGTATTTTAATTAATTTAATTTTTTAACTTGTTCAGATCTTTTAAACGATAAACATTTTTTATATTTATATTTTCATTTTATGAATATTTATATGGCTTTATTTAAATAATTATGAAAAATTATTTATTAAAATTTTGGAAATAAATTATTTTAATATATTGCTTATTAGTAATAACTTTACATAAAAATTAATCAATTATTTGACAATTTACATATGACCTTTTTTGCTGTGTACACTTAAATTTTTACTGCATAACTATTTATTCTCTATCTGTCAGTTTTATTAAAATAAAAATTTAACAATTAGTTTGATATTAAATAAAATACAGCATAGTTTTGGTTATTTTGTTGTTTTTTTCATACATTATATTCCTTTCAGAGTATCATTTCAGCATTGCTCAATCTTTTACACTTTCCTATGATGCTGTTAACATTTCTTTGCCTTTTACCGAGTGAAACCAATACACATCAGTTAGTCTTTAATTTACTCTTCTTTTCTGGCATTGCCACTATTCTGCAAGCTACAATTGGAATAAAGTAAGTTATTACTATTATTATGCTTTAATATTATCAGAAATATTTTATATATTTGATTTTCAAAATTGTATGTTTTGCAGATTTCCAGTTCTCATCTCACCCAGTAACCTATTTATTTCAGGGTTTATTTTCATTTTAAAATCTCCTTACTGGGAACAGTACAGTAATGCAGATTTATATGCCATGGGACCATCTCTTAGACACGATGAGTTCACAAACCGATCTAGAGAGTTAAGAGGAGTATTGATACTCAGTGGCTTTTTTTTTTCAATTGTTTGTGGTATGTATTACAATCTTACATTTAAATTTTTTCTAAAATATTATAGTGCTTGTTCTCTTACACTTTAGTTATTCTTAATTTTTATTCATTTGTATTATAGAAGAGTTAAATTAATAAATTCAATTATTTGAATGACTATCTTCACTCAATCCTTTAATTCGATCCTAGGAATAATCTAAATACATATTAAGATAATAAATTGTCTATAAATATTATTACTTTTTAATTCCTATGAATCATTTTCTATTATAAAAGAATGTTTAAGAATGACGTTTGTTGAATATATGTATATTTTTTTAAATGGGGTGGAGATGGTTGACCGTGATTGTAATTTGAAAAGGAGTTGGTCAGGGAGTGCGGTCAATATATAATATTATATATTATAATAGTATTTTATTGGATTTGTCGACGTTTCAACCTATGCTGTTGGTCTTCATCAGGACTAAAAAAGATACAAACTATAAATATTAATTGGTACAAGGTAAAAAAAAATGAATTATCAGTAGATATTATACTAATACAGATTACCAGGTAAAGAACTTATGAGAAAAAATTAGTGATGTAGTGTTATTGTATGCTCAGAATACAATGTATTATGTAATATATATGTAATGGAATATATAAAAAATAAAAGTGGGTTTAGCATGTAAGTTAAAATGTAAACAAATTTGTGATAGAATAAGAATAAAATATCAGTTGATATTAAACTAATACGAGTTACACCTGGTTACTGCAGGTTACCAGATAAAGTAACTGAAGTTTAACAGATAAAGAAATTGAAGAACTAATAAGATAACATAAGTGATTTAGTGAGTTATAGTACCATTAGAATACAATGTATTATATATATAATGGACTATACAAAAAAAATTAAATAAAAAATAATATTTAGAAAAAAACTTGATCTTTCTAAAGCTGCTAAAAAATATTTGATGGCTTATGGCCAGGGACACAGAACTGGATAGGCATCCATCAATTAAGGTAATTGTAAAACAAAAAAAAAAAAAATCAATAATGAAGTAATATACAAAGTCTTTCACTTTTGCATCATTTTATCCTCCTGAATAACATTTTAGGGAGGGGGACAATCATGACTTTAATGCACTAGTGTACCGAATGTCTAAAACTACTTCTGATAAAATATATAGATGTAAAACAAATTTTGGGTTTATCCAGGACTAGAAAAATTAAAGAGTTTTTAAAAAATAAATAAAATTGCATCATGTTCAGTATCTATCAACTTGATTCTATTTTTAGGCATACTTTGGCACTTACCTATTAAACTACCATCATCAACTGTATCAGCGACGTTAATATCTTTTAGTTTATTGAATATCAACCAAATACTGAGCGAAAAAGAAATGCCATTGTTTAGTATATTGTAAGTAAATTATTTTTATAAATTTGATTGTAAGTAAATTATTTTTATAAATTTGATTGTTACTTATTTTCCTTAATTTTGGAGCTTTTATTATATTTGCTGAAAAAATAATTTCATTGAATTATGAACATTATTAATTTTTATAATAATTTTAGGGCGTTTTCTCTATCCCTTGTTTTTTATTGTACTAAAAATATTAAAATACCTTTTTCGGATAAAATAAATACTGATGGTTTTTATGTGAATTTTAAACAATTTTCGGTATGTTATTTTAATGAAAAAAATGTAAAGATTTATTTCATTTTTATAAAGTGAAATAAACTATCTTTTTTTTTTGTATTTAGGTATTATTATCTTCTATAATTATTGTGGCAATTAATAATAATTCAGAAAATGAAAACAACAAGTTGCTGGATAAGGCAATAGCTTCTCATCAATGGTATTCTTTTAGTTTGCCATTTAAAGGTATATTCATAAATACAATGTTTTAATATAAAAATTTGATTTTTTAAATAATTTAATTTAACTATCTATTTTCAATTTTTTTTTTTTCGTTATAGATTTTGTTCTACCGAAATTTTCAACCAAAAGTTTCGTATTGTTACCTGTTTTTTTTAGTCAGTTTGTAGCATCCTACTGCTGTTTCCGAGCTCTTAACAAAGAAAAAGGTTTATTATCAGAAATTCTTAGTGTTTTAAAGTTGTAAATCATAATTTTATTTAATTAATTTTAATATATTTGTTTATTTTTTGCAGAAATATATTTAAAAGCATTACTTTTAGAAATTATCTTCAATGTTGTAGTAGCTGCAATTGGAGTCATTGTCCCAATGGCTATTGACCCAACATCTATTGGGCTCCTCCAAATGACTAAGGTAAGTTTCCTTTGTAGATAAATTGCAAATCATTATATGGCTTTACCCCTAATACTTTCTACAAAGTTTGATCATCTTCGAATAAGCCGTATATCCTCATAAGTCTCTTATCTTATTTCATTACCACATAACTCAAATATGCTACCTCTAATATATGTAATGCATTGATATATAATATGTATGCAATACAGTTTATATCTACATGATTTTGTACAACCAATTTAATACGTAAATAAATATTTATAAAAAAAAAATCTATCAGAAATATAAAAAAAAAATTGGTGTGGTGCGTGCACTACACAACTTTCATTTACCAACAATAGAGTAGATAGTTATTTTCATATATAGGGAAGTCAAAGTGAAAACGACGTTATAACTTCATTAAAACAATTTATTATGTTTTTACCACTCATTGAATCTGTTAAATTTATGAGTTTGCATCAGTTTCCATTTCCTTTTATGAATGTGTACAGTATCAAACAATACTAAGTTTGTGGAGAAAAATGGATTTATAGAAAAATTTTGAATTTCATCGGAAACATTTATCACAAAACTCGTTGAAATAGTAACTTAATATTACTAAATTATTAAATATTGTATATTATTAGCTTTGTATTAGTAGATACTCAATATTTCGTGTGAAAACCTTTTATGGAAAAATTATGGATAAGTGATTTATAAAAGTTAAACTAACAATATGAAAGTCCTGTAAAGAGGGGTATCAGTTTTCTGTAAACGGATAGGATCGGCAAAGGTTGGGAGCTCTCGGCTTTTTCTGTATAACTTTCAACCCTAATTTCTCCTTTAGTTACCAATCAATTTTCATCATTCGTTATATTTAACCATTAGGCATTTAAACCCTGGTATAGAACATCAATGAGAATAAGATGCACATCATATTAAAACTGCTTAATTTCAAAATGATTTAATGAATTTAATCAAAATTGTTAGCCATTTTTGAAAAAAAAAATGTGTAAAATTGATTATAGAAAGTGGCACTTCCGGTTATCAGATTTTGACGAAAAATTTTCTGTAACTTCCCAAGCATTTACAAACCTTAAATACGCAATTTCAGTTGCATACAACTTTTCGTTTTTGAGCAAGACTGTTAACACACACAGAGCATTTTGCAGGATTTGGTTATTTGGACTTAAGGGACCTCAAACATGTCTTTCCTTTGAAAAATCAGATTCGAAAATTTTTAAACTGCAATACTTCTACCTACTAAATATTACATATATATGGTAAGTGAAAGTAAAAAGAAATAGGATATTGATTGGTATCAATAGTATAATATAAATTATAAAAATAATATAAGGTAAATAAATATTTCTAAAAAAAATATATATATATATATATATATATATATATATATATATATATATATATATATAGGATAACATCAATATTGGTGCTTAATTAATTTTAAAATAAGACATTGTTTTTAGGTAAAACATACTGAATCATCTGTAATAGCTGGAGGGTTGATAGTTTTGTTTTCAATTATTGTTAAAATAATTGCTTTATTCTCTTACATATCATACCCAGTTCTCTGTGGAATCAATCTGTTCCTGCATGGACAATTATTAGAAAAAGGTATTTTTAAATTATTTATTTAAGACAAATTATAAAATGGTGGTATCTCGTAAAAACTAACTGAAATTTTAATGATATCTACATGTACAAGGAAAAATCTTCTGGGGCAGATATTTTTAGTGATTTCTGTATTGTGTAAGAATAAACAAATTTTTTATTTATTTATTTTTTTTATTCCTTAATGACATTTACACCTGTATTAAATAAATATATCTAGTAAATTTGGACATAATAGATATAATGACATGAATACACTTGCTGAGTAACTACCCAATGGTAGCACTCTAATGATATGACTACATTTGGAGATCACGGGGCCATCTTTTTTTCAGACGCCTCGGTGGGTTATCAGGAATTGAAGAGGAAGCAAGGTTAGAAATGAGAGGGTTGGGATGATTCTGAAGTTTATTACAGAAGGATAGGTATTTGGATTGGGCCAGATCTGAAACATAAGGAACATTAAGGTCTTTATGGATAATTTTATTAGTGACAAAGTAAGGAGCATTGAGAATTTTACGAAGGATTTTGGATTGTAAGGATTAGATGCGTGAGGAATTCGATGGTTTAGTGGAGCCCCATAGCTCAACTCTGTAAGTCCAAATAGGTCTTATTATAATCAAGTATATGAGTCTTTTGTAATTAATGGGAAGTTTAGAGCGTTTGTCTAGTAAGTGCTGAAGTAATCGTAAACGTCGAGCGGTTTCTTGTCGTTTCAGTCTGAGGATTCCAAGTTAGTCGTTTGTCCAGGTGGAGTCCTAGGTATCGGATATGCTCAACAGGGATCAGTGGAGTATTGTTAAAGGAAACTGTAGGACAGGCAGTCGTTGGTTTACGACAAAGAAACAAATTTGAATAGATTTTTGAGGTTTAATGTTTTTTTTTTTTTGGTATGTATGAAAATTTAAAAAAAAACCTTGTCCAAGATAATAAGAATAAACATTTTTTTTTTTTATCCAGCGTCGTATCATAACTTCTTATTTATTTAATAAATTGTTTGTCCTTATGATGAGACAGCTGGTATTAGTAACAATATAATTATGCCAAGTATATATTTTTTTTTTACACAACTATCTTCCAAGTCTTTGGATAGCAAATTTTAGAGCACTTATATTTAATTTAGATGGAGATAGCACCAAACTGGAGTTTAAGTTTTGATTTTGTTAGGCAACATGTGATTATTGTAATTTAACCTTTTCTTATAACAAAACCCTAACATTTTTTTTTCCAAAAACATTTTCTGACATTATTAATTTGAAATGAATGTTAAGTTTCTTACTTTTTATAGATAAAATGCAAAATCAATATTAAGTACATCAAGTGAGAGAGAGAATCACTTCATTATCATAAAAGGGTGCTTCCTAATTACATTGGGTTGCTTTAAACACAGCATACTTATCAGTCACTACAGACTTAAAACTAATATACAATTATATAGAATTAACAATATGTATGAGCATAGTATACAATATTTTTATTTATTTATTTTCTTTTTAATATATTAACTTTGTATATATAAATTTTGTAATTAATATATAAACTTTTGTAGCAATTAATTAATAAATGTAATTGACAATGAATATTGAATTATAATTCCTGATTTTGTTTTATTTTTCAACTATAATGGTTTTATTTTTTATTTAGGCTTAGAGGAAATGGATTCAGATAAAACAGAAAGATCCATCATTGCAGTGTCTGTGCTTAGTGGCTTGGTATTGCAGTTTTCTTAATTACGTTAGTATGTGTGAATAAATAATTCATATAATAACAATAGACAAATTATTTCAGGTGCTTTCTTCGTCTTCACTCGGAATGGAAAGAAACATTTTATACAGCATTGCAGTGTTAATAATTAAGAGCCCTGTTTTAATTACATTTATTATGTCAATTGTGATGTCAGTAGTCTTTAAGATGTTTAATAATAAATAAATGAAAAAATAAGTATATGTTTTATGTAAACTCTCTTAAGATATCTTTGTATTTCTGAAATGTTTTCAATATATTTAAGTTCATTAATACATAATCTTCATATTGTTCATATACTTATTATATACCGTTCAATAATATATATTTTTATTAAAACCTTGAACAAATTCGACTAATCCATTTGCAGGTTTAACCATTTACTTAGAACCAATGGTTGGTTGAATGCTATGATTTATAAAGCTAATTTTATTATTGGAGATCAGTCTAACAATAAGTTTTTGTTTTAATTCTTTGGACAGCCTGTAACTTTAACCCAATCATGAGGGCCATCTTTAGAGTGCGCAAAGAGAGTTACAAAGAGACAATCAAAAGAAATAATATGGTTTTACAACTTGCTCATGGTCAATAGGAAGTAAATAAAACAATAAAGTAAAGGCTAATAATTCTGCCATGTTAGAGGTTTCTGTTAAAAGGAAAATAACCAATTTTTATTCTCCAAAATAATATCCTACAGGTAACCAACCTATTATTACAAGTGTTGGAGGGTCGAGATTCATTCCATAGGTCAACCCAATCATGTAATTAATTCCAACCCGCTCAGTCCAGGTTCGAAAAATCACCAATAGAATTGAGGTTATTAAGGTCACTATGCCCCAACACACTCGACCTCCAAAAAAGTTTGTATGTTGCACAGATGGTCCAATCATACTGTACTTTTTATTAAGTACGGTGAAACTTCTCTATAGCAGATTCATTCTGTAAGACAAATTTATAATTCTCATCAATTTTTCAGTCATTTTGTAGTATTAAGAACTTCTGCATAACAGATGCATACATAAGAATTTTGGTTGAAAAGCTTCTCCATATGGGAAAACAAAAAAACTGTAAAGTTATTATTATGTGTTATATATGTTATTATAATTTTTCTTAAAAATATTAAATAATATATTTATTTTATATTATCTTTAATTTAATTTTAAAATCATTAGTAAAAATATTTTTATATTGTCTTCAATTACATACATTTTGGGCTGAGGGCATACAGGTCCAGTCACTGTGAATGGTTTAATGTCCAATAAATGACAATTACATATATTTTTAATTAAATGAAATACATATTTTATCTGATGATTTAATTAATAATTATAAAAACAAAATTAAATATTGTTCATATGATTTCTTGCTTTAATTTATTTTCTAATTTAATTGTTTTCCTGTCATTTTTTTTGTAGATTCTTTACACTTAAATGTTGAAATACTGACTTAAACAATTCATATGCTCCCTAACTGAAACATTTTTCAACTCCACTAACACTGTAAACCCCTTAATTAAGATAATAGGCCATTACAATTAACAAAGCTTACAGACGTACAAAACACATTTTACTTGAATAAAAACTGCACAAAATATTACATTACTTACATAAACTATATTCCTTATTTAAATGTATAGTTTTTTAAAAATTATTATTGTTGACTTTATTTATATACTAATTTTATTTTATTATTTTTTATGTAGGTTTTTTAAAATTATTTTTCCTACTGTTAAGTAACAAAGAATGTTACTGAAGTTTATAATTTTAAAATACCTTTAGTGTGAAATGTTGTACCAAAACATGACCGATTTTTATGCACATTTTGTAAATTGTAAATTAATTGAAATAAACTTATTATTACTAACAACTAAGCTGTCACTGTCATTCAATTCCTCAGAATTTTGTTTTTTGTTTGCTGGTGTTTTAATTTTAATTTTTTGTACATTGAAAGGATGGAGAATAGAGCTTATATCCATGGGATAAATATTCTAAAGGAGTAGCATTAATTTTTTCTCTTAAAGATAGTGAAAAGGAAAACAAAATAATGCAGCAAAAATTACAGATTAATATAATAAGTAATTTAAACTTTAAATTAATTTTTATTTTATTTTTTTGGAGAAGTTAACCTTTTATGTGTATAATTCTGAGGAGCTTCCTACCAAAAGTGGATATCTTGACTTTTTACCAAAACTGATATTTTGATGAGGTCTAATTCCCTTAAGCTGTAAATAATATTAGCTCTGTTTCTTTCAAAAATATTTTACTGTAGATATTTCAAAGTAGATTTTACTGACAGTTTAGAAACAAAATTGGATATGGATATGTCCTATTTTGATAGCAAGCCCTTCTTTTGTTATTGCTCATTTATGTAAATATTATGAGAAATATACTTATAGGAATAAACAATATCATTAACATAATTCTTGAAATACTGTTTTAATCAATTAATTATTATTATTTTTAAATGTTTTCCTTTTATTTTCTATTAGAATGTACAGCTTTCTATAGCTGACAAAAAGCCATGTCCTTCAGAAGTTAGTATGGATGTTTTATTGTAAGTTGTATTGTTTTAGTAAAAGTTGTTCATTTTCAGTAATTATATTCTTTAATAGAAAAAAAAATTTATGTTAAAATTATAAAGGAACCTTTTTTTTTTAAAATGAAGGTCATAATATTAATGTAAACAATACAAACATTGAAGAAAAACAAAAACCTGCAAATAATTCAGTATCTTTCAATACTATTTGTTTATTAGGGTTCAAAATGATAAAAATAAATCATGATAAAACAACTTAATTAAAATAATATATATTTAAAATATATACATATAAAATAAAATATGTACAACTATTGTTCACGACATACTAAATGCTTCTTCAAAGTTATAATCATCATTGTCCATGCTGATTTTCTCTAAAACTCCAGCTAAATTGGTAGTTTCTTTCTCTGAAAAAATAATAAGTGATTAATTTACTAAACTTATGACAATAGTACTTGAATAACATTAAAAAATTATATTCAGATTTATTTTTCTTTTCCCAACACTGTTGATAAAAACCTGAATGCAACATACATCCTCAACATGAGATATAGAATAAATAAATAATGTAAATTAACATATATAATGAATCAAGATTGAAAATTTAGGTATTTAGCAGTGGAATAGAATACATTATGGTATTATAGAAAACCTACTAGAAATATTATAGAAACCTAGAAAAACTAAAAATTAAAGATAAGGAGATAACACATTCCCAAATATGATAAAATAAATTATCCAGGACTGACATTTGACAGAAGGATACACAATACCACTAAACATAAGATATTAAATCAACGATTTTGACTGTTATATTGCTTCCTTGGGTGTCATTCAAAATTAGACCTAAGACAAAACCTTAATGCACACACTTACTGAAACTGATTTGCACATAATCTTCATAAATATATGGAATCGCTAATACAACGTAAATTCAGAAACTATAAATATTTCAGGTCAAAATTTGCAGGACAATTACACATACTGTCACTGAACACAATGTATTTCAAGACATGGGCAAGATAAACCTGCCCAATAACATCCGTAGAAGGCTGAAAAGGAGTTGGTTGAGAGATCTCATTGAATAACAAGTAATAAGACAAATATAAGCAACTGGGTAATTCTCTTCTTCATACCTATCACGACCATTCTTATAGTTCATTTGTTTATTGTAATTACATACAATAGTTGTCAGTGAATACTGATAGTTGTGAACTAAACAATAAAGAATAAAAATGAGAAGGGAGAAATGATACAATGGGAAATGACTTATGATACTGTCATAGCTGACAAATAACTAACAAAGCATATGACACATCAAAACACTTGGACAATAATGTTATGTTTCACAACTGTTTTAAGATAATTTACAATACTTTAGCATAAACAATATTTATAGTTCTTTCTCCCAGTGTTATAATTTGTTTGACGTTCAGTTCTCCAGATTCATTGACATTTATGATTACTGTTCCACTACCATGATTAAGTCTAAAGTATTCTTCAACAAATGATCTCAAACACAACAAATTTTTATAAAACGTATTACCAGTATATGAAATTAGTTCATCCTAACAAAAAAATTCTTCAGATTTATAAATATTATTATATAAGATATTAATAACAAAGTTATAACAAATGAGACTTTCAATAAAAAAAGAAGAAAAAAAATTTCAACTATGTTTATAAAACAATTAGATAATCTGCAAAAGAAATATTAAATTTGTCACATAAAAATATTGTTTATTATAAAAAAATCAATTGAAAGAGCGGAGAGACACCAGAGACAAACAACAGAAAGGGATAAAACATAAAAAAAAACTTGGTAAGACTATAAATAATTATCTTGTATAACTAGAGTAAAAAATATTGACAGAGAAATTGGAAGGTAAAATTTACATTGACAATTTAAAATTAATAATATATTTAAATAATTTACTATTCATGCATCTCATCTCATTGTAACCTACAACTATTTTATTTACTAAAATTCTCAGAATGGGGGCATTTTCTATATGGAGATCGGCAAACTTAGTCTATTTAATTAGGTACTAAAACCTCATAAATACCCATTTGCTTTCCACTTAAATGGTAAGATAATTTGAGCATAAACCCAAGAAAAATAATGGCCTTCAAAAAATATTGAGTCATTTGGCGTGACTACACCCCCAAAATGTGAAAATAACTGGGTTGTATAGGCCAAATCAAATTATTAAATGATCCAAGCAGAAAACAAATGAGTAAATACAAGTTTACAGTACATAATTAAATAGACAAAGTTAGTGACCTTTAGATTGAAAACGTCCCAATTCCAAGAGTTTTTGTAAATAAAATAGTTATTGGTTATGATGAGATGAAAATATTAACGAGGTTTCAGGCAGATGTTAATAATTTGATAAAAACGGGTCTGTACCACGGACTATAACGAGTAGCGAGATTCTTGATAGAAAATTAGTCAAATTTGTCAGAGTAGGACTGTTGTTTAAAAGGTTCTTTCTGAATCCACTCAATGCCACAATAATTTATCTTGTACATAAAATGAATCTCTATTACATAAAACAGTTTTTATTGACTTTACATCCACACAGCGGGACTGACTGTAAGACACTACACTTCTTATACCCGGAATTATTGCTCTCTTATTATGGTTACAAAGTGGCAATAAGAATAATTATAATTAGATAAATTGCCAATAAGGTGCATTGTATAATATCGATTTTCAAAGAAATGAAATTTAAAATAAGATATTGTGGTTTCGTTCCGTTTATGTTGATAAAAAACAATCTGAACTACAGAATACATGTAAATTACAGTTATGCAATTTGAGCAACGAGTAGTACAATTAAATGAAGAGTTATATAATTTGTAAAATAGGGTTGGTATGCCGTTAGGCGGGTAGGGCGTACCACTTTGTATGATATAAAAATATCACTATTCAAACTTTATCGATAAATTAACAAAGTAGTCTCCAATAAGAATTTATAAATGCAATTTTATTTCTAAGCAAAACTTACTAATAAATAACAAGCGAGTAAAATAACACTATATTAGTAATATCTTAAAAACAATGAATGCTGAAGAACACTGAATAGATCAATAATTTTTTTAGTGACTTCAAGAGATTGATTATTATACAAAATCAACAAATGCAAGTAATTTAAATGATATTCAGAATTATCGAATGCAACTTATATGGTTGGTTTATTGCAAAAAGTTACTAACTATATTTTTGATGGAGCAACACTTATGAATTTTTTTTTGTATATATAATGTTTGATGTTTTCATCAATTTTCTTTTAAATATTATTTTTCTCTCTATATTTATTATTTATGATATATTATTTCTGTATTAAAATTTATTAAATATTAAATATATATATATATATATTTAAATTAATTTAAAGTATAACTGCATTGAATAAATGGTAATACAGAAATAATAATATCATAAATAACAAATATAGGGAGAAAAATAATATTAAAAAAAAATTGATGAAAACATCAAACATTTAAAAAATAAAATTGCTCTCAACTGAGGTATGAGAGGGTGTAACACCTGGCGCAGGCCCTTTGTCATTCGGAATTCCTCAGATAAATCTCTACCAATGCGAAATGAACACATCACCTGATTCATGGTCAGCCTCACCATATGTATGAGCTTTTGAGGGATTTGAAATTCCTCCATCGCTAATTAATACTATCGTATGCGGCCTTAAAATCAATGAAGAGATGGTGTGTCTTTTGCTTAAATTTGTGCCCTCTTTCAGGTTGAATGGTTTAAGTAAAAGTAAATGATAATTAAATTAAAAAAAAAAAAATGGTCTAAATCATTCAAAAGATAAATAGAAACAACAGATTAGAAGATATGAGATCACTAAAATTAAATCAAATTTTAATATAAGATGAGTCATGCATTTTTACAAAATTTATTTATTCCACAATCTTTTTTTAATTTTTTAGCAAAAAGATCATCAGCGAACCTCTCCTGTTGCTTTCTTTTCTCCTCTTCTTGGCTAATGCCTTCTGTAATTTCTTGCTAGAAGCAGGTACAAGATTTGCTTCCTCTTTATCCTGCTTAGTCTCTGTGTGTTTTCTTTTTCTATTCTCTTTTCCAACTACCTTAATATTTTCATTCTACAAAAAATAAAAAAGGGAATAAATCTACAATAAAAATTTCCAAATCATCTATTCCAGTTAAATCATTAATTCTTACAGGGTTTTGGTCCTGATCCATGGCTTCAACAATACCAGTAGTTTCAAGCATAGAGAGAGGACCTTTCGCAGCTTCAGATTCTAATTCGTTCATCATTTCTACCTCCATTCTTTCCAGTGCTTTAAAATCAAATTCTTTAGCCATTTTGTCAACAATCACGCTACTAATATGGCATTCTTTCTGAGCAGGTGGCTCTGTGTAATAACGGATGCGGCCTCTGAAAATGGCCAAATTCATATTAGGAATAAAAATTTAGTAAGATGGTGAATAAATGATCTTTTGATACCATAATAAAAAGTATGTAAACAATCTTTACTTAACAAGTCAATATGCATACCTATTCCAATCTTCGATCAAACCCCTGGCAGCAGCTTCTAAATCAACTACACCACCTTTTTTGTATTTTCCCTGCCTCTTTGCCTTTGTTGCAAAGAATTCTTCAGGAGTGTCGTAATCTCCAATTGCATACTGTTGCATCATCTATAACAAAAATACAGCAGTTTTTATTTTATTTTTTTTTAATGAAAATTGGAAATGGAAATTTATAACAACTGAAATGAAGGCAAAGATTCAAGAAGCTCGAGATGCCCTGAACTAATTAATACGTTTTAGGTTTTATATTGACATAAACTATTAATTACCTGGTCTTTCGTGACCCTCTGTAAAATAGCAGTAGCAGGTACAAACGGATCGGCAATAGCTTCAACCTTAACTGCATTCCTTAAAGAAACGACCGCATCTGTCTCTGATCCGGCTTCTTTAGCAAAAACCAGACCCGGACTGTCGAGCAGCTTTATTTTTGAATCTAACTGAATCTCTTGCATTAACCTGAAAAAAATTAGTATGACTAATACTGTAAGCAATTAAACTAACTGGAATCAAAAAAAAAGCTCAGTATAGTAGAGAAATGGATTGCTGGTTTAAATTATGTCTTAATAAGAATGTATAATGGTCAGGATATAAAGCCAAACATTTTTTTATTAAGTTAGCCGATGTTTTAATCCAAACTTTAATGAGTCGAAACATTGGCAAACTCAATGAATAATTTTTTTTACTGCACATCCTGACAATTTTTATCATCCTTATAATTTCAACAGTCAACTATATACCCATATCTAAATGAAATCTTTATTTTTTAAAACTTTCATTAGTTAGATAACTACATTTATTATGACACCAACATAACATAAGAATCATAAAAACTGTGAGCTTGAAATGATTTACTTAATTTCTTCTATCCCATAGTTACATATTTCCAGATTACACAAAGAAGTATAATAGTGATTTATATTGATGTTTGGTCAGGGGTTATTATTTAAATTTGGGACAAAAATCAACATAATGCAATCAATTCAAGTCTCTTGTAAATAAAAAGAAATTTAAGAATTACCTAGTAACGCCAGGAGTTGCACCCACATTACATGCTCGATTTCGTTTTAAACTGTTAATGATGCTGCTTTTACCAACATTGGGAAGACCTGGAAATACAAATACAAATTGAACATGACCAACTTTTGCTGATTATTTAATTGTGTAAAAACAAACCAATAAATTAAAAAGAAAAATTATATATAACTTGTAAAAAAAATTATATATAAATTGAAGAAAAATTATAATACAAAGTATATAAAGGAGCAGTTTTATTTTACCTATTTTGAAATGCAGAAAACACTTTTTTCTTTTAAAATGAAACTATTACATCAAACACGACAAATAATATTTTTACAGAGCTAATGATTCAATATATTGTTGGAGTTATCAGCTTGGAAACCTAAATTTCCTGAATTACTCTTTTTCGAATTTACCTTATTTTTAAAAATAAAACTACAGTCTTATGAGGACTATGGCTACTAAACATTTTTTTAAATTTGAAATCTTGCATGATTTAGATATTAATATCATACCTACGACACCAACAGTTATTGCAGTCTTGATGTTCTTATTCCTGCAGTAGTTTCCAAGAAGTGACATAAGCAGCTCAGCTCCAACACAAGACGAAACTTTGATGTTTTGCTGTGCTTTCCTGTGCTTTGATTTAGACAGCGTCTTTCTACCTAGTCTTCCCCGCTGTGACTGGGTACTTGCTTTGAATGGGACTGTAGGGAAAGATCCTCTCAAGTATTTGAGCCATTTATCTAATATGTCACGTGGGATCAGATCTAAAAAAATAAACAAAACAATCAAATACTGCTGTGTTAGAAATACAATTTTGAACTTGGAGAGTATTATAATTTTAAAGGTTCCTATTATTTTTAAGTAATTACAGGAATTGAATGATAAAACATTATTCAATAAAAACACTTCTCAACTGGAATAAAATCAAAAAGCACACTAATACGCCATCAATTATGCTGCCAAGGCAGTCAAACAACCTACGTAAAACTCTACCTACTTTGTAGGTAACTAGTTCAGAACATTGGAACATATTGTACCAAAACTATAATGAAAGAGGAAGAGTTTTTCCTTTTTGCGGTAAAAGCAATAGATTAAAATTTATATTTTATCTAGTATATATTTATGTAGTAGGAAAAACTGTTTGAATAAGAAAACATATACCCTTTATTCAGAGAAATTTTTTTTCTCATGTTTATGGGCATTTTTAGTCGAAAAAGTTTGGCAAACTGATGTGATCATTAATGATTTTTAGAACTCGATTACATTCCACAAACCATTCTGATTCAAAATTATGGTGTTGTATTTTGTGTAATAAAAATTAGAAGTTTTTGTATTTTTCTTCGTTGTATTCAAATTAGCAAGACTCTAACGGTAATTATATAACAGGGAAATCAATTTAAATTATTTCTTTCACAAGCCAATTATCAACTACTATTATCAATATAAAAGGTTTTTATTGAACTCACCAGCTTTATTTATTACAATAACAAGCCTTTTCTTGCCTCCTGTTTCCTGAACTGCCTCTTCAACTTGTTTACACCGAGTGCCAATGGGATCCCTAGCATCAACAACTTCCAAAATAATATCAGCAGCTTGAACAACCTATAAAATACATCACCAATAATGAAATTAATATTTCATATAAGTTAATGCTTTAGTTTCAAATTATCTTACAGTGTATGATTAGTAGCTCTACCACCTCCTCTCTCATAAATAATTACATTCAATATAATTTGTCTGAAATATAAACTTTTGTTTAAGGAAGCTGAGGCAAAAATGGGAAAATTCAGAATCAATGATTACAATTGAAAATAAAACTAACATCCATGCCAATTTTATAATTGATCCAATATAGTAAAATTTCACATTTGACACTTGATTACAATCGTAAATGGTAACTGATTATGCCTATTTATGAGCTGGGAGATCTAGGCAATATATCAGATGATGCAAATAATATAAAAGCTAAATAATTTTAAGTAACGTTAATGTTAACAAAAAAATCAGTATCACTACAAATCTTGGGTTCTGTACATGTAAGGAAGTATTGTTTCTTGGTCAACGGTTTTGCATGGAAGTGATTTGGTCAAAATAACACTTGACCAACCACCAGTTTGACCCTTTAATTAATTATTTAATTAAGAGTACCTGCTTCAAGGGGACTAGGTATGGCCCAGGATCGATCCACAATTGACTAACAATTACCTGAGACAGGGAACTCGAACCATAGACCCAGAGGATATGAGGACAGAGCCTAATTCACTGATCTTACTTTCATAGATATAAGTAATTTATAACATTCATTTTTATTAAATGTATTTTGTATGTATATTATTATCATTGTATTTTTCATTGACTACAAGTGGGGCATAGAGCATTTACACCACACTTTCATTTCTGACTTAATACTGAAGCAATAAATAAACTATTAGGTACTATTGGACTAATGTCATTCCACATAGCTCAGTGGGCCAACATCCCTTGTTTGCGGAATAAATGGGATTCCAAGAATAACGGAGGATTGAAGTGTTCACAGCATAACCTCCTTTTATTTAAATCAAGATTTATATATTAAGACTTAGGCACTTTTATTTAAATCAAGATTTATGTATTAAGACTTAGGCAAACTCCCTAATGGTCCTTTCCAGATATATTGGGGTATTAATTAGGCTCTTCTCTGTGAAGATTTGGGTCATACCAAATGGTTCAATCACTTCCATCTACTGTCGATCACAGTCGGGATTCCATTTATACCACAAATAAGGAATCTGGTCCAATGGACATCATTTAGTGACAATTATACAAAGGTACCAACAATTATAATAAAATTTTAAAAGTAAAACAGAAAAAAAATGAAAGTAAAATACCTTTTTGAATTCCCTATAATAAGCTTTTAGCGATCCTTCTTTCTTAATAAGAAATGGTTTTTCATCATCCTTAGGTTCAAACGCCTCATGGACTTTTTGTTTCATTTCTGCAGATGCCACCAATCCTTCTAAGCCTCCAGCTTCTTTTTCTAAACGTTTCAATTTTTCCCTTTCTTCTTTCCATAATGCTCTTTGCTTTAATTTCTCTTCCTCTTTTTTTCTCTTTAAATCTTCAACTTCCTTCAATATGTCATCTCTAAATGGACAGTCTTGAGGTACACGTACAACTTTGGGTTTATGAGCTATAAAAAAACAAACAATTTCATTTGATATTTATTGCTAAACAATAAATGAAATATAAATTTCATCTTGTTGAAAAAATTGAGGAAAATTCATCTAAGTGATAAATCTAAGTGCAATTGACATTGACTGCAAAATAAATGACACTAATATAGTTAAAGAAGGTGGAATATTTGTTGACAATAGGAACATGTAAGAAAAAAGTTTAGTTTGGAGTTATATTTCTAATAGACATTACAACACCCAAAGAGGTTGCTTTGAATTGAAAAAGAGAAAATAATTTACTACTAATGGTTAACAACTAAAATAAGCTTTCCTACTTACATTTTGGCTGTTTCTTCGCCTCTTTACGAACTTTTCTATTGTGATCACGAACTTTTTTATCTATTTTATACCGCAGTCTCGCCGATATCCTCTTGCTCTTCTTTTCTGAAAAGTAAATATAATGCCAAAATATAATTACAAGTAAAATAGCTAATTTCATATTGGGATTAATCCAAATACCTACTTAAGCACAATTTTGCCATGACTTTTAAGATTTGTCAAAAAGATAGCAAATTTTTACCCACTATACCAAAAACACATGGTACACAGTAAAGTTAATAAGCGGGAAGGTACTTAAATGTTATACTTCACATGCCACTTAAATTTAATAATTAATGGTATTGCTTTTTTATAGTTTGATCCAAACCATTAAGTTACAAACTCTTTTAGTTGATATGTGATATATTTTAAACAAAAATCAATGCAAACTTGTGAGCTAGAATTAAAATAAAGAGTCTATCATAAAAGGACCGCGTTGTAAACAAGTGAAGGCTACAAATACACTGTCTGGACGGTGGAGGTTTCAGGCAGGGGTATCAGATTATGTTTTGATTAAGTGATGTTAAGGATTTACGTCTAATCTTTGCTTTCTGGTGATATCTATTTCGCAAAACTAAAATGGCTAATCGTACAGTTAAGGATGCGAAGTCTATACGAGGTACAAACCCACAGTTTTTGATTGAGAAAATTATCAGATCTCGAATTTATGAGTGTAAATATTGGAAAGAAGAGTGTTTTGCCCTTTCAGCAGAACTAATCGTCGATAAAGCAATGGAGTTAAGATATATAGGAGGTATTTATGGAGGTAATATCAAACCTACTCCATTTCTATGCCTTACTTTGAAAATGTTACAGATTCAGCCTGAAAAGGATATTGTAGTTGAGTTTATTAAAAATGAAGAATTTAAATATGTCCGTGCCTTAGGTGCATTGTATATGAGACTAGTAGGCTCCTCAATAGAATGTTATAAATATTTAGAACCTCTTTTAAATGACAGCAGAAAACTGAGGCATCAAACACGAGAAGGTGAATTTGTACTGGTACATATGGATGAATTTATTGATGCACTTTTACATGAAGAAAGAATGTTTGATATCATTTTACCAAGAATGCAGAAGAGACATGTATTAGAAGAAGCTAATGAACTTGAACCAAGGATTTCTGCATTAGATGATGATGCAGATGATAACATGGAAACCTCGGGTGATGAAGATGAATTGCCTCCTGAAAAACCTACAAAGAGGGAAGACAGAAAAAGATCACCCCAAAGGAAAGAGAGAGATAGGAGTAAAGAAAGAGACAGGAAACATAGAGATAGAGAAAGGGACCGTGAGCGTGAAAGGGAAAATATTCGTGCTGATAGAGACCGGGAAAAATATAGGGAAAGGAGTAGAAGTAGGGAGAGGAGACATCGGTCAAGAACACCTGAAAGAAGAGAGCGGAGAGATAGAAAAGAAGAAAGGACTAAATCAAGAAGAGATCATGAACGTCATGAAAGGGACGATAGAAGAAGAGAGAGAGGTCATAGAAATAAAAATGTGTATGGATAAATTATATTTAAGTAACTTTATTTCTTGTAAATATATATTTTATACATAAAATTATTTATTTATTGATATAAATTTTATATGACCAATGCAGTTTTGAAACCATAGGTTAGTTTTGTCTTTTAGAATGTATTTATCAAACCATATAAACATTGTGACTTTACTGATTACTGTTAAGATTCATTAGTAATAAATACTGGTACTACTGAACATTTTTACTATAATATTTTTGAATAAATTATGGTGTTAAAATTTGTGTTCCAATTCAGTTGAAAAGTATAAGCAAGTATGTTATTAGTTTGGCAGTACAACTCGCTGAAGAGTCCTTGCTCCAATGTCTTTCTCTAGGTTCCATCATCCAGTTCCTGATGCTGAGCATAGTTCAAATGATCTTTGCCACACCATCAGTCTATTGAAGCTTTAGCTTTCCTCTCTGTCTTCTTCCGAAGAGTTTTTCTGTTAATAGCTGCCTTGGCGTCATTTGTCTCCCATTCATGGCCAGCCCTATGTAGCCTTCCTCTACATAGAACTTTAGCAACATTGGGCTCTCGATAAATTTCTAAAAGTTCTTGAGTGCTCCTTCTCTTCTATTCATTGCCTACTTTCTTTTCTCCCAGTATTCTATGAAAGACTTTCTTTCAAAGATTTGAAGTTCTTGCTCTCTGTTCTTTGAAATGGTCCATGTCTTATTATCATAGTGGAGTATAGTTCTTGGACTAGAATCCAATACTTGGAATAGGGTATTATAGAGACAGAGTTTTGCTTTTCTTTCAACTCTCCAAGTATCTATGAAATCCAAAGTAACACTGTGAGGGTGGGAAGGCCGAGCACGTTGGAACATGGATTCCAGAGTGTCCGATTCTGAACGTTGTGGATTCGATTCTCACCTGACTCGGACTCGGTTACGTTTCATTTCTCGTTGGCCACAGGAAATTGATTGTGAAATTCCCACTCTGGTAAGTACGCGGTGGCAACCTCAAGGTAGCCGTCAGGTGTTGCAATAGACCTTGACCACTTGCCGGACTAGTTCATAATCTCCTGTTTGATTACATTCTTTTGTGTCACAATCGATCCTAGATATGAACTATGCTACTTTTTCAAATTTGTATTCCGTAAATTGGCACTCTTTCTCCTTCCAAAGGTGCTTACCCAGACTGTTTACTTAAATTTTTTTCTGTCACTGCTTTCAGAGAACAACTGGCAAGCTGGTTGGATAATGTTCCTCTGTCTGAAGCCCAGCATCTCTTATGGCTTAGAAAAAGGCCATTAAGTGGGTCAGGGATGTTGGTCGTCAAATCACAATCATCTAACTATTCCTGGTAGAGTTTCTGAATTTTATGTTCTGGCTTATTAGTGTTTAATCTTCTGGTTTTAGAGCTCTGTTCTCTGGCAATTTTATCTGAATTTAAATGTGTGCAATGATCAAGTAATGATATGAGTCAATATTCGTGCTCCTATAAGTTCTTACATCCTGCAGGGATGATTTATGGTGCCTCCCAATCAAAAAATTATCAATTTAATAGATTGTTGCCTAATCTGGTGATACTCAGATTCCTTTATGTATATCCTTGTGCAGGAGTAAAGATTCTCCAATCACCATGTCTTGTGATGCAGCAAAATTAATCAATCTCATCCCGTTCCTATTGCTTATCTCATGTAGACTATGTCTCTCGATTGTTGGTCTATATATGAGTACACCTTTTGTGTTAAAATTACCTGCAATAATCTTAATATCATGCCTAAGTATAAGCAAGTATGTTATTAGTTTGGCAGTACAACTCGCTGAAGAGTCTCCTGGCCTCCTCAACCAGCTGGTTCAAATTTCTTTCTATTTCATAGAAGTTTTCTCCGACTCTTCTTGCACAATGAATTTCTTCTTCCATGACTCTTTTATGCATTTCGTTGGGACTCATCTGACAAAATGCCCTTGGAGTAACATGTAACAAATGCTTGGAGTAATAGCCTTAAATCAGATTACTAGTTGTTGGCGCCTTCCTCTCACTATGAAACCTGTTCCAAATTCTTGATACTTTTAGCTGCAACTATAATACATCAAAGGATGTTTCTTTTCAAGTATGCTCTGGCTAGTCCAGCAGTTTTCTTGGATGGTGGCTATGTCTATTTTGTATCTGTTGAGTTGATCTAGATTGGAACTGTTTGAGAGCTCCAGGTCGGTAGAACAATAATACGTTACGTTGTCTTAAGTTAATATTTCTATTGGGGTTGCTGGGTCGTTTCACTAGTTGACTATTATGATCTAAGGCTGTTTGAAGTTTCACGATATAGGAAGTTTTTCAATGCATACTCAAGTCTGCTAATGGGGCTGTGATCTTCATGCATTACCTTCCAGAGTGGCTTGCTAGGATGTGTACTGCTTATTTCCTTGTGTATAGTGTTTTGTGTTTGTGTACTGTTTCTTTAACCTGGAGGGCCAGAAGTGGCTAAGGGAGTAGGTGTGTAATGTTTCATGTTACTTGCTTTAACTTAATTTAGCATATTACGCTATATTTTTTAAGATCTTCATTCATAGAGAGAATATAGGTATCTCAAATTTTGTTTACTACGAGTTGTAGAACATTGATATAGACACCATTTATGTGATTGTAAATATTGGTGTCCACAGTATATGCATCAAAATCTTAGTAGACAGAAAAAAAAAAAAAAAAAAGAATGAAGGAAGGCTAGATATAAAATTAGTCCAAAAAGAATTTGATTTTTTAAATTCTATTTAAATGTTTATTTCATACAAATCGCTCATCACTTTTTTTCTTTATAAAAATGCAGTCTCTCCTTTCAGTCACTATAATTTTTGATAGGCAATATGCTTTGTTTTCAAATCCTTCTCGTACAAAGTTCAAGAGAAGAAACAGCGAGAAAGGTATTTAATGAGCTTTGAACTTATATTGGATTTAGTTTTTTTAAACAACCTCTGTAATCCAAACAACATCCTGTGGGAATTATTTTGGATGAGATAGCACTGTATGTTACTGGCAGAGTATAAGTAATCCTGGTATATTAAGCCTAGTCATTCCATACCATGGATAAGCGTTTTTAGCAAAGTATGAAATTGCATTATTTTAACACTGTAATACTGTTCTATGCCTAGAAGTTTCACATAATGCCAGTTGTTCATCCAGCAAAGCAAGAAATATAAGTGGTTCAAATAAGATATAACTAGGTTTTTATTTTATATATTATGAACAAAAGTTATTTATCTAATCTAATGACAAATAATCGGAATGTTTTTATTAAGGCTTACATACTTGAAGCTATTTGTCACAGTAGGATAGAGATTTGGCATACAAGCAGTTACACTTGCTGTGCTTTTTACGCATTCTCTATTTTCTGTTTTGTCATTTAGCATTTCAAGTTAGGGAACATCTTCAACTCAGATCAAGTTCTGGCATAACATAAACAGTTCTTGTTGAAAAAAACTCTGTTAGTACTACTCAGATTGTAAAACCCACCATCCCTTGAATTTATGACAACGTATATGTTCTTGAGTCTCCTCACCCTTAACCAACGTCAGGTTTAGATGGACAAACTTCTTGAAAAAAAAAAATTATATAGCCATTAACATGGTAGGTATTCTATAGAATAGTAAACCTGTTAATTATGCTTTATTTCACATTTTTCTGGACTGGCTTTAGTTCAATAACATTATACATGAAAATGAAATGAAAAAATAATTTTATTCTGGAACTACAGTCCCCTAAGAATAACAGAGTTACAAATTTATGGGTCTTAGTTTGGCTTAGAATAATAAAAAATACAAAATAATTAATTGCTGGTTGTTATTGCAATTGTGCAGTAGATTGAAATTGAACAGTACACAGATGCAAGTAATATATATATGCAATCCAACAAACCAGTCCTTTTTTAAAAATATAATCTTAATTATATTAATTAGTCGTTTGTTGACAGTTAATTATATCTAATTAACTTCTGGCAATTGCATTTCACTGGAACTGGTTCTATTTCAATATATTCTGTGATGGGTTTTAATATTAACTTCAGATCACTTTAGCTTTCACTAAGGACAAGTTAAGAGTCCTGGACTCTCAACTTTACATAAAGCAGATAATTTTCAGTGGATTCAGGTTTCTCATTCACAAGGAATAAGCAGATAAAAAAAGATAAATGTTAACAACTATATTTACAGAGCGATTTTAATATCACAATTGTACACTAGTCATAAAAAAAATTAATATTAACTAAAGCTAACAAATTTTTTAAGTACAAAAGGAATCAAATATATAAAACAAAGATAGCTTTGATGGCAAAGTGATATAGAGACAAGTTTAAGAAAATAGATGTAACATAGCTGATATGATAAAGACAATTTAATTTATTATAGGCCAAGTAATAGGCTCAAATATTGATTACTAGTATCCACTCAATGCAACAAATTAAGCTTAATTTTTTTAAATAAGATGGTACAATAAATAAGGATTAGAGACAAGTTGTCTAAACTAAAAAATATTCAAAATGATTAAAAAGTAATCTTATTCAATAGTGATTTTGTCAACTGATTTTATCAATAAATTTATTCCTAAATCGCACTGCTGATGAATTGAAGAATTACTTTCATTGAATTTATCAATAAAACTATTCATTTTAAATTGTATATTTACTTTACCAGTGTCAAAAAAAGTATAAAAGAAATTAAATATATTTTTTATTAAGCTACTCTAAACAGCAACATTTAATCTTGGGTAGATTTAATAATCATCTATCAAATTTTATTATCGAATAGTCTTTAAAGATGACAATTAGAATAAAGCTCATCAATAATAAAATTATATTAACTTATTTAAAAAGAAATTTAAAACATGAATTCTTTAGGAAAAATGAAATGAAAACATTTATCCTAACATCAATTTGTAATATAATTAAAACTCCAAAAAATTGAAAATAAGTTTGTAAAGTCTATAAAATACCCTTAAACTAGTTATATATCCTAAGCAATTACATCAAACAGATTCAGTCTCACCATGAATTAGTTTTAAAACTATTTCATACAATCCAACATTTAACGTATGGTCAATGCATAACATCAATAAATAACTTCTAAACTAATTAAATAAATCTCACATTCAACATAAAAAGAAAAATATATCCATCTCTCATAACTTTAATTATGTCAATTTCTTTATAATAAAATATAAACAATAAAATTCTTGTTCACCCTCAATTTTATAACCTTTCATTAAGGCTAAAAAAAAGCAACAACTAATAATTCAGTTTGTAGTATTATGCTGGTAAATGCCCCTCATTGAAACAGTCACAGAATCTTTCCTCAAATCCAAAAAATACTGGCTAGTATATTTCATTAATTTTACAAAAAAATAAAATAAAAAACTTGGTACATTTTTTTTTAATCTATTCACTGGATCGCTCAACCAAATGAAAAAAAGATTTTATTGATATATGCACTTGTTTAAAAAGTATTGGAATTAATATGGTTTTTATTTTATCACAGCTAGTTTGCTGCTAGATCTATTTTATTCTTATAATTGAGGGTTGCTAACAATGACTGTTTTGAGTGGAGTCCCTTTTATTGTGGACGATAGACTTACAATATGATATAATTTTCAAGGAATAAAATCAAGGATATGAGTATTTTCGTGGTGGTTAGTAACAGCGGTTTGACAGGTTGAATTAATAATTAATTTGTGATATCTCATTCATGAAGTTCATTTTATAATGAATCTAATTTAAATTGTATAACCATTTTACAAATATTTTGTAAGAGAAACTTCAGGACTCATTTACTTGCATCATTAATTATATTATCATACATCCCATGACATAAAAGGGTTGAGACAAATATAAACTTTTTTTATAATTATAAATTTAAAAGAGCAAAGCAAGCAGAATAGAACTTTTAAAAAGGTAAACAATAAAGGAAGAAAACAAATTAACAAATTATAATTGAGCTGGAAATAGGAATGTTAAAAAGATTATCACTCATTTTAAAAAAATATATTGAAATAAATTCAAGACTTATCATGGTAACTTCAGACCTGATATCACCTAAAACGATAACCTTGTGAGCCCATGGTTCCTTGCGTTTCTTCTTGTTCAAGGGGAAAAAATTATGGTCAGGAAATTTATTCTTAAAACATGTTATTTATTGGACTAATGTTTTAGGAGGAATATCACAAAATATTCAAAAATATGATACGTAATCATTCACAATACTGCAACTGATAAATATATATTAAATTATCAATTTCTTATAGACCAATTTCAAAACAGGTCAATATGTCAATATCAAACAAAGAAGGTCAACAGCACCTAGTCTGATTAAAGCTGCAGAGAGGAAAAACGAAAAAAACAAAACAAAAAAAATTATAGAATTAATAGCTATATGGCCAACAAATTTTGAATCACGACTCCTTTTAATGCCATATTTAAAATTTATAGTTTTTATTTCGGCAGTTTCTGTCACCATGTTGCTAACACCATTAGTTAAATGTTTACTATTATTAAAAATAAATTGTCTCCAATTTTAGTATTGGCATTTTAGGTCATAATTATTCTGCAAGCCTCAATGATTTTAGCTCTTCGGTTATAGTTTCTCACTAACTTATTGCGAGCCTCATAGTAAATTCAATACAGGAACCTCAAGTCAATTTCACAATTTATACCTAAAAAAGAAGACAAAACTCTTTTAAAACATTTCAGCATCATATATATCCGAAAATAATAAAAAATATCATAACACTGGTTAAAAATAGAAGAAACGCAATAAATATATTAAAAATAATATTAAATAAACATTACCTTAGTAGACAATTCTCTATAGAGGAATTCTCTCTGTAACTAACAAAATTATAAACCCTATCTAATTTAAACTATTTTAAAGAATATAAGGTCGTATCCTGAATCGTATCCTTATAGCAAGCAATGAATGCAATGACGGTATTTAACAGAGTATGATAATTTTGATTGTAATGATCATATCTATCATCATTTTAATTTTTACTGAAAAATCTTGTGGGCGCAACACAACTTTCACTTACCCCTCTTCTTTGAATAGAAATTATTTATTACGTTGGGCTATTATAAAATTTTTGAAGTGCATTTTAGACGGAGCTATAGCTTAAAGCTTACAGATAACAAATCATTAGGACCATTAAAATTATCAAAGGTCTATTTATTATATCGACGGTGGGCAATAAAAATGTAGTTTATAAAGCACATAACTCAGTCTCTGAGCCTTTCAGTTGACAGAATGAATAACTCCAATTTCATCATTTTTGAGTAATGTCATTTTAGTGATATTTATTGTTGGAAAAGTTATATATATATACAGCCAGTTATAGCAAGTTAATTCCAGAGTAGGTGATTGCAGTATTGAAATATAGAACTGTGAATAAGGGTATAAATTTGAAAAAGTTGCTGCAACATCTTAAATATGTAATATCAGTTTTGTACAACTTTTCGTTTTTGAGCTAGACTGTTCACATAGATCCACACACACAGACCATTTTGCGGGACTTGGTTATTTGAACTCGGGAGACCTCAAAACATGTATTTCCGTTGGAAACTCAGATTCAAAAATTTTCACGACCGCAATACCTACCCTTATTATATATTTCATATATAATAGGTAAGTGAAAGTAAAAAATGAGAAAAAAAACAAAACAATGTAGACAATTGAATTGCACAATATAGAAATAGAGAGCCCAACAGGCAACAAACCAAGTGAAGATAGAAGGGACTCAGACTAGATTTGAAAATATACAGAAATTTACAAAATGAACATATTGCTGTTTCTTGAATATTTAAGACTAATTGTATTTGTCTATTTCTATAAAATAAATTAACAACAAACTTATATTGCAGTAAAATAAATTGTAGTTTATAATGCAACATATATCAATTAAATGTTTTAGTTTTTATTTACTGTTTTTTGAAGTAATGAAATTCAACCTGAGTTCTTTGAATATAAAAGGTGGTTCTATGTGTAATTGTTTTCCGTTATCCTTTAATGTTCCTGCAAATTGTTTGATTTCATTCAGTCTGTTTAAATGTTTACTAAGACACTCAGGAATATTTTAATTATAGTTACATACGAGTGGCCTCATATTGAAGACAAACATCTGTAATTTTCAGAAAGTGGAGAAAAAGCCAGTTTTTGTTCTATAGATTTAACTCAAACTATTTCTGATGATTTTATTTATTTTAAAGATGTTTAAGTTGAATCATGAAAAAAAAAATCATTAGAATTGGTTTAAATTGAAGCTATGTAACGGAAAATTGGTTTTTATTCAACTTTTTAAAAATGATAGATGTTCGTCTTTGATATAAATTCTTCTTCATAGGCAGGACAGACGTAATAGGCGGTCCTTGGCCTGCTTAATCTCTCTAGCCTAGTCATGTCGGTCTGCAGCTAGTCTATAAGACATGTTAAACTTTGGGAGGTCTTCTGGATAATCCTGGTATAACTTTTCGACGGTTCTACCTTCATCCATTATATGGATATGACCCAACTACTTCAGGATGCTGTATCCTGGGATAGTCCGACAATTTCATATCGCCATATAAGGAGTATACTTTTCTATTCTTTCCAAGCTGATATCCCATTTTCCCTCACAGGCCCTAGAATGCTACTTTATATTTTATGTTTAAAGATGTCGACCTTCAAAGCTAATTACTGATTTTTTGACTATCATTGGAATGTGTAGTTTCCGACTGTAAAACTTATCTGAAGCCCTGGGTTTCTTTCTTCTCAAAACTATAATCTTGTTTTTTTTCTTTCATAAATCTCTCGACCAAATCTTCTGGCTTCCCTTTCCAGCTTCTCAAACACATCTTTGACATTAAGGAGAGATCTTCCAGCTATCACATCATCGGCATATGCTAATAGTTGTGTAGAATATATTGTCATTCACAACGAGACAAGCTCTTGCTACTATAGTTTGTGATACGATACTGTAAAACAGCGATGCTAGAGAATCATCTTGCCCGAGTTCAGTGTTTACATGAAATGTGCTGGTCAGCTTACCATCAACTTTAACCTTGCTGATGTATCATTCATTGTACACATTACCGATCTGATGATGTTTTAAAGGAATATCGATTTCCTTCATTGCCTGGAACAATTCATCTCTCAAAACTGAGTCATAAGCTGTCTCATAATCAATGAATAGCAGCCACATAGTCTTTTGGAATTCTTTCATTTTCTCACAATTTAGCAACAGGGAGAATATTTGATCGATAATAGATCTATTGGGCCCAATACCTCCTTGGTAATCTTCCAGCTTGAACTCCTCATTTGACAGTAGGCAGTTATAGAGGGCTATAGAGCAAATTTTGTATGATGTGTTTAGAAGAATTATTCCTCTACAGTTCTTACAGTCTGTTGTGTTCCTCATGTTTTTATAGAATGGAATGACTATTGCTTCTGAACACTCTTTCAGCATCCTTTCTACTTGCCAGATGTGTGAGATTAGGCTATGTATCTCACTACTAACGCGTCATTTGCCACTTTCAAAAATATGCATGTATTCCATCTGGTCTAGAAGCCTTATTGCTTTTTAGCTTTTTCACAATAACTTACCAATTGTTTAATTGGTTGGAAAATGGCGTATAAGCCGAAATTTCTATGATCAATATTTAATAGAGAAGGCACATCCACCAATGATATCAACAGAAGAAAGGTCACAGCAATACTCAACAATATCCTTTGGAGCTCGAATATACAGTCCAGTACAAAGAGGCTAATATACAAGGCTATATTCGAGCCAATTACGACATATGCCTCGGAAACTTGGGTCATCAATGTAAGACACCAAACAGATTGTTAGCAGTAGAGATGGACTTTTGGAGAACAACAGCAAGAAAATCCAGAAGGGAAAGGATAAAAAATGAAAGAATTTGGAAATAAAAAGGTGGAAAAAAACATTTTAGCAAATATTGAAAAGAAAATGTTATGGTAGTTTGGACATGTGAAAAGATTGTCTGATATGTGATCCTGAAAAATGATGCCTGAAAGATTGTCAAATATGTGTATGGAGCTGGAAGTAGAAGGGAGAACGAAAAAGGGAAGACCAAGGGTAAAATGGAAAGACGCGGTGGAAGAAAGCCTGGCATCATAGAAGAACAAGCCTTGGATAGAGAAGAATGGAAAAATATCTTAAAGAATATTAACTCAAGAACAACCACAGTAGTGGAAAAGTCCTTAAAAAAAAAAAGTTAAATAATTTAAAAATGAGGTTTCTACACCATTTATTACATGAATTCTTTCTCTTAGGAAGCTATTTGACAGCTGATGGGTCATTTATTTATTACCAGCCATGGCCACGGGACTCAGTGAAGGTATCAATACAGCCCGTGGGACTTATTGGAGGCCTTAATGTGGCCTGCAGTTCAAAAAGTTTGAGACCCCTGCGTTATAAGTGGGGAAGTTTTTTTATCATTAGAGGCCGCAATAATTCTTTATATCTTACCATTGCTATTTTTATTTATCACTAAATACACAAACCCACATTCATCTTAATTCTATTAATTTCCAAATTGTTGTTAATTCTATTATTAAATATTAATTAATTCTAGCACTAGATTAATAAATATTGTGCAAAATGTTTGGAGGCCAAATGCGGCCACCGAGTCCATGGTTCCCGACCTATGCCTAGTACCAAAAAGATCATTGATAATGATTACTTACCTAAATTGCTGGGAGAGTATATGAAGAGATGTTCATCTCACCATTTCCCCTTCACCTTCTTGCTGGGGGAAGTGACCATCAGTAATCTTGGAATCATTTTCTGATTCTATTTTATATAGAATGTCATGGCAAAGTGGACAACGATCCTGTGAACACAGAAATTGGAAATAGACAAAGTACTAATATAAACATTGTTCATGAAAACTTCAACATTATAAATTAGACAGTATATTTTGGTAATATAACAATGGGTCTTATTACACAGGGCAACAATGAAAATGTTTCGGGCTCAAAAATTCTCTGTATGAGGGTGCTTTTTTAGTGTAAAATTCGTAAAAATGTCATACAAATGTTTAAATATGGTGAATAATTTTTGTTATATTTGTGGTTAAATAACATTTTCCTCACAGAAACGCAATCTGACGCCATTTGTAAAGACTGCCTATCAGCATTATTTCGGTATGAAGGTAGGGAACCAGGATAAGTCTTGAGCTCAAGATATAGGTTGCAACGCATATTCAGTTACACTGCGAGAATGGATGAGAAAGAAGAAACGATCAATGGCTTTCACTGTGCCTATGGTTTGGCGGGAGCCTACAAACCATACAGATGACTGCTATTTCTGCTTGACTCCACCTATAAAGGCAGGATTTTCTATGAAGAAAAGAAGAACACTTCAGTACCCGAATATTCGATCTGCTATTCGATCCATTCTGCATTCAGATAGTTTACCAATTCCTGATCCACACGAAAATTTTGTGTTAAAAGCTATTACATAAAAAAAAAATCATAAGATAAGGTTTTTATTTACAGTAATATTTTCTTATATATCTACTTTACTTTTTCATATAGTCGACGTTCACATCTATGCACAATCTATAACACTACACCAGCTGGTAATACCAGTCTTGAGTTCATCGTCGGGTGATCACTTTGAAGTTTTTTTGTTCATTGATCAACAATTTTGTTAGTCTGAATACTGGGCCTGCCACTCAGCTGTTCATCATGCACATTAGAGCATCCATTTCGAAATTCTCAACACCATTTTTGAACTCATTGGTCACTCATTATTTCAGGTCCATATACAAGGATAACTCATGATGTATTTCAGCAGGTGAAAATCCTTTTGTCAGCAAAAATCTTCAAAAATGGCGGGATCTATGATAGCCTTGGCCATTGCGATCTGCTCTCACAGACTGGCAAATTATTATTGAGTGAAATCAACACTGCAGTAGTCTCCGTAAGAGTCAGTAGATAGGGGTAAATGCGTGAAACTTCATTCAGGCCTAACATTTTATCAGTTAAATATTGGCCATTGGGTCTTAGTTCTGAAATACACCTCATATCTACAGTTGCTTTACACTCCATTTAACCACTTGATCTACACTTCATTAAACAATTAATCTATTCTTGAAAAAAAAAAAAAAAACATGCTATACTTCCTTTAAAGTCATTACAAAAGAAAATAATTAATAAAAAATAAAATAAATAAATAGTATAACATTTAATATTAGTTTTAATATAAATATATATATATATATATATATATATATATATATATATAAATATATATATATATATATATATATATATATATATATAAATATATATATATTTTTTTTAAACCAAGTAAACCATAAATATTAATTTTTAAAATTTTTTCAAACCTGAACATAAAGCCACTTCCTCAGACAGACACCGTGGAAATAATGGTTACACCTTGTGATCTTGGCAGCTCTCATTTCTTGGTAGCATATAGCACACACATCTTCATGGGAAGCTAATTGAGCTTCACTTGCTTCAGGAAGTGATTCTATTTTGTTAACAGCAGTACGCCTCTTCATGAAGACTGACCAACCAGCTCGGGCCTCACACCTGTATTTAAAATTAGAAATGAGAAAAATTGATTCGGTTATAGGTTAGTCTTGGAATCTTGAATAATTTATCCGGAGTTATTTCTGTTTTAAAATTAAACAATTGGATGATGAAAATTTTGAGACCTTAAAAAAAATTCAACATCTCATATAAAATCAATATAATTCACTTAGTGCATATTTTTTAAATAAATTTTACTTGCAATAAAAATAACTTGTTAACCATTTCTGTCAACGATGGATCACTTAAACTGTTCCAATACTTATTGAAATTTATTTGTATGTACAGATCACGAATACCAGGTTTAGAAATATGAAACCGGAATTTGTCGATAAAAGACTGTAGTTGTTAATGAAGTTACCATTTTGTTTCTTTAACAGCTGAAAAAGATTTTCAACCCAAAACAATACAACTTTCATAAAACAACATTGTTTTGATAATTTTGAACATATCAAAATTCGTGCCTACAAACTATGATAATGGATAGCATTAGTTTTCTGTAATGATTTAAAAAAAATTACTGCAGAATCACATCGAATGCTTGTTGAACCTTACAGTAAACATGCACTTGGTAAATAACAGAGCTTTTAGTGGTTTAAAAATATTCAAAAGTGGTGATTTTAACATGAGAAATGAAGAATCTGGAAGACAGATGAGGTCTATTATGAGACGCTGAAAACTGGTGAAGCCATTAGTCTGAACGATATCGACAAGAAATGATTGATGTGAATCAAGTATTCTGTGAAAATAACCAGAATATAAAAAAATAGAAAACATTGTGATTTTGTTTTGTGATAATGCAGCAGAACCAGTGTAGGGAACAACTGAGGCGTTCATTGAAAAATATTATTGCATACAAACTTTGCTCTGTGCAACTATTATTTATTTACATCAATAGAGCATGCACTTGTGCTTCACTGTTTATGATAATGAACAAAAATGGCTCCATGACTGTTTTTGGATGGTCTCAAGTTCTCTTGATGTGAGGTTACTTGACCTCACCACATTAGGCTACTTCTTGTAGAGACTTAAGATTCCTTTCTGAAGTCCCAAATTGACATTTAGCTCCCTGAGTTATTACAATCTTCTTGATCCTGTTCTTGAGATCAACAAAAAAGGTAAAAACTTCCTTATCTTTTTCACTAATCTTCTAAGATATTTGTATACGAATATTTGTTAACGAGAAGATAATATCCTAGGTGCTTTTATTTCTTCTAAATCCGTACTAATCTTCTCCCAGGTTCCATTGGTTCCACTACATTCCTGAGGCGTCTCTAGGATTTTGGAATGCATTTTACTTGTTACACTTAGAAGGAACATGCCACTGTGATTCTGAAACTCTCTCTTATCTCCCTTTTTAAATGTAGGTATAAACAACAGACACTTTCCATTTTCTTGATATTTCTTTGAAAAATATGTATTTAATGAATAAAAATACTGGTTTCATATTTACACACCTGATAAATAATATTTACAGCTCGTTTATATAAGTATTTATTTATTTCATTGAATAAGTGGTAATTCCAATAATTACCAAATATTGAAATATGCATGAACTCCCATCATTCCGGCACGAATAGCTCCTCCAGACTCAAATAATAAAATCCAGGCTCCGTTAAAAAATAGGAAAATTCCAAAACAAAACTCCACCTGAGGATAAAATGCAGAAAATTAGAACCTGCAGGAAAAAAAAATTGTTACACCTCTAACAACTTATAGTAAACTATGTTTTATTTAAGAGAGTCAGGAGACAACTATACTCAATTATTACATAATTTAAAAGCTTAAATTTTTTTTTTGTTACACCAGGACAGAAGCTTTGTATACTTCACTAGACAAGGTAAGTATTAAGGAAAATTCTAGAATTTCTAACCCTGAAAGGACTGCAAGCAAATTCGATGGCCACATGTCTCAATAGTATGATTTCTAACTAACAAAACAACACAATATATCAAACTAATATTACAACTTATATCAGTAATTTAAATATCATTTCTGATAATAAAATTTCCAATTTATTAAGAAGTATTATTTTATTGGACAAAAATCCTAAACTAATGTAAATTTGCATTTTTCTCTGCACCGCGTATTGAAAACTCATTTTTTAAATATTAAATCTGTTAATTAATGACACAGTTCAAAGTAATTTTTGTAACAAGTTTTTTTTCAAATTGCTAACCAAAACTCCTTAGGAGTTAGATCAACCTTCTTCTAACCTATGATTTAGGAGGAAGATTTCAGCACTGATTTTGAAAAATTATGTTGGTTGGCAAGCAAAATACACCTGAGTGGATGACCGAATCCCTCATCTCACTGACTGGGATAATTTATTATTAATTATGGGAGACTTTATTTAGCTCTCGGTGGAACCTGTCCAATAGGGAGCGAGTCCTCCGGGTGGCAGATGGGGAATCCCTCTTTAGGAGGGGTGGTCTGAATATACAGAATAAAGACCCGTGGACCAACAGGCACCCAGTGCTCGGGGATATAGCCGGGCCACCCTTTCTCCTGAGGGAACACAAATATTGAGGAGACTAATTGTCCGGAGGACAAGAGGCCTCCATCACTGGACTAATAACCTGCATGGTAGTATAGTCTATTAAAAGTCAAGGAACCAGTCTTGGATGTGGACAGATCTCACGAAAACGACCTGGCGCTCATAGGGATTTACAATTTGGAAATTGGAATATAAAGACATTGACAGGAAAAGAAGTTGAGCTTGGAAGAGATGAAGACATATAAGGTGGGCATACTTGGGATCAGTGAGGAAGAGAAGAAAGGAATCGGTGAAATAAAACTGGAGAGTTAAATACAAGGAAGTTACTCAAGGAAACTTCGTGAAGGGAGTACTAGGTATAGCTATGACTCCAACAATGTATAAACAAATGGAACACTAGGAGCCTATCTCATCAAGAATAATTGCTACAAATTTTGTGTTAGCCATTGGGAAAGTTACTTTAGCGTAGATATATGCACCAACATAGGATGTGGGAATCATGGATAAGAAAGCGTCCTACTCTTACTTGTAAGGATCGCACAACAAAATCAAGTACAAAGGGTGATTCACAATGCTGAGAGGAGATTTCAATACTAGAACAGGTTGTGATCCTTTTCCCACTTATGGTACTCTCGGACTCCATGGAGGAGAAGTGTAAGAAATGGAAATGGACAACGCTTTATTGAATTCTGTATAGACAATGATATGTTGGTGGGAAATTCCTTCTTTCCCCACAAAACAATACACAAAATAACTTTCTTGAGCCTGGAAAGAAACAGCATTATAGACTATTTCGTATATGACTGTGGATAAGACACTATTTTACCGATATAAAATTTATATGAGGCACTGAAATTGGCAGCTATCATCTGCTACTAATAGCCGATACCAAATTTCCACAGAAGCAGCAAATTAAACAAAAGAGCTACCAGGCAGTGAACATACGAGCTCTAAAGGATCCAGAAAAGAGAACATCCTACACCGAAAAACTGAGAGGAAAATTAAAAATCATTAGCTAAGAGGAGGATGTAGAACAACAGTGGTGCCGCTTAAAATCCTGTATCCTAGAAACATCGTTCTGGAAACATCCTGTATCTGGGAACAGAGTCGTGGAATGAGGAAGTATGACGTTTTGTTCAATCAAAGAAAAAAGTGTGAAAAGCTTATCTTCAAGACAAAAAAACCGGAAAACTAGATGAATACCATCAAGCCAGAAATCAATGCAAAATAGCAGTCTGGAAAGCGAAAAGAGTCATGAGAAAGATTCGGAAAAAGTCTTAATGAAGACCACCGGGAAAGTATTAAGAAGTTCTGGCAATAAGTAAAGATATTAAGAGGAAAAAGAAGTAAGCCAGTGAGAAATGTCAGACTCTAGTGGCAGAATGGTCACCGAAGAAGCGAAAATTCCCTTATAGTGGAAGGAGTTTTATCAGGGACACTTCTCAGGAGGACCCACTGACCCAGAAGAACATCTTATAGAAATAATATTCTGGAAAGTCTAGAAGTCATTGAGAAAGACAATATAGAATATGCCATCTAAAAAATTAAAATAGGTAAAGCGGCGGAAAGAGATGGCATAGACACCGAATTAATAAAATTTGGAGTACAGGAATTACTATATGCCAATTACATCGTTCTGATCGCGTATAAAAGACAAGTTGCAGCAGACCCTTGTAGAATGGCAGAAAGAACTTCTCTGCAAAGGTATGATTATCAATAGTTCAAAAGCAAATTCCTAGAGGAACAAGAAGACGCCCAGCTGATCTGTAACGGGCAGGTACTTGAAGTTGTGCAAGAATTCACTTATTTGGGCACAATTATCAGCAACAAGGGGAAGATTGACCCAGAAGTAGCGAATAGGATATCCAAAGCCAATCAGGTATATTACCCTATTAGCAACACTATATTAGGGCACAGGGAACTTGGCAAGGAAACAAAAAGGCACATATACATGTCGCTATACCTCCCAACCCTCACGTATGGAAGCGAAAGCTGGATTATGCTGGACAAGCAGATTAGCCGTGTGACAGCAGCCGAGATGAAGTTTCAGCGGAGAGATGCCGGAAAGACCAGGAGAGACTGCATAAGGAATGAAAGCATAACAGAAGATCTGGAGGTAGCGCAGCTAAGGACATTACTGGAAAACTGACAGTTGAAGTAGTTTGGCCACGCTTTTCGGATGGAAGAGGAGAGAGATTTGTGAAAGGTTCTGGAAGCTCGACTCACAGCCACAGAATTTCCTATCAGGAGTATATGCAGCACATTGGATAGAGGCTCCTCGACGCAAGTAATGGCACAAATAGAAAGACAAATAAGAAAAATACTTTATTTAGAACACTATTTCCAGTATGTTTCTACATAACCACAATACACCACTATCTCAAATTGACTAAACAAGGTAGATATAGCTCTTTTCATTGGCATAAAAATATGGAAGGGGTCAAAACAGACTATTGTTTCCTCCTAAATAAGTTGAGGATTTAGCAGCAACTACAGACAAGAATACTGTAGGTTATGCAAAACCCAGGTAGTCTTTATGTGCTATATTTATATTAATTAGATTTCTCTCTCTAAATCTCTTCAGAGCCATTCATCCTGGTGAATGAATTCCACTGTCAATCACGCATTAATGAAGTATACATTTGGTGCTTCAATATGTTTTTGGTTGCTAATAATAAATTTAACCTGAAATTTTAGATATCTATTTGCTCAGGTTCAAAAATTAATAAAAATCACTTCCTGTTTTTTCCTTCTTAGATTGTGAACGGTTTGACTCATTATTACAAATTAGTAACAAAAAATTTGATTATCCAATATTTCTTGAATATTAGCAAATAAAGATAGAATGAGTATATAAAAAGAAAAAGAAATATAAATTCATCAAAACATTTTATTGTAAAATTTAAACGGAGAATTAGGTCAATGGTCAACAATTACAAATAAAAAAACAATAAATTTATCAATTTGTAAATAATGGGTGATAAATATTCAGAACACAGTCATTATAAGATTTTTATTAGTGCCGACGTTTCAACCCGAAAATGTGGGTCATCATCAGGGTGTGGTTTGAGCACTGAAGATATTCAAGTATTAACTTGAATATCTTCAGTGCTTATTAGTACATTCAATTCTTAACTTGAATATCTGGGACTCCTCACACCGCTCAGCGGTAGAAGAGGAAAAGATAAAGAAGAAGAACTTGAATAACTTCAGTGCTCGAACAACGCCCTGATGATGACTCACATGTTTGGGTTGAAACGTCGGCACTAATAAAAACCTTATAATGACTGCGTCCTGAATATTTATCACCCATGGTATGTAGAACAGTAGACTAACTTCCTTCAATAATTAGTAAATAAGTTTGTGAAAGGATTAAAGGAACGCTATTCTCCTCAAAAAGTTTTATGAAGTGTAATCGAATTAGGATCATTATTTATTGCAAAATTAAGTGATCAAAGAAGAAAAAATTAGGTAAATTAATTAACTATTTTTACATAATTACAAAATTAAATAACATTGTAGTTTTTGAAAATTATGGTCTGATGCAAAGCACTTCATGTGCTTTCCTTTTATCTAGTTATTAATAAAAAATTATTATGAGATACATATTTTATGTAAGAAATTATTTTAAATATAATATAATATATTTCTTTTAATTAAAAACAATATGTCACATCTGATGTGATGGAGGTGAAAAATGACTCTAGTCATGTTTTTGAGAGAAAAAAAATGTGTATATATTCAAAAAAAGGTCCTCTAATATTACAAATTGCATCTTAAACTAAAATTCATTGAGCTAGAAAGATGTGAAATAATTCTCTCAATTGTTATTTCAAAAATTAGGCAAAAGTGTTGTTCTAATCATGTTCATAGCCTCATCTTTTTCTTCTTTTTTACGGTTAATAACACAATTAAAAATTTAATTTGTAATTCTTTAATGGTAATATTAAAACACTTTTGAATTGATCTAGTTACAAAAATGTATTGAAAGTATAATGATTACTCACTGTGTTTCCAAATGCTTTGATATAGTAAACGTAGTCATCAAGTTTTTCCCAGAAAGTAGACCTATAGGCATCCAGAAGGAAAAGAGAGTATATGAGAAGTGAAACGATCACTTTAACTATAACTTCGACTGAAAAGGCAGAAACTGCCAAAAGCCAGGTGGACATAGGATGATGAGCCCAAAGGTATCCCAGCAGACTTACTGGGTAGACTATCAGGAAACCACAGACGAGAAGAGCTCTTACATGCCTATAATAATCAATAACATTTTATTAATATATAATTCTGACATAAATTATTTAATAATTAAAAATGTTGGCTCCTCTATTAAGATGGATATTTTACTCAATAAAGTTGTAGAAATACATAAAGATTGGTAGCCAATTTTCTATTTTATATATACTAACAATAAGATCATGTAAATTATGTATGGATAATCCACTAATGAAATAATACAAAAACTAATCATCTTAAAATCACATAAATTCACTCATAAGTGAGTGATCATTACCTTTTAAATAATGTTTTTTATATAATTTTTTTTAATAAACTATATTGTAAGCAACAAATTATGATCTAATTAGAAAACCTATTACATTAAAAATGTATTATTTTATTCTAATATATATATTTTTTTGTCGTTGGCATTACAGACCTTATAGGTCTTTAGCCGCCTTAACCAGCCTTCTCCATCTCTATCTATCTTGGACTATTTCTTTCCAAGCCTTCAATTAGGTTTTGTTCTAACCTGGAGGACTAGGAGCTATGTAAAACACAGCGGTTGATCATCTCCCCTGTGGATCTCTGGATGGGGACGTTTCCATTCCCATACAGGAATCGAATCCACACCGTAGTGGTCTGAGTACTCGGGTAGAGCCTGCACTTATTTTATTTATATTTACAATTTATTAATGTCCATTAATATTATTATTTTTATCATATATAATCAATATACAATTAATGTTTACACACAAAAAAATTTTTATCCCAAAATTTCGATTTTACAAATAAATATTTTTTTTTAACAATAATCTTTATTTTCTCTTTATGTTAACACTCCAACTCTAGATTAAAAGGATTTTTAATAAAATATTGGTTATCATAAAACATTTTTTGTATAAATTTGTTGAACTATGACATTATAAGTGGGGTATATATTTATAAGAACAGTGTTTTTGACAAAATGCAGAGAAAAAAAAGACGAAAAAGAACATTATTTGTGGATGTGAAAATAATAAGAAACAACAAAAGATTTCATATTTTAAAATGGATAAAATGAATATTGTTGTTATTATTTTTTTTTAATAAATGGATTTTGAAAATGCCAAACAAAGAGAAAATTAAAATTAAAAATTCTTGTTAAAAAGTTTTTTAATTTATAAAATCGAAATTGAGGGATTAAAAGAGATCTTGTTGAATAAGCGCTGATCATATAGTTATCATATAATCAAATAAAGATCTCACAAAAATAAAATCAATAACCTAAATAAGGTTCTTTATCATCTATTATTTCTATCTTTTGTTATAGAATCCAGTCAATGGGATTTGAACTCATAATTTTTGAGTTTCAATAAAAAGCATCTTTACATGTTGAGTGTATTTTTGCAGGAGTCTCTTTCACAGCACCCGTCAAACTAAATAAGTCACAAAGTAAATTAAAATCTTAACAAAATATTTTAATCTCCATTTACAATAAGAAAATAAAGCATTAAAGCATGACACTAACCGATGAAGTGAAGGGTTGTGTGAAGCTGATAAAGACATCAGAAGAGGGTTGACAATGTTGTGTATAAAGTGAAGCAAAGCTGTAAAGAGAAGGCAGAAGTTCCTACAAAGTCGAATAAATCTCTTCTCAGGATCGAGGCCAGTAAGGCCAGTTTGAAGAGCAAGGATGTAGAACAATATAGCAGAGACTGTGCCAATGGATTTGTCTTCTTCGTCTTCGGCCAACAACACCTTAACAGATTATAAATAAAATAAAACTAAAATTAACAAGCTTAAAACTATGACCTTACATAGCTTACAGAAAAAATTGTTAAGTTAGAGACATATAAATGAATAAATATGCAATTTTTGAGATATTACTAAACAATGTCTCAAAATGCAGAGTTCATTCTAACTTTATTTTAAATGGTTGAATTCAATTTCTCAAAACGCAATCATTACAATTTGAAGAGATACCAAGATAAAAAATAATACTATCTTGCCCCTAAGATAAGGAAAGAAGTATAAATTAATAAACAGTTGTCATTTTACATTTATCAACCAGAATATAGAGATCGATACAAAAAAAAAAAATTACTCTAAATAAAACCAAGTCACATATTTTGTACCATAATAGAGTGGAAAAATACTAATTTTTAGACAAAGAATCAGTCAGAATAGAATAAAGGCGTACCTTTTAAATTTGTGACCAGTCTTATATGCAACTGCTGACAGTAGAAGCATGATTTTCTTAAATTTCAGGAATGAACACAAGAGGGCTATTGAGTTTGTGTCTTTAGGATGAAATTTTACAGGGTAAAATGTAAGAAAAATTTTGGTGTCTAATTTTAATGCAAGGTAGGAGTTCTTAAAGTTAATACATTAGCCTGAGGATCGTATTTTCAACTATTTTTTTTGTGTATCTCATTCCAGCCCTTGATACATATACATGATAGCTATATGTTCCTGAATGACGTGATAGAACAAAGCAAAAAACTACATTGCTTTATTTGTTTTTCCATATTTGCAGTTGAATAAAATAATTGCATTTTTACTCATTATTGTTTAAATTAAGTTAAATAACTAGTGAATATATATTAAATAACTAGTGAATAATAATTAAGTTAAATAACTAGTGAATATATATTAAATAACTAGTGAATAGTAATTAAGTTAAATAACTAGTGAAATATGCCTTGATAGACACCACTGCCAATCCCAAGCCTGTATAAAGCAGAGGGTTGACTCTCATACAAAGGTCTCATATAAAACGGCTTGTGTTATGAACACTCAACAAAGTCTCGGATTGAACTGGACTGATTTGTGGCAATGTCTTGCTTTACAAAATTGGAACATGGAATGTTAGAACATTCACTAGGCCTGATACACTGAATGAACTGAGAGCAAAGGCCAAGAAGGGTGCCCTGGACATAGTGGCTGTGCAAGAGTTGCGATGACTGGGCACAGGAAGAATTAAGAAGAGTGACTACAGCATACTATATAGAGGGAGTGCACAAAAGAATGAGTTTGGACAGCATTCCCAATCTCTAGTCAACTTGAACAACAAGTACTCCGCTTACTGACTATAAGCCCTCAAATAATTTTCCTTAGATTTAAAGGATAATTCTACAACATCTCCATTTTGAATGAGCATGCACCAACAGAGGAGAATGAGACAGAGTTAAAGGACGCAATGTAAGAACCAAAAGGGAATCACATTACTCAAGACTGCATATAAAGACTTTTATGTTACTTAATATCAGAAAATTGTCCCATAAATATAAGCAGAACTTGGAGACTCCTAGGAGGAATTTGACGCAACAGATTCACGACAGACCAGATTTCTTCTATGAGGCGGATCACTGAGAAGAGGAGAGAGTTTGAAAGGTCCATATGGATGTTGTTTGTGGATTTTGAAGTAGCATATGATACTGTCAACAGAAATGCCAAGTTTATGGTTATGAGGTACCAGATAAGTTCATCAGGTTGACCAGGTGTCGATGGTAAAGAGATCCATTAGCTCTCCTTTTATTTAATATTATCCTACAGGCTACTATGAAGCGAGCTGAACTAGACCCAAGAGGAAACATCCACACCGTGATGACCCAGATATTGGGATATGACGAAGATGCGGTGACCATTGGATGATCCATAAGGAGCAAGTTTATTAATCTTGAAGAAGAAACTCAGAGTGTGGGTCTCAGAATTGATGAAGGGAAAACCAAAGTATGTGGTGAACAATTTAAGCTGTCTGGTCCCTCATCAGTGAACATGAGGAGGTAAGAGCTAGATCAGTTACTAGAAAGAAAGCATACTTTGCTCTGATTAATCTGTTCCGAAGTAGGTTGTGGAGAAAGACCACAAAGATTAGGTTGTACAAGATGCTTATTAGAACGGTAATAATGTATGGATATGAGACATAGACATTTAACAAAGCTGCTGCTGTAAAAATGAGTAAATTTGAAAGAAAAGTCTTCAGATGGGATTGATCTTCAGACCAGTGCAAAAGTCAGGAAGATGGAGAAAATGGAAACGAACAAAGGAAATATATCAGATTTATCAAGAACTAACAGCATCCATATTCGTAAAAGTTCAGTGTCTTAAATGAGCCATGTTCCACAGGAAGGGTGACACAAGAGCAGTCAAAAGCCTATATATGCATGATCCAGATGGGGTGCGGTCAAGAAGTAGACCCAAAACTAGATTGCGGGAGAATGTAAGCAGTGACCTCCAAAAACAGTGGACCTCTGAAATACTGTGGAATAAGTATTAACATGGCAGAAGATTGGAAAGGCTTGTTGAGCAGGCTAAGGACAGCTATATCCGCCTTTTGTGTCAATAGAAGAAGAATAATAATAATAACTAGTTTCAACAAAAGTGCCAGGTTAGTAACTGAGAATAGTAGAGTCATGATGTTTACATCAAAATATCTAAAAACAATTGATTCCATTTCAATCTGTTAACTCTTGAGACCATCTCTTTTCTGAAAACTCCTAATTTTTTAATGACTTTTATTATAATTGTAGTAAGGCTTTAAGTTTTGAAATTACGATTTGTCACTTCTCCATGAAATTCCCTTTTGTTTTATACCTCATTCATCAAAAACCATTACCCCCACCCAAGGGTCAGAAAAGGGATCTACACTACCATATTGTATATAGTGTAAATAATTCAATGCTTTAATTTATAAATTTTAACAGTCAGAGCTTATTTCATGTGTAACTAAAATTGTAACCATCACAAAAAATAGAAATTATATTATATTATTGAGTAATGAGAAAATATATTACCCATTGAAAGAAAGAACCAATGTAATGGCAAAGATAAGATACTAGTGAAGTCATTCCAAGAACAGCTGTTAGAGTTTCACAGCCACTGATGAGAAGTGATTTGCACGCCATGAAAATTGATCCGAGGTCAAACCCAACCTGAGGGTGAAGTACCAAAGCATGCTCAGCCAATCGTATAATCCAGAATGTCCGAAGGACACATGGAACGTTTAGCCTCATCCATTCAGTTTCCATCAGTGCAGAGAGACCAAAGTTACTACTCAAAATATTTATAATTAATTTATCGCTACTATATCATAAAATTAAACAATATGATAAAAATAATTATTAAATAAATTGTATAATTTAATATTATTGACTTAGATGTAACCAAGTCACATTTCCTAATTGCTAGGAGGTGCACCTTTAAAAAATATCCAAATAAATGCCATCTATAATCAAGTGCATATTAGAGGCACAGACATACAGTTTTTTTGCAGTAATGTAAATATCAAAGATGCTGTTGATCGCACTTTCTAGATTGGTACACAATATCTTCATATACTTTAAGTGGAAAGAATGATAATGTCATTAATCTCAAATCTGCACTAGGACATACTGAATTCTATATGAAATTTTTGGAGGTGTGTCCAAAAAGTGTTATATATTCCCTATTACTATGATATTAGACCATAAAATTTCTGGTTTTAATTAAATTTATTAGTATGGGTAACAAAATTTGGCACTAAAATGCTAAAGATTTATATACTTAAGGTTCATTGGTGATAATGGTTAAGCTAATAAAAAAATTTTACTGCCGGATAGCTCAGTACAACTAGGGATGGTATGAGGACAAAGATCTTAGCATCAAACCTCAAAAATCTTAGTGCCTTCACCAACTAGGATAATGTGGTAAACTTACTCATCGACATTCTGTTTACTGTTCGGGCTCCTTTTGTAGTAGAATTGAATGGCAGGTTAATCAGGATAAATAGCGATCACCAGAAGCAAATAGTATTTAGGATGTATCAATACTATTGTGCCAATTAAAGATAGTGAACATAAAAAAGGCTCTACATGGATTCATTTTGCAGCTAAGCCAGGCTTAACTTATTTTATAAGTAGTTAAAGTTGTTCCAAAAAGTAAATGCAGCAACAGTAATAAATGTCAAGAAAAACTAGATAGCTCAAATATAAAGACGATAAACATACACTCATGTACAGATGAAATGGCATATTATAAAGAAAAACTGATAGAGTTATATTAAAATAGAGAGAAACTATACAGAATATATATTAATCTTCAATAAGTCAATTTGGCAAATTAATTTCCTCTTATTACTATTTTTGTTTTACCTATTTAAAATCGGAGCTTCCCCACTAAATTAATCTAAGAAGAAATATTTGATTTTTTATTTTCATAAATATAAACTGTAAATGGAAGGATTCGATTAACATTGTATTTATGGTATTTGAAAATACTACAGACTTGACAAGTGTCATAAATAAGACAATATAGTAAGGCTGATTTATGATGGTCAAGTCAAAAGGATCATCTACCAATTAAAGAACTAAAGAAGAATGTGACTTATTCCACATAGAAATATTTCAACAACAATTTTCATATAGATTTCTAATATAATAAATTAAAGAAAAGTATCAAGTATATTGTTTAAAAGTAAATTGTAATGAGTCTATGATTTTGACGTAAACAATAATGAAAGACAAAAAATCATCAAAACTTGAGCTTAACAAAAATCCATAATAAATTGAAAAATATTTAATTGAGTACTAAATGGTTGACTGTTGTTTAATATTCAGGGAGGAGATGGTCCGGGGTGGCGGTCATAAAAAACTTAAAATAGTGAACAACTATTTTATTATAAATAAAATAGTAATAAAACAATAAAATAATAGTTCACTATTTTTGAGGACCATCTCCTCCTGAAAAATATTTAACAATACGATTAGGAAAAAATTAAATGATTATTTTCAACACCAATTTAAATGATAGAGAAAAATGAAGAAGTTGATTATTAAATAAATTGAATTGTTTATAAAATGTTCTTAGATAAAAAAAATCTACTAACCTGATGAAATTCCTTGCATGCAAGTATCCTCCATAAACCGTTTGGATAATAGTGAATGCACTAGACCATAATATAAACTTCACCATTGCAAGAGGTAGCACAGCAGAAAATACAGGCGAATGATTCAGCAAAGATGGAGATAAGGGAAGGAGGCATAAAAATGATGGGGCTAGGAATGTTATAGGCCAAATTTTTTGTAACAATGGATACTTTGGCCCAAGATGAACATAGGAAAACACACATGACAAAATTATCTGAGCTATATAATTCTCAAAAAGTATCATTCCCACTCCATTTTTGGTCAGATTGTCAAAATTAAAGGATAAAAGTTCTTCTAGAATGCTCTGACCATTTTGTACTGATCCAAGAATCGCTTTGACAGTTGTCACATTTCCCCAGTATGATATGAAAACAACACCTACAGATATCAGGTACATATACACGATCAGCAGGTGTTCCCTGAGCAGCATGAAAGTGCAAAGTGCAGCTATACAGCCTGCAAAAGACAAAACATTGCGCTGAAATCAAACATAAAATTATCTGATTAAATATAAATTGATGCAAAAAAAAAAAAAATTATATTCTGAAATAAGTAACATTAAATATTTTTAATCATGAAAGCACGATAAAATAACTTTAAATGTATCCAGAAGAACAATACGATACATTATATATTTTTCTTTTTTTGAGCTTATAATTAATGGTAAAAGTTTCCATTGAAAGATTTGGTCTGTTAAATAATATTAGTTTCCAAAAATTGATCATAATTTTATCCTAGTGAGAACTCATATTATATAGCTATCTCTCACCCTAATACATTCGAGGTATAAACGACATTAGGGAAGCTTATTTGTTTGTATATACAATCAATATAATATTAAAAAGATAGTCTATTCTATAAATGGGAATGGCCACAATAATTCTTTATATTTTACAGTTGCTATTTATATTAATCACTAAATACACACAATTCAATAAATTCAACCTAATTCTATTCATTCCCAATTTTTCGTTCCTTAAATAATTAAATATTAATTACTTCTAATACTAGATTAATAAATATTGTGCAAAAACATTTGGAGCCCGCGGCTAAGTCACAGAGGTCACATGTGACCTACGAGGCTGTGGTTCCCCACCCATGATGTATTCAATCCACAAAATTTAAAGTTGATACTTTAAACTTGGTATGCGATTAGCTTGTCCCATTGTAAAATATTCCACCACTTTAATAGTAAAGCATTAAGACACAGCAATTTCTGAACTTCCACTAATCCATTATTGTACTCACTCAAGACCTATTTGTTTGGTACAGAAGAGCCTTCGTCTGTTGATGTCTCACTAAGAGTATAGAAGTCTATTACTGAGAGTATAGAAGCCATAACTGGATATTTTTTTATATTTATTAAATGTATCAAAAAGTTTCTTTATATATTATCCGAAGTGCCCAAGCGATCATAGATCTATTCTTCTCTATTTACCACATAAAAAGCAATATTTCAATATTTAAAAACAAAATACAATATAAGTATCTCATACCAACCATATCAACTACATGACATTCTGAAGAATAATAAGTTATTTTTAAATCAGGACATTTTTGGGTTTTAAAACCATGTTGACAAAATGATAAAGTAATTTTAGGATCAAGATTAGAATCTGTCACTTCTTCATGAAATTTCTTTTCGTTTTATATTTCATTCAATAAACTCTATCCTTCCTCAGAGCTGGAAAAGGAATCTATACTACCAAATTATATATAGTGTAGATTTATGATTTTTTACCTTCCATGTTAGATATTAATGTTTATAAAATTTTTAGCTGGCCAGAATGAGCACCCTTGAAATACCAAAAAAAATAATGATGGAGGAGCTGCACCTAGTAAGACGGGTAGGAAGGCCGAGGACGAGATGGTTGGACAACGTTGCCTATGATGCGAGAACCCTGCTTGGTGTGCGGAACTGGAGAGCTGCAGCAGAAGACAGAGCCAACTGGCGGAGGCTCTTGGAGGAGGCCCAGTCTCGGTAACGGGATGTTGTGCCATACATGAATGAATGAATGAAAATTTTTAGCTTTACAATGATATAATTTACATATGTATCACTACTCTTATTTCCGGTAATTTTGTTTTCAATCTAGAAAAGGTGTCATATTTTTTAATTATGTTATTCTTTTTAAATGTTTATATTTAGCCATTTCTTATTACTATTCACCACGAGAAACTGTTAATTATTTCAAATAAAAAATATTAAAGGTACTTCAAAGGAAGTCACTTTGAAATTTGGTATTTAAGCTAGTCAGACAATATTGATGAAGATAAGACCTATCTGGTAACCACTTAATTATACTTCTCCATAATGAGTTTAATCAAAATCGTTAGAGCAGTTGACAAAAAAATTTTATAAATGTGTAAAATTAGTTTTATAAAGTGTAACTTAAGATTAGCTGATTTAAGGGAAATGTAGCTGGAAGATTCTAGGTATTTGCATAGATTAAATACGTAATTTCAGTTTTGAAGGAATTTTCATTTTTGAGCTAGGCTTTTCATACAAATAGACAATTTTGTAAGACAAGATTATTTGGACTCAAGGGTCCTAAAAACATCTATTTCCATTGCAAACTGGGATTCTAAATTTTTCACAATCGCAGTACTTTCTGGATTTCAATTTCAAATAAATTAAAATGTTCAAACTCAAAACTGATGAAATGTAAAAAACATAAAGGTAATTTATTATTTTATTTAATTTTCAGTATCCTTATTTTAAATGTTTATATAGAGAAAACAAATTTAGAAGATATAACTTGTTGCAAATTTATTGCTTTATTTTCTTCTTAATATTTTACAGAGAACTAATGATAATGGACCCATGCAGTACAGGTGAAAATGAAAAACACACAAATCTTCATTTTATTTGCATTTATCATGATTTTTGATAAACTATCAAGCTTTGCAATAGAACAAATTACAATTTTCGATTTTACTCAACAACTTATAATGTTTTGTTAATCATATTTCGTTCCTCGCTATTTTAAATAGCATTAAGCTATTTTGTCTGCCAAAATAAAGTATGAAGATATATGCATTGTATGCGTAAAATGAAACTGTTATATATATATATATATATATATATATATGTTGTAAAATTAAAAGTGTTTTGTTATTTATATTTCTTATATGTTAGAGTGCTACCATTGGGTAGTTACTCAGCAAGTGTATTCATGTCATAATATCAATTATTTCCAAATTTACTTGATGTATTTATGTAATACAGTTGTAAATGTCATAAAGAAATAAAAAAAAACTATTTCTTATATTATATTAAATGCGTTGTATATGTAAAATGAAATATTTATATATATATATATATATGTATGTTATAAAATTAAAGTATTTTGTTATTTATAATTCTTATTACTAAATTATAATTATATTTATTTTTGTCTATTTCAATTTCAAATCAAAGAGTTTTGTTATTCTTACATTTGTTTTCGTCTATTTCAACATCCATAAATATGGCATTTTTTTTTTCTATTTCATATACATGTTTTAAAATAAAAGTGTTTTGTTAATATTACATTTGTTTTTGTGTTTTTGAATTTCATACGAAGATAGGGATTATCAGTGCCTTATCAGAATTATCAGAGTCCAGGTTATAAACATTGTCAGATGTAGGTCCTGTCCGGCTAACAGACAAGTACCTAGATGTGTACCCAAAATTGACTAAATACAACCACAAGTAAAAAATATCAGCGGATCTATTGTCTCGATTCCACAGTGATACTTATTGTGACAGTTAATGATATGGCTAGCATCAACTATCACAGTAAGGCACAAACTTAAGGAGGGCGATTATCTCTCTCCCTCCCCCAATATAAATAGAGAGGGGGCGAGAATATTGTTCTTCCCTTCCCCCTATATATTTCAAAGAACAAAATTAAATCAAAATCAATAAAAACACTACTTGATCCTTGATAATCCTCCTAGGGTTATTCTTAACATTTGCTGAATGTATATTAATTTGTACAGTTGTAAATATCATAAATAATAATAAAAAAAACAAAAACAAATAATCTACATGAATGAATCAAATATGTAAACTAAAATAAATTAAGAAATAGGAAAAGTCGACTAGATGACTTAAGCTAAGACCTAGAAGTAGGTATGCAAGTATTTCACGTCAACCTATGTTCCTATTATTGAAATTTTAGTTTATACTCCTAAATAATTATATATAGCAAAATATCCTAGGATTTTATCATTCATTCATGTGCACCCTTCTATTTTTACTTGAAGATTTTATCACATTTCCCGCAGCAAATTCAAAGCATTGAAGAATTAAGAGTTCATATTACTGCTTTAAATAAAAATATGTAATATATTCAATTTCTTTGTTAACATATGTGCGTACGTAAAAAAAACAAATAATATATAAACATATACATACTATATTTTTGTACATAGTATAATATTGTTTATTTTACAATAATTATGTTGATTATTAATCATAATTTTTAAACATAGTACAAATTTCCAAAATTTTTTTTAGGGAGGTTCATTGCCCCTCCATCCAGAATAGAAAGTCAGCGCCTATGTGTCACAGCCACTAAAATGCAATAACTGAATGATATTCACTGTCTTGGTAATTCTCTTACACTATGAGGTTTTGCATGACAGTTGGTATAGCTATTGTCATGTTAGCTGCCAAGTAAATATGCCTACCATTGAACTGCCGTACTTTATTTTAACCTCATCAACTCAACTGCTATGATGATTATGTGAGAAAACATTATTCTCATTAATTGTTATGTTCCAATTATGTCTGAACATGAAATTGATTCTATAAAATGTTTTTACATTATTCAATTCTTAGAGAAGAAATACAAATTATGTACTTTGGTTTTTTATAGAATTTATTTATTTTGGTGCTTTGATTAAGTTAGTATACATTAATTTAAGTTATTGAATTCATTTTTAATTTTTCACAAATATTTTCCCTAAATTAAATTAATCATATATCTGTCATTTTCCAAATGTTTTCATGTTAACAAGAAAACTGCCCTTGTCTCATTGTCATGACAACCCTTCTACAACAGAACTGGAAATCGTGTAAACAAGAGAAGCAACTTAAGGCATAAAATATATTCGGAATATAAAGCAGTAGAACCAATCCCAATTGGTTTTCAACCTTAAGACTATTTTTAGGGTATTCATAAAATATTAACAGAAGCTTTAACGTTGGGCAGTGGATTCCATTTCGTTCACGAATAATACTACTAATTGAAAGGGGCTAACTAATAACAAGTTATTTTATACTTATAATTTTATCATAGTTTAATTGTTTTCAATTAATAGTTCATCTTACCACAGCTTATACTAATAAGGATTTTTTCCCACAAAAGTAGTGGGTTTCCTTAACCTAGATTTTCTAAGGCCTCCTTCCATACTTTAATGTCTAAGGCTCATTACTCTTGCAAATCTTATCGAACCAAAAATTCTTTTATTTGATCATCACCAATTTCTGGACTAAATATGTCCTCTTCTTACATCCGTTTTCCATAATTATACCTCCCTTTTAAGTCTTCCTACAGACATTCTTTTTATACTACTTGAAGAATTTTATGCTCAATCACTTGCAGAATGTTTTTCGCTACTACTTCTCAAATCTTTAGAATTATCATTTTATATAATTGCCATATTTATATTATTTTGAAAGAGTTTGTTCTTATATTTTACAGTGGTTTATTCTTATAACTCCAGTTTTTTGGGTGAGTGATATCAAGCCTGGGTCGTTCCATATATTTTTTTGACATTGTGTCAACAACCTAAATAATCACAATCCATCCTCACCAGATATGTCTTTTTAATGGAGTGCCATTAAAGAGACAGTTTTTTCTATCTTAAAATTACTTCAATAGATATCCATAAGACGACAAAAATACATGATAGTTTTTAAACTTTAATGTTTAGACCACTTATCTAATCTGTTTTAAAGTTAATTATTAAATATTCAGAAATATATAATAATGACAAAGTAAATTCTAACAAGAATCACAAACTTATAGTCATATAAGTCACTAACTGAAATTAACGATAAATACTTTTTAAAAGTTGATAGAAGAATGTTTAGCTAAAAAAAAAAATAGTGGACAGGTCTGTTTTAAGGAAGAAAAACAAAATATTTGTAAAATAAGTTGTTTGTTTATTACATTAACAGTTTTTTATTATTGAAACTTATGTCACAATCAATCATTGTTCTCTACTATCAACAAAGATATTAAACTTAACAAAAGCTAAAAGAAATGATTACAGATGGAATTTCTTAATGTTTAAACAGATATTTTTAATTCACAATATAAGTTAAACATGAATATATACACAATACTTAATATTTATAAAGTACCTATTTTTTGTCAAGGATCAAGCCAAAAAATTGTGTATGTTCATGGTTTGAAGGTCTAGCAAAAAAAAAATATATGCTAACACTAAATAAAAAGTAATGTCATTCAGAAGTATTAAAGCAGATAGCCACCCAGCAATAATAATCATAATTGACTAAATTAAAATCAATAAAACACATTTAAAAATAATCAAAGTAATAATTTCAAAAAAATCAGAAAAGTAAAGAAGTTTGACAAGATAAATTTCAAGGCTGCTAATAGTTCATCAAGCTTGATAGGTACATTTCATTGAAAAATGATGAAGTAATTCATGTTATTGGAAGGTATCCCTAACTGCTTATGCACCATTAAATACAAACTAAAAAATATTTGTACTTACATGCTGATGCTATGACGAATTTCCCAATCAAAATCAGAAGAATTTTATAGAATTGGATATCATTTTGGGTAAGAATGGCACTTGATAAGCCACCTTCATAGATTACACTTTGGTCAATGGAAATGAAAGTGTCATTTGATTCAGATAATAGGTTTTGTCCAATTGGTATACCTAATCCTATACGAAACAGTTCATCAATGATAAAAAGTGGTGGAACTCTAAGTAGAACATCCACTAAATTTAAGACTAAATTTAAAAGTTTTGTTTGCAAAGACATCTATAGCAAGCACAGTCACTGCCCAACGTCCAACTTTCTGAATCACTATTTTTAAATAAAACTACACAGAAAATCCGAAAAGTCACCAACACTACTAATGATACTTCCACCAAAACTAAATGAACTTTGAAGCCAAAACAATAAGTGCCCGTTGAAGAAACAGATGTTAGTCAACTTATAATATACAATGCTACCATCCTCTTCATACTGGATAAGAACTAAAACATGTTTCTTGATTAATATATCATGAGATAAATTTAAGAATACGAAAAAATCCATAATTTAAAATAAATATTTTTTAAATTTTCATATTTAACGTATAAAGTCTATCTATTCAAATAACTCATATTCGATTCGACCCCCCTCCACATTCATTTTTTGTGATTGCTAAAATTTACAATTGTATAAATGTAGGGCTTGAATTATAATATATTTATAATTTGTCACATTCTTAATTTCTAATTCAACATAGACAATTGAATGAATATATCTTAGGTAAATTTACTACTTTGAAATTATCTTACTTCATTAAATCTATATTTATCTATCAATTATATAACACTCATTCAACTATTTCATGTAATTATGACCATAATATGATCCAATACAATACAATATCCAATACAATTATCATGTAAATTATTACCCAAAAGACATTTTCTTTAGTTGGAATCAGTGAACACGATTGGTGATAAAATATAACAAAATAGAAATCAATTTTGTATTTTATTACTTTAACATATATTATGGCCACACCACAAAAATAGAATAAGCTTCTGTAAGATATCACAGTATTTAGTTAAGTATGTAAATTATATGTAATGTAAGTATTATGTAACAAGGTACCTGCTATAGCCATGAAGATGGCTCATGGGTCATTTGAAACATTGACCATTGTTGTAATAAAAATCACCTTCAAGGTTCCCCAATAATAACAGACATTATCATGATTAATTACTTGATAAATTACTGTAAACTATCTTCCTAATTTCAAATAAATTTTATTATTGTAAATAGTAATAAATTTGGAATTCATACCATCTAATTATTATTAACCTATTATTACTTTAATTTTCTTTATTCATGATCAAAAGAAGTTAATCTAACTTAATCAAAGTGTTTGTACATATAATGTTGAAAATATTTGTTTTGGCATAGAGGCGTAAAATTTTCAGGTCATCAATGCTTATTGTTGAAAAAAAATTTCCTATTCTTAATTTAATAGTTATTATTAAAGTTACAAAATAGCTATTTTGTAATTAATTTTATATAATTCAGTTATTTTTTAAATAGCTGCATATATTATTAGAATTACTCTAAATATAGCAACACTCAACGATAATATAAATTAACATGAACAATAAATTATTTAAATTATATGTTAAGTTTCATTTTTTTAGTTATTCCCATACGTGACATTCCTTTTAATACTAAAATGAGGATACATATCAATTTATGCTAAAATGTAAATAAAAAGGATTCAATATATTGGTTGGCTTTTAAATGATTTTATGATTTCTTGAGTGGAATTGTTATTATTAGTTTTAAGAACTATAACTAGAAATATTAAACATTTCTTACTAATCAGTAATTGATTTACAGGCATTTTATATTATATCAAATATTTTCCTCTATTAGCATTGAAAAATGGTAGGAATAATGAATTTTATGAAAAATAAAATAATAAAATAAATGATAGATTTCTTTAAAAATAAGTTTGGAATTAGTTAAACTATTGTATTCTCATTCAAGAGGAAATTTAGAATAAAATGGTGTGTGTGTATCTCAATTTTTTATAAACTTGATGTTGCTGTAATATGGAATATTTACTTTTTTCTTTTTATTGATAAATGTAAAATATTAAACAGAAGAACTGACGAAGGAATAAAGGTCACAGCATTTCTCAACAGGATCCTTTGGAGCTCGAATATACAGCCCAGTACAAAGAGGCTAATATGCAAGGCTATATTCGAGCCATTTATGATATATGCCTTGGAGACTTGGGTCATCAATGTAAGACACCGAAACAGATTGTTAGCGGTAGAGATGGACTTCTGGAGAAGAGCAGCAAAAAATCCAGAAGGGAAAGGATCAAAAATGAAAGAATTCTGGAAATGATGGAGGTAGAAAAAACATTTTAGTAAATATTGAAAACAAAAGGTTATGCTGGTTTGGACATGTCAAAAGAATGATGTCTGAAAGATTGCCAAAGATGTGTATGGAGCTGGAAGTAGAAGGGAGAAAGAAAAAGGGAAGACCAAGGGTAAAATGAAAGACGAGGTGGAAGAAAGACTGGCGTGTCATGGCATCATAGAAGAACAAGCCTTGAATAGAAAAGAATGAAAAATATCTTAAAGAATATTTAGGAACAAAAAAAAATATATAAATTTTTAATTATTATTAATTAATATTTAATTATTATTATTAAAATAATGCTGAAGTTTTTTTTAAGAAAAAAGTTCTCATTGAATTTGAGTTATATAAACATATATATATATATATATATATATATATATATATATATATATATATATATATATATATATATATATATATATATATATATATATATATATATGTATAAATGAAAAGTGTTGGCTATGAACCTGAAACACAACATATTTGCATAATTTTTTGACAAATTCAATTAAAAATAGTTGCCAAGGGATCGGATCAAAGCACTCTAGCAACTATTTACAGGTACAATATTCAAATATTTCGCCAATAAATGAAAAATATTCAGTGTAAATATTTGTACTTTTTAAATTATTCGTTATTTTTGAACACAAAGTATGAATAAAAACTGTTTTTTTTAAATACAATTCACTTTTAAATTACAATAATAATAAAAAATGTGTCTGTTGTTTAGTTCCTTTTTTGAAAATAAAATTTTTCGCACCTTCCAGGCGAAAAAAATCCTGAATTGGCTAGTGTCTGAGTCATAATAATTTATGATGTTATAATCATCAAATTCCCGTTTAAGAAAAGGACAAAAAAAACGGACAGCTAATCATGGACTAATGTAATAATGCTATGTGGGTCAAATATGCAATTAATCACTCTTAAGCATACCGTTAGCAGTTGTTTACAGCAGTTGACCAATTAGTAACCTTTAGAATGTTTATTTGTTGATGATGGTATAAGACCTATTATATTTTAAAGTAATATTTTTATAACTATTTTATTCATTTGAAATATTCGTGCAATAACAAAAAAGTCTAGTAGGTCCATTTCTCAACTCATTCCCCTCTCCACCAATACAAAATATTTTTGAATGACTAATAATATTAATAATCATAAAAATATATCAGTATAATTGATAAATTTTTATTTGAAATTTTAACTTATTAATATTTAATTTCTTATAAAACATTGTTTGACAAAAAGTGGGTAATGCAAATGGTATATGATCTGTTATCCCAATGTATTAATATTTAAAAATAATTTTAAACCAAAAATACTAAAATAATTGAAGGTGTCAGGACCTCTAGCGTGTGTGGAATTAATAAATTAATTTAATTTTCTTAAATCCAAATTTCACTCACTTTAAGCCAAATAAAATAATTTAAATTAGAAAAAAACAAACAATAGAACTATGTTTGGTTGTTAATGACAAAAGTTGAATTAATTTATTTTCCTGAAAATTGATCAAAGAAAAGATTTCAGTACTTATTTCACATGTCAGTATTTCAGTTCACTTAGTTTTATTTTTCTCTCTCATTCAAATTCGATTCACTAGTTCCTGTAGTTAGCACACACATATATCCACAAATATAGACAAAAAGACAAGACAATGCTATAACTTTAAAATAGAATAAATAAAAGACATCCTCAATTCATGGTAAATTACTATACAAGGGATAGCGAATGATTCCCAGGGGTCCAGGATAATATTCTCGGCCAATATCGCAAGCTCCCCAATATCAACACCTAGTTCCTCGAAGAAGCTCTTTGTTCTTTTTGGAATCGTTCCGCGAGACCCAAACCAGAGGCCTCTCACGGCGAACTCTCTCTCTCTGAAGGTCTCGCGTAATTTCTCTTTTAGGAAAGGGATACATTTATCATAAATGTTCCTCTTATAGCTTTCCACTTCACCTGCCTGATCGAGGTCATTGCTCTCAAAGCGGACAGTAAGGTCCAAGATCAGCGCTGTCCCTCCTGTCACTGACGGGTCTACGGGGGGGGGAGAGGGAGGGGGGCTTTCGGGCTGAATCCCCTCCCAAAATGGTAAAATATCACCATGTTTCACAGAAAAAAAATATTAAAAACTGTCTCTTAAAGTATTCTTATTCATGTAATTACATTTAATAGAACTTCAAGAATCACTTAAATACCATTTCATATAGGTTGTTAATTTCTTTCTTTTTTTTCTTATTAATTATTTTTATATGTATATGAAAAAAAAAATCTTTAGGGATGAAGCCTCCCTCCAAAATTAAATTCTGGATCCGTTAGTGCCTCCTGTCTTGGGAAATGCCCTCGCTGTCGATGCAATAATCTAAAAACCTGGACTAAGCAAAGACAAATATAAATAACATACATTCTATTTGGAAGTATATAAAATATTTTTCTCTCAGCTGCTAGAGAGAAAGAACACCCTGACATGTGTCTAATACTTTTCTAAAATCGATTTTAACCGGGGCCCCACCGATAGTAAACTATTCTTCTGAGTGCTGAGCGTTTTTCGTTAGCATCATATTACGAGAATATATAGCAATTTAAGTTTGTTTAAATTTAGTGGAGCGTCAAACAGCCAGGTCATCAACGCCCTTTAGTTTATTTGGATTTGTTGGTTATTCGCCTATCCGAGCCCGATAGCGCATCCATAGACTTTCTTAGATCCAAAGAGGCCAACCAGAGTCCAGAAGGCGCCTAAGTCCCGCATCGCAGGTGGTGATTTAAGCAACTTAATTTACCCAATAACATCTTTTATATGATGTTTTATTATTAACGATTATTTGTGAATAATGCTGCAGAATATGAGCTGCTCCTTGTTTTGATTTAACACCTTTTAAGATGTAAAATAAATAGTTTATATAGATACTGTTTAACAATATATATTTTTTGTTCTATAGTCAGCATAATTCTGATCTTTTTAATATGTTCAAGAGGTTTTTATGTTCAGGAGGAGTTTACATAGTACCTAGAGTGAAGTTGGT